GGGTCCTCTCTTTACTGCACGCCGACCCTGTGCAACAGTGAAGAATAATACATAGTAGGGTAATCTGCAAGTGATAGGATGAGTGCAATTATGGGAACTGATTCAAATTAATTTCCTTTTGATAGTAGTGTAAAGAAAACAGATAAAACCAAAAGTACCTCTTTATCAATAAGTGCTGTGTGTGTCTGTGCTTCAGCCTGATCACAGTTAACAGAACGCTGCAGGGTGTAGATCACATGGTCGTACGAGTGGTGCTCATCATTGTACAGTACACAGTAGTATGCATTGTCTTTTTGTCTGCATGGATGGAGAAATACACTGTTAAAGGAAAGCTTTGCATATGGATCTATGCATTTGCATGGGATCTAACAGGCCATACCGGGGCTGGAGTTCAGCTGATAGGTCAAAGCTCTCCTCCCACACCAAGAAATCTGTGACGTAGTGCAGCAGAACCCGGAGCAGCTTCTCAGCACGCTCATATAACTCAGGCTCCAACGCACACTCATCCTGCACAAAATGAGAGAATAACACAGGACTCACATTGTTGAACATTCTCAGGAGGTGTCTTGTTCCAGAAATAACATACTTGAAATACTGTCTTTGACATATCAGGAACATTTCTCACATTTTCGAACAACAAATTGTTAGTTGTTAGTGACATCAATACTGAACCTGGAGTGATGTTTCTGTAAGTTAAATTTCATAGTGTATTTCTTAATACAGTAACTTTCCAAGATGAGGACAAAAAAGCATCTTCAACACAAATATGCATCATTACAGAAACTGGAGCCAATCTGACATGGAAAAAGCTTTCTGTAATAACATTTACTAATTCTCGACTTCCTGTGTAACCAGTAGTAACTCTATAATGTGACAGGAAACTGGTCTAAATATTTTGCTTAATATGAGTAAAACAGACAGCTGGCCTGGTGACATTAATCAAATCCCCTGAGAACAAACATTCTACATAGCAGCCAAGTATTTCATACAAATGCCTGACAGTTAACATACAAACTAAACAAAACATACAGTGAGTCTGTGTATTTACACCAGACTCATCGTCACACCGCTGTGTGAGAACAAGCGCTGGAATCTACCGCGATCTAAACTAGAAGTGAGTGGTCTGAAACAGCATGATGGGTTTTCATGTTCAGTGTGGAGATACTATTATGGTCATGTGATGTGTCACTGCTTGTTAAGCATAGGTTTAGATCTGATGTAGAAAACACAAAGCAACCTGCCAGAGATGGGCCAGTGATATCTCTGTTAATAGAAGCACCTGCTGTTTATGGAAAAAGGAACAGAGCCATCAAGCTGCATGTCCGCTCAAAGCCCCCCCAAGCACGATCTTATCAGAGGAAAGCCCAAACACTGTGTTCAGCAAAGAAAGGCCAGACAAACAACTGCTGAAAAACCAATCATCACGATGTGTCCCAGCAGCAGTGAGGTGTAAACTGAATTCATCCTTGCACAATTCAGCAGGATTTAAGCTACTGAAGAAAGGCTGCTTTCAACCAGTCTCACCCACAACTCTTTTCCTCGAGGTTACTCACACTCAATCACCCTCCCAAATCTCTTAACCTAGTTATAAATTTTCTCAATTGGTGCAGTGCTTTTCTTTCTCATTTCCGGAGCCAAAGCCACAGCCAAGAGAGCAGCATCCACGACTAAGATGGGAAAATAAGCATTCCGGGGTACATTGACACAGAATGGGACAAGTACGCCCCTCCCACATCCCTCTTTCCGCTCTATTATGTAACTCACCGTTACCATGGCAGTGGCTGCCCCTGGGTCGTGTTTGGAGCAACAGGGGCCGATCTTCCAAGCTTCTACATCCCCACAATCACAGAACCCCCCGCCTGATGACGCGTGCATCTGGGAAAAAACGCACATACTGTACTGTCACTGTCAGCAATTAAGTTATACAACTGCTGTAGTTGTGGGAATGCAATATTGTGCAATTTGGCCTATAATGATTTAGAAATAATCAAACATTGATCTTGGTGCATCTAAAATATGTTGTCGTTTCCCCAAAGTTTAAGAGGCATGCATGAGGCTAATCAAGTTGGCATTATAACACACTGTGCACAGAAGTGAATCACAGAGCCCATACAAGGGAAAGGTAAGGATGCATCAGTATGCGTGGGCCCATACAGAAATATCAGATCTCAGAACAGAAATCCAATGCTGAGCAATTTTCTATTCAACTCATTCCTAATTATTCAAGGGGAGACAAGCTGACTCATTCATGTACTCAAATAAAACATGTTAAATAAGATTTCATTAAAGATGGAAAAATACATGTATTGACACCAACCTTGTAACGATGGCTTTTGTGCACACTATCCTGGAAGCAATCCATGCACAGGACACAAGTGGGATCTATAGCACAATCCCTGCAATAAGTACAAAGGGACTGGTTACCTGATTGAGCAAATGTCAAGTAAAATGTATTATCTGAGGTTAAAGATGCCACTCTAATTATCTAAACTATAGCTGGTTGCCATCGTACCAAACTGCACACTGAGCTCTCCTAGACTTTTTCAGTGTAAACATCCACAGTGTAAACTTGATGAGCATGTGAACTTTATTTGTATTTTGTGTTGATACTGACTCACTCGCCATTGGCTGTATATTATATTGATTATATTTTCATAGAATTTATTTCAGACAATGGCAAACATATACTTGTCCCATTATATATTAAATGTTCCTGTTTATAGTGTCTCTATGTGTTTATTGTAATAACAACCTTGAGTTTATTTGAGGTAACATGCACACAGAAACTGAGACCCTTTAATTTTATTCCTCAAGTTATTTTAAAGTTACTCATCACTGTTATGTTAAAGTATATTTTTTGTATTCGTCAAGTTATTAAGATTTTTTGTCCTAAAGCATATCGACACCCAGGGGTGCCATGTTGCAAAACTAACAAACAAGCAGATGTATACATTTATGTGAGTGATATGGAATTTCACATCATTAAGGTCCACTCACGCACTGTCCCATATTGAAACCTGAAACCTGAGAGAGTCTACTCATTAACTATTCATTTCTAACACTTAGCCTAAATACTGTGGTGTTGATGTGTAATTAGATAATTGTAGAGCTAAAACCTATTGAGGCCAAACTATTCTCACTAGAAGCATTTAATGATATCAAATAGCCTCCATGTAAATATGTTCCTGTCTTAGAATGCTGTAGCTTTATAACTCATCCAGTATAACCACAGAGTCTATTGGGGGTGAGTGTTATAGGCTTCAAATATTTTTTATAGATTCCTATTTCATGCTTAATTTCTAGTAACAATGAAAACAATAATTTTTGACGTACATCTCAACATTGATCAGCCAGTACTCAAAATTACTAACAAGATGAAATAAATATTTAGTATTTTATCATAACTACTATTACTATTGTGGTTACAACTTATTTATTACAGAGCATCAGAGGGTCTACTCAGACCTGCAGGAGTAGACAGTCTCTCCCTCTTTGAAGACTCGTCCACAGAGCTGGGAGGAGGTGCTACCCTGTTTGAGCTTCTCCAGACCCTCCTGAGGATCTTCTCCAAACAAGAAACACTCCAAGGGATAGAGGAGTCGGCTCTGCATGAGATCCTCTTCCTCCTGAGGGCTGAACTCTTTCCTCAGGCAGAAGATCTGAGGCACCTGCTCCTTCAGGTAGCGGAGCAGCTCCGCCCTGCTGTCTGCAGCCTCCAGCCATTTCTGCAGGACGACAGAGAAGAGCATGACTTGTTTATCAGTGACTCACATATCCACCAACTGACACACAACCACATAGATTAGCCACTATTCTCATTGATGTGCTGATAAATATTTACCTTTAGCAATACATCATCATGTTCACTGATCAATTGAAACTTATAATATTGGTATAAGTGTATGTGAAAATATACGCATCAAGTCAATTTCCCCACGAGTGCCAAAGTGTAAATAATAAACGTTGATAAAACCATATCTAGATAAGTCAGTTTCACTTTCAATATAACGTTGGACCATATTTTATGACTGACACAACGCAACAAGAGTTTGAGGGCCGAAAAGTTGGAGCCATGATGATGAAAAATTTTTTAAACTCACAGCCAACTCATGTTCAACTCATGCTGAGGCGCTTTGGACAAAAGCGACCACCAAAATACCACCGGATGGAGATTGACACACTTCGGGGAACGCTACCACATTTTCCCCGACTGCCTTGTCAACTAAGATACGTGCTGACTCCAAAGCCAGGGGCAAACACTCACTGTTGGTGAGCAGTACATATTGTAGCATTTGCAGATACATTTTAACCATTTAGATAGCTAGCACAGGAGCTAGCTAGCCACGACTGCTAGCTTGGTCAGTATTACATCCTTTGACTGCGCCATCAACCCGTATTGTACAAAGGAACTAACACATTATACTTTAGCATTTTGTCCCTAAGCCACAGTAAACACTGTCAGCTGTATTAGCACTTTAAAAATCTTACCTTGCTGAGCTCCAGTCCGTCTGGGGATTTCTCACCCTCCGCCATATTCCATTTGCCGTAAAGAAGGTGTCGCTAGGAGACTATTCCCCTTGTAATCAAAGCCTTTTGCGACGCTATTAGACCATAATTGAAATAGTCAGGCATATTTATGTGTAGGTAAGCGCTCACACTTTAGTCTGTTGATCAAATAAGACACTTATTTGATAATCTGTCCGTTTTTTTCTATTAGGAAGATGTCTCTTGTCAAAATAAACATTTTATAAACAAAAAAAAAATCTCTGTATCGCCCTCTGGTGATACAAGGTGGTACGATTTAAGTTTTTGGATCAGTGTTTCCATCTATAGTAGTTACATTGCTCTGTATGTCCCTGTTAGACAGTGATTTCAATGATAACATTTGTATAAATGTATAAATCCGTCAATGGAGTTTTGAATGGAGATGGCGCTGATGTGGAACCCAGTCACTAGATGGCGCTGGTCGCGATTGTCCCGTCTCTACACGGTGATGAATGCAGCGAGACTAGAGGTCAGAGTTGAGTGTTTGACAGAAAGCTGAATATGGATTCTATATTTCATGAGAAAGTAAGTTAAAATGTGTAATTTAAATTATTTAGCCACAAGTAATTCGTCGTGTTTGTTCGGAAAGCCTTGGCGCCTATGGCGGATATTTGTTTACCGGCACTATCTGGCCGGTGTTGAGGGATTTGTGGTGGTGTTTGTCAGTATTGTTGTCCAGACAGCTAAAATGCTAATTGCACCTGCTAGTCAGAGATAATGAAAAGTTTCTTTTCAGCTAGTTTAGGGCTTTGTAATAGCCACAAGGATCTTATTTCTGTCAAGCTAGTGAACGAACTGGCTTGACGTAGCTCTCTTTTCTGTTTAAAAGAGTAATAAGACTAGTCTTGTGTGTTGTTTACGTAAGCTAACCTAGCTGCATGTAGCTCTACTAGTATATGACTATTATCGTGGGGACAGACCAAATAGTCTTAACTACTCCCATGTCCATAAAGCTAAATGTGCTGTCAAGAAAACTATTTAATCGTGCTGTCACGTTAGATGTGTGTTTTACCGTGGTGTTTGAACAATACCTTCTCCTTTATTTGTAGCAAGAGGGCTCTCTGTGCGCCCAGCACTGCCTCAACAACCTCCTGCAGGGTGAGTACTTCACTCCTGTGGATCTGTCCTCCATTGCTCATCAGCTTGATGAAGAGGAGAGGATGAGGATGGCAGAAGGAGGTATGGCCAGTGAGGAGTACAGGACCTTTTTACAGGTGAGAAGACACAGAAGGTGAATGTTGGTGCAGGAGGTTATTTATACATGCCGGTACCAAACAGTATCTAACTTTTATGTTCTCCCAATGTGTTACTAGCAACCATCTGGGAACATGGATGACAGTGGATTCTTTTCGATACAAGTGAGTTTCAGACATTCACTTATTATTGTCAGTAACAGATCAATAACCATTATAAACCAGGAATATCAATAACCTTCTTTGTTATCTAATCCTCTAGGTTATTAGCAATGCTCTGAGAGTGTGGGGCTTGGAGCTAATCCTCTTCAACAGCCGCGAATACCAGAGCTTGATGATAAATCCAATGTAAAGTTTCCTTATCAAGAATTTATTGTGTAATTTGTGTAATGGCGTTATCTGTAATCACGTAAATACTTTATAGATTAATTTGATTGAAACAGCTACTCTTACTTTCATGTTTCAGAAACGAGAAAGCCTTTATTTGTAACTACAAGGAGCACTGGTTTACTATACGCAAACTTGGACAACAGGTATGAGGCACTTGTCTTTATAAAGAATTTGAATACAGATTGGTTTACTAAAAACACTGTTTTGTTTTCATTGCAGTGGTTTAATCTGAATTCACTGTTGACTGGACCAGAGTTGATATCAGACACCTATCTAGCCCTTTTCCTTGCACAATTACAACAAGAAGGTATTGTAATTTTGACTTATTCACAGTATGTTTAGATGTTGCAATGCAGAAAAGATTATTAAATTTGTATTCGTGCAGGATATTCCATATTTGTGATCCGGGGAAACCTCCCCGAGTGTGAAGCAGAGCAGATCCTTCGATTCATGAGAGTGCAGCAGCAGCAGCGGCCCAGGCTCATTGGAGAGGATGAGGCCCAGACAAGTGCAGGGTATGTATTTTATGTGCAGATTGTACAATGTAGAGGACCCATGAACTGCTCCAAAAGGTGTATCTTAGTTCATGTTTAATATTGCTTAAAATAAACATTTGATACTGATTGTGGCAACTGATTAAGCCTTGTACTGTGAGCAGCAGGTCAGCCGCTCTGAACCAGGCAGAGATGGGCTTTGGTGTGGAGGATGAGGTTGTGGATGAAGATGAAGAACTGAAGAGAGCCCTGGCACTCAGCAGACAGGACATAGATGTGGAAGATGAGGAGGCTGATCTTCGCAGGGCCATACAGCTCAGCATGCAAGGTAAATGATGAGTCATTCAAAGGTTTTAAAATTTTCTGTCATTACTTTGTCCCGATTGATTACTGTATTAGTTAGGTCTTACCTTGGATCATGAGTCAGTTAGTCTTTTATTTCACATTCACAGTAATAACGACTTTTTGAAAGTTGCCTCTGATATTTATAGGAGCAGTGATGAGCAACACGTCTTCAGAACCTGAAGTGGGAGATGTGAAATCAGGCAGCCAGGCAGCAGGGAGTGCTGCAGGAGAACAAAAAGAAGGCCAAAATGAGACACTCACAGCCGAGGAACTGAGGAAAAGGAGACAAGCCTACTTTGATCGGTAGGTTCAGCTGCATGTCTGCTAACCCACTGCACAGAGGGTGTTGTAATCACTTTATTGCAATCCAATTCAATATTCCTTCAATAACAAGTGCTTTACAAATTCTATTATGTTCAATTGTATGGTGTAAATGTGTCCTTTAAATTATTGTATGCGTGATATTGCATCCACCCTTTTAAGTGAATAGAAAATTAATGCATGGAATTTGACACAAATCCTCTCTGTTGACTGTTTAGGCAGCAGCAACACACTCAGCTGAACATTCCTCAACAACCAGACACAAAATCAACAGGTGGCTCAGGTGAGCACATCAGATTTTTTATATAAATTAAGTACATATTATTTAATCAATTTTATTAGAAAACCTATCCAAGAATGACATGGAAGATACGAGCCTGTGCTGTCTTCCTCATCTAGGATCAGTAAACACTGGCTCTGTGGAGGACCAACAACAAAAGCCCAGCCAGTGAAGTTGTGAAAGGTTTGCCTGTGTTGTTTACCAGCTGCCTGGATTGGCAACCCCATACAGGGGTAGCTTTGCTCCTTCCTCTAACCTTTTGCACATGCGAACATAAGGACAGTCAGAAGGCTGACACATTTCCCCTGGTTAGTTCGCTGACATGCTACAGAGAAGAGAACAATGACAAAGAAAAGGCAGCAGTTAGTCTAATCTAACTCAGTAAGGCACCGAGGCTGGGAAAAGGGTGACTACAGAACTCATGATGCAGTTAATCCAAGTTTGCAATTGCCTTTGTACCATGGCGCCTTCTATTTCTATTGTATACTGTTTTTTATTCTTGTTTTTCCTCTGGAAGAGATGGAAATGAATCTTCAGCATACAAAGGGTGTGTTTACTTGCGTGGGCTGAATACATACAGAGATGGGTGTTCTATGACTCATAGGAGACTAATGTTTAGACCACAGATAAAAATCTTCATAGATAAAGACAGAGCCTCCTACCTTTGTATTGGACTTGGGTTTGTAGGACATAATATGTGATTCCAGTGCCCTCCCCACCAGAACACCAGTGTGGTTTTGAAATTGTTTGTTTTTGCAATGTACTGAAACATCTTTTAGCCAGCAGCACTAACTTGTGTGGGTCATTTATTCCTGACATTATCAACCATTTTACTTGTGAACATCTATGAGTGAATTCCCAAGGTATTTAGACATGCAACATATTTTTTAATGTTGTGGCTTTGTTATTACCTTTTAAGCTTATAAGCAGGCGTAATGAAATTTAAGATTATAAAGTTTACAAACACAATTTAAGGGTGTTTTATCCAGTTTGGATAGACAGTGAACAAAATAATTCTACGGAGCAATTTGTTCAATCAAAGATGCTTTTGACTGATGGATATTTTTCATATCTTGTTGAGAATAAGTTGACATGTAACAGGGAACAGAGATGAAATCTGTAAACATTATGGAACTGTAGCTCATAGATAAATACATTGTTCATTTTTTCCAGCACAGTATGATCACTTGAAACCAAAAAAAGTCTCACATGTCCAACCAGCCTACCTAGTTTGTGACTTCATGTGTTGTTTCTCTTCATCAGTATTTGTCATTAACCATTTAGGGAATTTATCATCAAAAAAAGATTGTTAAACTGCTAGAAGCCTTTGACATCACAGTTTACAGTTACAGCCCCCACAATATTTGTTTAATTGCACTGATTTGACTTATCCTGTTTTCCAATCATACTTAGAGTAGTGTTATACACATTAGTTGTACAAAGATACATTTTTTTGCACTGAGGTTGCCATGGGCTAAAGCTATGGAAGCCATGGGCTGATTAATGACCTTTGGAAATAACAGGTAAATACTGAGAATAAGGGGAGACTGTTATTTAACCTCATAATTTGTATAATGTAAAATCCAAAGAACAAAACAAAACATCAAAAATATGTCACTGTGCATACACTTTGAAGAGTTCACTGAATTTTTTTTTTTTTCTGCATTTGATTTTGACCATGACTTGTTTAAAATCTCTCGTATTGTGCTCTACAAGCTTCCATTCAGTCCTGAAAAACAAACTCTGGTTATGACACACAATGTGGATGAATAAACCGCATTACTGAATTAAAACAATTTGATTTGTTTACAGTCGTAATGTCTTCTGGAACCGTTCATGCCTCCACAAAAGGATTGGACATCATATAAAGTCTGACTTTTTGTGCTTGATGACTTCCAGAAAGATTCCATGATTTCATTTTTTTTTTTTTTTCTGTTTGATCTGTTAGGCTTTTTTTCTATTTAAAATGCATTTACGAAAGAGTAAAAAATGTTGGTAGTTGGGTTTTTTTTTTATCATTGCATTATTTTCACTCACTGCATTCTTACAATAAGTACTAATTCATCATTTATGTTATATTTCACATGTTACCACAGCACATTCTTTCATTTAATGTATTAGTTCTTGTTCCAGGATTAAAGTGACATTCACTCCTCCTAAAGTTTGCCATGTCTTATTTATTTCTCGTTATATTAATGGTAATATGCCGTTATTGATGTTTCTTGTGACATCACATCTGGAAAAGAGGCCCTGAATGTTGAATAAACAGCTCTGACTCCATCTGGATCAACACAACAGGCGGTGTGTCGTGGTTAATATATAACCCTCAAAGCACACTTGCACTTTGTTTCTCCAAATAATAGATGGTTCTTTTAGACGCAGTCTTGCCCAAGCTGAATGGTACGTATGACGGTTAATTTTTGAAAAATGTATTTCAGTAACAACTACCTATTAATTTGAAAAAATTTCATTCATTATAGTGGTTTGGTGATAATGTGTAAAAATTAAGTTATTCAAATGATTTTTTGTAGATTTTTTCATAGTTATGTCACTGTTCAGTTGTGCTTCTTTAACATGTTTCAGGTTGTCCTTCCCACACTTGAATTATGGCGGTACACAAAATGAAGATGGGATTTATTTTTATTCTAACCTGCATGTGCTTCCTCACCCCTGTCCACCAAGCACAACTTCCAAGTGCCACCATCTCAGATCTATCCATCAAAAATATGGACTTTGCCATGAACCTTTACAGAAAAATGTCCAATTACCACGACAAGAACATCTTTTTCTCACCTCTGAGCATCTCCACCAGTTTCGCTGCTCTCGTAATGGCTTCTGACGGCGTAACACACAAGGAGTTACTCAAGGGTCTCAACCTGGAGCAGCTGGAGAGGGCTAACCAGCCAGAATTTATCCCAAAACTTTTCCAACTTCTTCATGAGAACATCACACAGAATGGATCACTGAAGCTGGACCAAGGCATGGCCCTCTTTATGCGCCAGCAGTTTGAGGTAGAAAGGGAATTTGAAGACCAGATCAAGACGTATTTCCATGGTGACATCAAAACTCTAGACTTTGCAGACACAACAGAAAGTGTCAGGTTCATCAATGAGTACATCAAGCAAAAGACTGAGGACAAAGTGACAGAGATGATGTCCACCGTGCACCCACTGACCCAGCTCATGTTAATCAACACAATTTTCTTCCAGGGTAAGAGGAATCACTCTTACATGTTTTAGAATTACCCATTTGGTCATGAAGTCGTTTGACTTCTGACCTGTAGCCTCAACAATTAAGCAGTATTATATCTTCCACAGGTACCTGGCAGATGCCTTTCAACTCCAATTTCACTGAGAATGCTCCCTTCTACATTGACAACTATAATGTTGTGCAAGTGCCAATGATGTTCAAAGAGGATAAGTTCTACACGATGGAAGACAGACATCTTGGAGCCAAAGTGCTGAAGCTACCGTACCGGGGAGGTGTTTCCATGCTTATCCTGCTACCCAACAAAGGCAGGGACTACACTATAATTGATGATGAGATCACTGCTCCGAAGTTCCTCAGCTGGGTCAGAGGTCTGACAAAAAGGTAAGTGCACAAATACTTATTACATGGAAAAATGTCACATTTTACACCCACTCATTAAGCTTATCTTTTATAAACTTTTATATTATTTCATCATCCATATTCTGTTGTACTTAGCTATTTTTGTGACTTTGTGACCTTTTGTCTTGAAAGGTGCTTTGACAAGCATCCAGGAGCTAAAGTAAAAAATCATTATAAGATACATTATAGTGTCAAATACCTGCAGCAACAAATAACATGGGAGTCTACTTATCATGTCAAGCCATGTCTTGTTCACAGCAAAATGGAAGTCAACATGCCCAAATTCAAGATGGAGCAGTCGTATTCCCTGCACAATCTTCTGCCAGATATGGGCATGACCAGTGTCTTCAGTAATTCAGCCAATTTGACGAAGCTGAGTAGAAACGCTGCCATCAAAGTGTCAGAGGTTGGTTTTCAATTTTGCCATGCTGTACCAACATATTTACTTATTCCAGACCGCAGATGATGACCTCAATCTCTACTGTGAAATCACAGGTGCTGCACAAGGCTGTGATTGAGGTGGATGAGACAGGGACAACCGCAGCAGCTGCCACAACAATTGGCATTACTCCATATTCCTTACCCAGGACCTTCATTGTCAACAGACCGTTTTTCTTCTTCATATACCATGAAGACACAAACTGCCTGCTGTTCATGGGCAGGGTGATTGACCCCACCAAAAACTAGCAGTTGTGAAGTGTGTACACATAACGTTGTGTTTATTTAGTCTTCCAAAAGGCCTGATGATTTGAGATATGTGCTTTGGTCTGTTCTGTAAAGGCCCACTTATATCTGTTAATAAAAACTTTACATTGATGTGCCTTTCTTTGGGATTAAATCAGTAACAAATCATTCCAGCTCTAAAATACTTAGTATATATACTTGTGTGCAAAACTCATTCTAAATGACAACAGTACATACATGAGACATCAATAATATTTTACTAATAAATTACTTTAATTAGTTTTATTACTATTATTTACTCAGGCCAAATAAATAACATAGTCTAAGCCATGAATAAGAAAAACTTTTGGGTTGCCCAATCTCTGGCTAGTATACAAATATCCAAATAAACTTGCCTTGCTTTGCCTCGGTGTTTATTCTTCCCACCAGGGCAGTGGATAATTTTACCTCAGATGTTGTGGAAAAAACTAACTATTGATTAACCCTCAACTACTTATTGACATTTACTAATGCAGACTTGATGGATTATTGTAAAAACTCTTCGTCAGTGGCTTATTTATAACTGCGTGCAGGATTTACAAACTTTTTCTATAGGCTTATTAAAGACCTTTTGTAGTAACGTTACCATGTATACCTGCAGAGGTGATAGTTTATTGGCCCTTTATTTGTGATTTATTAACATTTACAACTGCAGACTTGATGCTTATTAGAAAGCAAGAAACGTGTAGTTAAATAAACGTATTAAATAAATGGTTTATTAACCATGAGTAAATATTACTGGCTATTTATAATGCCTTGATAAGTAGAGGCTGATGAGAAAGGGATTTCTATTATCGGTGAGGGTTAGATGAGATTGAGTTGTCATCGTCGTTCGACAAATAAAGTTTTTCAAAACCACGTGACCAACTCTGTCATGGCTGCGCCCTCGTGCCATGTGTGGTTGTCATCGGTTGTAATCATATTTTGAGTTCTCAAGAAAGCACAGAAAGTCAAGGTAAGAGCGCCGTTACTGTTTACGGTTGTTGTATAGTTGTCTATCATCTTAGTTTTGTACGAGTAACGTAAATAGTTTGACCTATCTACACGTAGTGCCTCGATCATTTCCGCTAACAGTGAAAAGTAGGATACACATGCGCTTCCAACAACTCTGAAGCAGTGTAATATATTCGCTTCACCCGGTTAATTTATGTATTTGTAGGAAAATGAAGACAAAGAAGATGAAACCGAAAAACAAGCGTCTGTCCTCTGGGCTGCAGAAAAAAGCCAAACGGAGTATTCACGTGAAAGGCAAATGGAAAGCAGTAGAGCTGGATCCCAGTCTCTTCTCCGAGGAGGGCCTGGAGGGTCTGGTGTGTTTTGAAGAGCTGACAAGTTACCGTCTGATAGACTCTGAAAAGGCTGCGGCCAAAGCAGCAAAAGAACTGAAAAAGAAGGAGAAGAATAAGGCGAAGAAAAGAAAAGCTAGCAAGGAAGAGGAGGGTGGAGGGGATCCTGGTGTAGAGAGCAAAGAGGGAGAGGAAACGGCTGAACCAGCCAAGAAAAAACCCAAAAAGAAGAAAAAAAATAAGAAACAAGCTGCAAAGGAATCAGCCCCACAAGACAGCAGTTCTACAGAAGTGGCAAAGAAGGATGAAGCTGCCAGTGAAGAGGGAGGAGAAGATGAAGCAGCAAAAGAAGGCACAAGCGATTCAGCAATCGGCTCTGAACAAAATAGCCAATCTAAAAATGCAAAGAAGCGCAACAAAAAGAAGAAAAAGAAACAGAAGCAGCAGATAAAAAATGATACGGAGAAAGAGCCTGGCCCGGAGCCTTCATCACAACTTCCAGCTCTGGAAAAAGACAAATCCTCTCAAGACAAAGTGACAAAACCCCCTAAAAAACAAGCAAAGAACTGGACAAATGCGGCACTTTCTGGATCTCAGGACAAAAATACCGATGTGGGTGCATGGAAGGACCTGTTTGTTCCCTCCCCTGTGCTAATGGCACTGAGTAGTCTTGGATTTGGTTCACCCACGCCGATTCAAGCCCTGACATTACCTCCAGCTATCAGGGATCGTATGGATATACTGGGGGCAGCTGAGACCGGTAAGATAAAATGCCTTTCATGCTTAATGTCAAAGTTTTTGTCCCACAATAATCTGTTCCATGTGAAATTAATGTGAGCACTGTCATTGCAGGAAGTGGTAAGACACTGGCTTTTGGCATTCCCATGATCCACACCATCCTGGAGTGGAAAAAAGGTTCAGATAAACCTGTTGATGACAACAATGAACCAACCACACTGGTGGAGAGCTTGTATTTACCAACTGTAAAGTCAGGTAATGCAGATGAATCCGTAACAGAAGAGAACCAGGAGGACAACATGGCGGCTGAGGAAGAAGAGGAGGCAGGTGTTGAAGACCAGGACCAAGGTGACTCAGATGAAGATGCCAGTGAGGATGATGAGTGTGGCGGTGAAGACGAAGGTGAGGATGAAAGGCTTGGATGCGTTCAAGTGATCAAAAATGCTGAGTTTGACTTTGATGACACTGCTGACGCTGAAGAAAAACCTGCTGGTGGTCAGAATCAGCCTCTGCTTGGACTGGTTCTCACTCCCACCAGGGAGCTGGCTGTTCAGGTCAAACATCACATTGATGCTGTCGCAAAATTCACAGGTAAGACATTTATCCTAATCTTATGCTAGAGGTCTTTGTCCCTTAAAAGATGTGTGAATGTCAAGATACTGAAGATGTTATTGTACTGCAGATATCAAAACGGCGATAGTGGTGGGTGGAATGGCACAACAGAAACAGAGGAGGATGCTAAAGCGCAGGCCAGAGATCATTATTGCTACCCCAGGACGTCTGTGGGACTTAATCAAGGAGAAACATCCACATCTGCTGAACCTCAGGCAGCTCAGGTGAGTGACAGTTCACACCTTTGATTCTTTTTTTACTCATTAAGTGCTGACAAAGTGCTTTAGTTATTTCTTTTAAACACGCATGCTTTATTACAGCAACAGCCTGGATGAAAAGATGAGAGAGAAATACGTAGAATAATGTAAAAAGAGGCCAGGCTCCCTTAAAGCAGTTAAAAGGCAACTTTTGAATTATTGTAGAGAATAATCTTGAAGTACCACAATGGTGTGAGTGTTTTGTTTTTGACAAGCGGGACAACCTTATTTGAAAACTGTTGTCTAACATCCCAGCAGTGGAATATTAATTAAAGAAAACTGCATGCGCATACATTACTGCTATTTGCAGGAGGGGTCTTGTGCAATCTCTTTCAAATAAAAGACCAGCAGCAGCAGCACAATGTTTTCTGAAAGCTAAACAGAAACCGCAGGCGCTGACTTTGTTTTTATTGAATTTGACTGCCTTCCAGAATTTAGCCAGGTCTGACTAGGAACTTGTATCTTCAGTAGTATCCTGACTTGGCAGCTCCAAGCCAAGCCAGCTCTGCCTTTATTTCTTAAACAGCTAAATGCTGACGAGAGGGTTGGAACGTCTGTGCACCTGGCAGTTGCCTTGGCTGTATTCATCTCCTTAAAGAATACTGCCAAGTCAGGAGAAACCTGTAGCCATGCATTAACACAGAGTACGTTTTATTCAGATCTCTATACAACAGAAAAAAGCACCTTGAGAGATGAATCAAAGATCAACATAAGGGCTCTCAGGATTGTGAGGAATATTTATATGATACACATCTAGAAGGAAGGCTGGTGTAAGTTTTAATGTGTCTTGTTTTTAACTACTTGGGGTTGTGTTATTCTGTAGGTGCCTGGTCATTGACGAAGCCGATCGCATGGTGGAGAGAGGCCACTTTTCAGAGCTGGAGAGTCTGCTGGAGATGCTGAACACCATTCACTTTAATCCGATGAGGCAGACATTTGTGTTCTCTGCCACGCTGACCATGGCTCACAGCCTGCCCACTCGCCTCCTGCAGAAGAAGAAGAAGAATCTGGACCAACGGAACAGGCTGGAAATTCTCATGGAGAAAGTGGGGATCAAATCCAAACCCAAAATCGTCGACCTCACCAGGAAGGAGGCAACGGTAGAGACGCTGACTGAGACACGTATCCACTGTCAGAAAGAGGAGAAAGACTTCTACCTTTATTACTTCTTGCTCCAGTACCCTGGGCGCACCATGGTGTTTGCCAACAGCATAGACTGTATCAAGAGACTGAACTCCCTGCTGGTTATCTTGGACTGCACTCCACTGCCTCTACACGCCAACATGCACCAGAAACAACGCCTCAAAAACCTGGAAAGGTTTGCTGAGAGGGAGAGGTGAGTGTTGCACACACTTGCAGTAGCAGTCTGAACTTATTTGCCTTAGGTTGACTTTATCAAGTAATAGTGTGGCTATGATGAAATATAAAAACCCGTTAACTGCAACCAGAGGCTTAAGGGTTTAATGTGCGCCGGGACAATGTTTCACATGAGTGGTTCCATCCTTGAGTTTTATCATAATGCATATTTACAGAGTATGTTCAGTAATTTACAAGTTTGCAGCTACAGTAGTTTTGCAAATTAATCCCCCTAATCGCTACAAGAAAATTTGAAGTTTCAAGATTTTACTACATTTAAAAGGCTTAATCAACAGATTTTGATTAAGCCTTTTTTTAATATTGAGAGGTAGGTGCTTCATTCTGAGGACAGACATAGTTTCATACAGGAGTTTTATTCACTCCTAAAAGTGGAGGGTGGAGAGACTGCTACAGCACACGTTGATATTCAGTCATGTCTGTACATGTGTTGTGCTGCTGCTCATCTTGGCAAGCTCTCCCCAGGAGAAGAAAATGCACTTTCCTAGTTAAATTAAAGTTGAAAAAATGATCACTGTAGTAATTGTAATCATTAAACACATTAAACGCAGCCCCATTTGGTAACTTTCAGTCCAAATTTTTCCTTTTTTTTTTTTTTTTTTTTTTTTTTTTTTTTTTTTTTTTTTTTTTTTTTTGTAATAAGCAGTAGCAGTAAATAATAATAATAAAAAAATGTAAATCATGAAGCCAAAACTCAAACCCAAAAAGAAATACAATATTTCTATCAGAAACGCTGAGCTCCACCTTTAATTCCACGCTTTACTGAACTGACTGGATTTAATTTACAGTTGTGTTCTGCTGACTACTGATGTAGCTGCAAGAGGACTGGATATCCCCAACGTTCAGCACGTTATTCACTACCAGGTATGATTTTTGACAGTTTTTTCCGAAGCCATTTATTATCTTTGACGGTGAGCTAGTTCCTCAAATTTGGTTACCTGAATTCAAAACACATTAACATTGCTACCAACTAACCGTAACACTAACCACCATACAACCCTGAGCTGTAGTGCAGGAGACTTGTACTGTTTGAGCTGAATTTTGTTTACCAACTGACAGGAAAATGAGAATAAAAAAAAAAATCCAGTTTTAACTTTTGAGAGTGTTATTTATAGAAGTTACTTTTCTCATTTATTGTCTTAAAATTAAAGACTGAAACATCACTGTGCATGGTCAGCGTTTTTGTTTAAAGAATATAACAACTTTTTGTTGACTGCAGTAGTGGAATAGAAGCTGGTGTAATTGTCATACTGCCGCTAGTGTTATAGAGAAAGTCTTACTGATAACGGATAAAATAATTTTTATAATGTTCTGCTGTGTACATCAGGTGCCGAGGACATCTGAGACTTATGTCCATCGGAGTGGCAGAACAGCAAGAGCCACTAAACAGGGTCTTAGTTTGCTGCTAATAGGCCCAGACGACATGATGAACTTCAGAAAGATTTACAAGACTCTTGGAAAGGACGAGGAGCTTCCAATGTTCCCCATAGAAACCAAATGCATGGAAGCAATTAAGGTGAGATCCATTGGCATTAGTTCTTGTCTTAGGGATGTTAAAGAGATTATATTTGATCGTTTACTTTTGAATATGTGCTTCCACAGGAGCGAGTAAACTTGGCTTTGAAGATAGAAAAGATTGAGTTCCACAACAGCAGGGAGAAGCAGCACAACTCCTGGTTCAGGCAAGCTGCAGAGGCCCTGGAGGTGGACCTGGATGATGATCTTTTACTTGGTAAGACCAACATAACCCTACCTATGACAAAAAAATCTCTTGTAATATGTTACGTCTATTGAAAAATGGTCAAATACAGACAGCTGAAGATGCCATGTATGTCCACAGGCAGAGCAAGGGATGAGGACTCTGACAGAGAGCAGCAGAAGATGGTAAAGGGGATGAAAAAGCATTTGAAGCATTTGATATCCCAGCCTGTGTTCAAGAGTGTGATAAAGACCAAGTACCCCACTCAAATGGGAAAGCTGTCCCTGCCTCACATGCCTCGTTCAGGGATGGAAAGTGCCCTAACCAGGGTTTCAATAGAGGAGAAGAAGCAGAAGTTGAAGAAAGGTGTTCCACCACAGCAGAAAAAACAGAAGCAGAAGAAAGAAAAGCAGCAGTGATATGTTAATGGGAATGTGTATTTAAAAAGTCCATCTTTGACCTGATTTCTTTAACTGTTAATTACATAAATGTATATTTTAAAATTCATTACAGTTCATTCAAATACAATTATTTCACAATGTGCAACAATTGTATTTCCAGATGTTGTTGAATCTCTGTACACTGCAAGATTTTTATAAAAATCTGTTTTCAAGTGTCTTAAAGCACAGTTGTGATTTATTCAACCAAAGTCAATATTCCTGAGTTGATCACAGTTCTGCTGCATCACTGGTCAGTGATATGGTCGAGGGTAGAGAATGTTATAATGTGACGTTTGGTAGAGGAGGTGCAGGGAGGGTTCAGCACCCTCTGGAATGATGTGGTGAGCCAACTCCTGTTCATTACCCTCCATAGAGACCACATGTATGCAAATGTCCAGGGCCTCTGACAGAGCCAGGATGTCCACGTGATCACACTCCATCGCCATAGTCTCCACTTCCTGAATGAAGAGAGCAAAGACATTACCGAACCTGGCAGATGTTTTTCCTTGACCTATCCTCTGTTTTAAAAAAAACAAAACAAAAAACAGACTTGACTAACAGACTATCTTCTGTTTTCTTCACTAGATGGCAGCAATGCTTTACTAACCTGACAACAGTATGCCTGTAGATTGGGAGCCTCCACAAAGTTGCGGAAGAAGTCAGCATGGTTTTGTAAGTGTGCTGAAGTAAGCAGCCTAAGATACTGCACCACACTGTCGGAGGTGGTCTGCTCATTGAAGAGCCTTAGCAGCGTGTCTTCCTGCTCATCACCCTGGCACTGCTCCACCACATTTACAACCTTCAAGAGGTACAAAACAGTTGAACATTACACAACACATTAAATTTAGCTGGTAATACAATAGAGGATGGGACACTTTTATTTTCATTCCAAATTTTTTTTAATAAACACAGAAGTCTAGTAACGCACTAATTGGGCTTCACCAAGAGCATATTAATAGTAAGGCGCTACCTATGTAAGGATTTTTATCAATTTATTAACAGGCATGCAGAGATTTTCCACTGTTTAGTCAGTTTTCATTAAATTGTGTTCTGTTGATACTTTTGTTTACCCGATTTCCTTACAATATTTGCATCAAGTGTGACCTGCCAGAAAATGTAATGAAATTAAATGAAGGTGAGGTACAATCAAATCCCCTCTAGAGTGTGTGAATGAAACTGTGCCATACAGCTGATTTCAGAACCTGAGAAAGACACTTATCCAAGCAATAATTTTATTAATTTTTTGTGCTTGACACCTCAATTCTTTGCTTTTAAATGTGTCGTGACAGTCACACTAAGTTAATTGACTACCCTGGTTTTAGGGCCCAAACTGGAACGCCACAAAGTGAACAGCGTTTTTTGTTTTTTTTTTAATCTGCCACTGGTTTCTGTACCCCACTTTGTCCTATTACCTGACATAGAATCATTTCTAAATGGTTCCTCCTCAAAAGTAAGTTATTTGATGCTTTTCCCTGAGCAGAATTATCATTTATTTAAAAAAAAAAAAAAAAAAAAAACTCTTTCAGTGTCTTATTAGAATTTTTAACTCAATTACTCGACTGTTAAATAAATGGTGTGATTGTAAAAGGTATTTTTTACTGTGATCAGGTGGTGCTTGAAGGAATTCTCATCAAATCCCGCAGAGGACAAAACTTTGCCGCTTTCAGTTATTTTGTCCTTGAATCTGAAATTGAAACCAGTAAGAAATGATCTTATTCATCTACATAATGTAGTGTGTCATCAGCCCCTTTACATTTTGGGTGACTTTAGTGAGGGTAAATGTCAGTAATGATGATAACGGTGGTGTTAACTGACCTCTGCAGAGCCCTGGCATTATGTAGGACTGACTCCATATGTGCGAAGCAGAAGGCTCTGTAGAAGCAGTTGCCATCCCCTCGCACTTTTCTCACGGAGGAAAACTGGCTGCTTAAATCCTAACAAAGGACAATAAAGTCTGGTTATTATGCGGTGGGCCGGTTGAGTTAAGAGGGGTAACTATGACCACCTGCAGTGCACCATCCCAGCCCAGATAAATAGCCTACTTTATGCTTGGCACCAGGCGTTTGCTCAGGAAACAGCGAAGAAATGTCCTCTCTGCGTGAAACAAGGCTGCCTGCCTCCATCTGTCGAAAAACAAACAGCTTCACTATCTGCGAGACCGAAGAGCAGTTTAAAAGGTCGACAGCATGGAAACAGTGTAAGAAAACGTAATTAGTGTAGCAAGATTCCGTGCATCAAAAACTGTGTCAACACCATTGTTGCAATTTTATTTCCATTTTCTGTAAACCGGATGTTTGCAGGTACCACGTGCTTGTGCTTAAAGCGACAGTACAGGGTCTGTTACATGTTTGAGTCCTGTCTTGGCAGATGCCTTTTTGTGACCTAAAAATAAGCCTTAAGTTGATTTTTTTTTATCTAATATAATTTCCTTCAGAAGTTGACAGGCGAGTTCTTTCTGTGAACTGAAACTTGACAATATTTCTCTTTTACAACCGCAGATTTACAAAAGACATAAACCTTCACAGTTATAAATATAGGCCTAATGCAAGACTTTTTCTTTTCCTTCAAATATATAATTGTGTTTCTGTTTAATTTTCTCATTAATTTAAGCATTGTTATTCAACAGCAGCAGCTCTTGTGGTAAAATAAAGGGAGAGAGATTAAAAATTTGTTAAAACTTGTATTATTAAAAAAAATTATAATTATATGGCTGAACAGATGTGGTTTACCAGTTTACTCCACAACATACATTACTTTATATCACAATATATTCTAGGTCACTTTCTCTCCAAATCAGAAGCCAGTGCCTACCTTTTAGTCCACAGTGAACAGCAGCAGCTCAGGTTGAGAGAACAAGGAATAATAGTTAGTAAAGAAGACAATCTTTGACTTACCAATTAAGTAATTTTACATGTAGTCTATAAACAAGTGTAGCATATGGCAAGTCATGTTTTTTTTTCACCATATTGTTGATTACAAATTTGGAAAATGTGATACATTCAAACCAAAACAAACTGTTTTCAAATCAATACAGAGTTGTTAACATATTCCTCACCTGTCCAGGAACAACCCTGTTTTGTTTATGTCTGTGAGGGTACAGGCCTTAGGGGGGGACATTGCAATTGGACCAACGGGACCAGTGCAACAATTTGATGTCCCTACCCAGACTGCATTGGAACATAAAAAAACAATGGATGACTATGAGTGAAAGGATTTTTTCAAGTTTTATAAAAAACTAAGGCATCTAGAGTGTTTTTTAACAAGGCCTATTAGTCAGGATTCCTTGTCTTATGTTAGCTTTTCTTGTTTTTTCCGTTAGTGTTGGTAGGTAATGCTGTGGAAATAGGTCTGGCAATGCAAGATTAGAGAGTCATCAACAGTGGTGGAGAAAGGGCTACTCAGATCCTTAAATAAAATTACTAATAAAATAAAAATTATAATTAAAAAATATACTGTGTTATAATGGAAATGCTCCTTTTGATTAAGTAAAAGTAGAGAAGTATTATTAGAAAATTGTACTCAAAGTATCAAAATAAAATTACTCACAATTCTGAAGCAGGCAAAGCAGGCACACACAATGTGGCCCCTTAACTGGGCAACCCAGATTATTACTTAATTTTTAGGAATGTAAATTACAGACAAAACAAACCCCTAAAAAGTATGGCTGAACATGCTTTGCTACTTAAACTGCATTGCCCAAAGGAGTAGCAGCATTGCAACATATCTGACGATCACTGTCTGCACTGCAAAGCTGTGAAAAAAAAAAACCTGTATGTACAGAATTGTCTGACAACATGGAGCAGGCCTTGCAAAGTCAGGTTCGCTCTGCTACACTATATTTTTCCTCTATTAAGTTCATAAAATGCAGTATATTACTAACAACTCCCACTCTACATAATTCAAAATACTTCTAAATATAATTTAAATCTGAGAAAACTGCATACGTACCAGTGCATACTTCATACTACATCATTTGATTGTGACTATTTTATTTTAAAATGCAACAATGATTACATTCGTGAGATACATATTTATAAAGTCATGATGCTCAATTACATTTGATCAACTTGTTTTCGAAACCTTTATGAAATTTTAGGTGGAAAATTTTTGCATAACATTTTTCATCAAGACTTAGGAACACTGAAACTCTGTTACACAAACCAAACCACTCTTAAATATTGACAAAGGATCTTAACACAGCTAGCTAACTCTAGCCTTTTCCAGAGCTTTAAAATGCATCTCACAGTCCTGATGGGTTCTCTTAGTTGACAAATTTAATATTTGAAAAGATTTTTTTGTCAATCTGTTTTTTCCATGATCAAAAATGAACGTTCACGCTCAACAAATTTAGTTTTCTATAAGCAGTCACATCATAAGTTGTAAAAGTTCTACATCAACCCATTGTCTCACTCTTTCTGCTGACTTTACTTGAACTTTTGATCTGTGTTTTACTGCCAATGCTTTTCATTGATCCCCTCTCTCTCTTGTCTGTCAGAGCTGTTCTGCTTGTCATTGCAGACCCAGACTCCATTAGTCTCCTCGCTCTCTTCTCCGTGTCTGCCTTGTCCAGTATGTACTCCTGAAATCAAACTCTTGGTTACTCAAAAGTTAAGTAAAATAAGCAATATAAATTATACAGATGCTAATAACCAAACTCATCCCTGAGGATATTACCTTCACCATGCCCATCATCGTCAGTACATTCATGTTTTCCAGAGGTCCATATCCTGGTATATAACACTGCTCTGCAAGGTTGTTGATGGCCATAAGCAAGCGTCCCACTTCCTCAACCTGGGAGAAAGTGCACATATGGCAGTATTTCTGTCTGTAACTCCTATATGTAAATTACCTAAGGGTTATATCCAACTCATTATCTTGAGTGCATACCTTCTCTCTGGACAGGCCTTGCTCCATCAGCAGGTTGACCTCTGCCTGCTTGTTCTTCTCTTTAAGTGTTTCCAACTCACTCTGGAGTTCAGACAGTTCTTTGTTGGCCATCTGCAACAGCCGTAAAAAAAAAAAAAACACCATTCAAGCACTGCCAATTGAAGAAATGCTGCACTGTATATCTCAATGTGCAAGTCTGACCAGTTTCTTAATGCTGTGTTCCTGTGTCATGGTCTGCAGTTGTCGCTGGCCCTCCTCCACCTCCTCCTCAAGTCGCCCCAAACGTTGCAGCAGCTCCCGGTTGGTGATGGACAGGGTCTCATGACGCCGAATGATGGGCATAACCAAAGATTCAGACCCATTATCGAGGTAAGCTGAAAAAGTTTGGTCCATGTTATTGCCAGCGTGTAATTAACTTGTTAGGATAAACCAAACAAATTCATGTAAAAGCTCACCCATGGAGGGCAATGAAAGTCAGTCTTGTACTTACTGCTGGGGAGATAATCGAGTGTTTTCATCAAGTAATCCTCATAGATCTTGTATTTTGTCATTCTCTCTTTTAAAACTTGCTGTCTGTGAAATGAGACATGACAAAGCTGAGGTGAAAAAAGTGACTTAATGAACAATATTACATCAAGACTTGGTTTAAACTCCTCACCTTGCCTGAAGCTGTTTCAGCTGTTCTGTCAGATCTTCTATCGCTCTCTGCTTCAAAATGTTCTGCTCCTGTGCAGCTTCATACTTCTTCAGCGCTCTACATCGCTTCACTTCATTTTCAGCCACAAACTTCTCAAATTTCATCGCCCTCTCTTTAGTCTGGGTGAAAATACAAACAAAAAGTATCGGAACAAAGTTATGTTTAATGCCAGGTAGCATCAGTGACTGATATCTACTCATTTATTACACTTGAACGCAAGCAGGTTTAGGAGCAAACGATGAGGTTTTCAGCTCACTTGCTGTTGCTTTATCTCCAGTTCAGACTTCCTCTTTGCTAGAGCCTCCACGCAGCTCTTAAACTCCTGCCGTTTGAGTGCAAGTAGCTTGTCCACCTCATCCAACTCCGCCTGTTTCTTCAGAACCAGGGTCTTTCGCAAAGTGTTCACTCCTGCCTCAAGGACTCTGCTAGCAGTCTACAAATAAAACATAGCCAGCACAAACACTGAAACTCTTCCAATGTGCTCAAATAAGCAAGTAAAGTTCATTTACTGTATGTAGAACTTATTAAAATAGGATGAAGAAAAGGGAAAATAAGAAGGAGAGAAAAGAGAGAGACAGAGATAACAATATATAAAAACAAACAGAATCACAGAATGAACTTGGAATGGCTTATAGGTTTAAGGTGTTTTTTCCATAAAAAAACAACAAAAAAGAACTATATATAAACGAACTAGAATATCTTTAAAATGATCAATTAACTCAATTTTCTGTATATTGCGTGAATGCACAATCTTACCTCTGTTACAACAGGTATGTGATTGACATCTTTCTCCTCTCTGTGTCTGTGGAGATAACTGACAGTCAGTAGGGCCTAACAATACCATTCAGTCAACACGTGTATGAATGGGTTTTAAAGACAGAGGCTGTGGACATGCCGTCCACTGTGTAGTGTAAGAACAGGCCTACCTGGTGTCTTCCGACTGTGTTACGAAAATGTTTCTTATTCTGTTTTCCACCTTGAGTTTTAGACAGTCTCTGTTATCTAAGAAGGGAAGAGAGGACGTCGTCATGATTAAGTAAATTTACTGTGGATGAATCCTGATGAGTAAACAAGACTCCTGCAGTTATTCCACGTTCAGACGATCAGAAAGACGATCGAGGCTCCTTCCCGGATGTTTTCCTACATTTGTGTGGCGGTTGCTTAGTAACCACCGACGAGACAACTGGGAATGCGCCGGGATCGTTTCCCGTTGTCATGGCAACTGCCGGGGTGGCGGTTCAGTGTTACTGGCTTGAATGAGAGGCATAGAAATGAGATCGTTAAGACCGGGAGGAGGTGAAAGCGAAGAGTGCCCACTCCGTCCTAAGTACCGCGAAACGTGGACCAAGTTCACTCTGAGCCTCTGAGTCCAGATCGTTGACTGGGAGTTGTCTGGGAGTTGTCTGGGATGTTGTCTGGGATGTTGTCAACTCTGTAAAGAGCTCACGTGAGAAATTCTGCTACTCTGCAGACTTTACCAGCGGGGTATGTCACATAATTAATTTCACTCTGTGGAAATGGAATGAAAAACAAAAAAAATGCAGGCAAACACATCTCCCTCCCAAGTCAAAGAGCACAATACAGACTTTATACAGTCTGAGGCTGCAATACATGTGCCCATACTGGGCGTTTAAATTCAGTAAGGCCAAGATGACAGATTCTGACAGTAACACAGCAGATAACTTTATATTAAATATCCACTCCAGTCATATAAAGATATATAAACATAGCCAGCTTTGAATAATAATTTGTGCCTGAGGTTTTTCACACAAAAAATGTATAACCTTGTTAAAAATTTATGAAATTAATTTATGAATATGCAAATGTTGCTCATTTCAGAGGTTTAAGTACAGGACTCACAGAAAAAGTTCATTCTCTGTGTGTGTGTGTGTGTGTGTGTGTGTGTGTGTGTGTGTGTGTGTGTGTGTGTGTGTGTGTGTGTGTGCGCGCACTGGAAGTTTCAAGTTTGCACATCACACTTGTGTAAGTTGCATTATCCACCATGATTTGTTTTCCAACTGGTTGTGATATCACAAAATCATGCATGTACGTGCACATCAAACTTGAAGTAAGCACTTTCCTCCTCCAGCAGATGGATGTGAAAACAGACTTTTGCTGCCATTTGTCACTCTGCACAGTGACGGTCACATATCAAGTGAAGTCACAATAAGCAAAACAAATATGCGGAGGAGGAGGAGGGTAGCTTGAAAAATACTTGGTTTACTAGACCTTTTCATAGTGGACATTTTGACACATCTTTGCAGGAGAACCGCAGGTTTAATTAATAATAATAATAATAAGAGCTGAACTTTTAGCTTTTAGTTTTAGGGCCAGGGTGAATGTTTACGCTGACTCACTGGCAAGGCTTACTGATACAGTTCCATGGAACAAATCCAACATTAACAGTATTAATTACACTCGTGCTTTTCATGCTATGACCAGTCAAAATATCTGCTCATTCCAGGACCCTAGTATAATGATATTATAAGTGCTGTTTGGTGTTTTTATAGCATTACCTGTGATCAAAGAATGAGTCATCTTTCACAACCTAGTTAAATAACCAAGCTTGTTTTGGGTAGAATGTGTGCCCCTCAGAAATTTGGAAACAGCCTCAGAGGTCGTCTCGCCAAGTTCCTTCAGCTGTAAATAGATACACTGAAGGACTTGTTTGTGTCACATCCAGTTTGAATGCAGGAAGCATTTTTCACAAACACTTCTGAAGAAGTGATTGTGAAACAAAAATCTGCTGTCATTGTTCTGCTGTTTTTAAAGCACATTTCACACTTCATCATGTTACAGAAAGAGCTGACACAACAGAGGACCATTAGACAGGGCTATTCTTGTTGTAAAGGAGGATCAACAAATTTATAAAGTAACTGCTGTGAATGGGGATCAGGAACACTGTCACCTGGTGAGTTGAAGTTTTTGAAATATGTCTGAAGCTTTAAAGAAAAGAAATTGAAACATTTTTATATGTTTGTGTGCATTTCATCTTTGTTTAAATATACAGTATAATGGGAAAAAATGCATTTTCTTAGTCCATTAATCATAGTCATAGTTGAGCAAATAAACTGAAACTCCAGCTTTATGTGTTATTTTAATGCCATCGCTCTGCCGCATAACTCACTGTAACACTCCACACAACCTCACATCAGTGTTGCCTCTGGAGCAGCAGAATCAAGTTGAACCGAACACAGTTGAACATGCCCTTAAAAGGCATCTATCCTCAGAGCCTGAGCTGCTGCCCTCTGATGTCTGCTGGTGCAGATTTTAGCTCTTTCAAATTGGCTTGGTCTCTAATTCATACAGTATGACGATACAGAATGTGTGTATTATACTGTGCATGTTGATGTTGCATTTTTTGTTTTAAAGCTTTGCCAACCAGATTTTTGCTGCCATTGACATTTTGAATTTGGTTTTATAATCCTTTGATTACTGGATCATCAGCCCCATCCGTGGTCTGTGAAGAGGACAGCAGCACACTGTTGGATGTCCGGGTCCTCAGACTGGACAACAAATCTTCTCCTGTGATGCTTGCAGTCAGCAGATCCAGGTCTCTTTACCAGAGACTAAACGATGATATCAAAGACAGACTGGCTCTCTACTCCTTGGGTCTCCACACTGCAGACACAACAGTGAACTTGCTCAGGTGAGGAAAAGTGATATTACTTCAGTTCAACAGTATTTTATAAAGCTTTACCTTATTACATTACATTGCATATATGCACATGACTTTAGATTTTCATTTGCAAATGAACCGAATAAAACAATTCTTAAAGAAATTTAAACTTGAAACAAATTTAAACTAATTGATGTGGTGAAGAAAAAAAATACCATGCCTATGTATTATTTTATATAAAGTTATGAATTACTTGTACATGGCATGGTTCTGAAATGTCATAACGATGGATCACCATAATTAATAAATTGTCAAAGTAAACCTGAAAACACTGTTAAAGTAAAACAAAAAAAGGTTGAAGTAGAACCTTTTGTGGAAACATTTACATGTGTTGTTGATTGTCAGGATAGTTTACTCAGTACAGATGACTACTGCTTCAGACAGTTAACTACTATCTCATGGTCAGGTCCCCAAAAAGGTTTATTTACATACATTGGAGGTGAAACGTGACCATTATTATTAAAACACAGAGAGAGAGAGCAGTAAAAGGATTAATGGCACAGTCCTGATACTTGTCTCGCCTGCAAGTGCATGCGGTCTGTCAATCACAAAACACCACCCTCTTGTGGAGATACGTCAGCCAGCTGAATGTTAATTGATGAGTAAAAATGTTAAACAAATGAAGCTATTGAGATCCGCCTAGAGGTGGTGAACATGAATAATTGTGTCACTGTGACAGGAATCTTCATAGGACAGTTTTGCCCGACAATGTACACAGCCAAACCAAATGATTACAGTCTAGCAAGAACAATGCATTAAGACCAAATTTGGTCACCAGTTCCCAAGAAAGGATATATTTTGAATACTTTTAGGAGGCCTGAGAAAGAAAATGATTTCCTTTTGAAAGGTAAAAGCTTTAAGATTGAATAAAAGCCTGTGGATCACATTGCCATATGGGAAATAAATTGATTTCATTTTTTCTAGTGTTAAAACCAAACACAAAGCAGAGGTTACAGTCATGACTGAAGCTCCCACTGAGGACACCATGTCATCAGAAAGAAATGTCTTAGACTTGTGTAAATCATATAGATCAGTTCGATGGAAACATCTGTAGCACTGTCCAATCATAAGCAGTCAACTGTAGAAACAGGAAGCAACGCAAGCTGTAACATTACTTCCAAAAAATAACAGTTTTAAGCCAATGAATGTATCAAATGTGATAACTTTGTTTTATTATGTGCATACATGAAGAGGTGTGTATGAGTTTGTTGTAGGCCTATTCACATAGTTGAGAAAGAGTGGAAAATATTTCACTACGCGAACCTACGTGATGTTATTTAGTAATTCAGTATAACATTTTGTAAGTTGCGGTAAGCTTTATTGTGTTACTTTTGATTTTCCCAGTTTCATCTCTGTTTGCAGAGAGGAAGACATGAGGAGGTCGTTTTTTACAGGACTGTCGCCAATTTACATATTTTTTTAATCAATCGATTGATCAGTAAGAAAGTAACTCTTTTGGCTAGTCAAAATGTGTAATTAGGGTGTCAGTGAGAGAACTAAAACACCTTATTTCAAAAATCTCAGCTACAGTCCATCTGACTATGGGAGCTTGCAGCTCCTTTATCTCTTACTAAAAGTGAAGGACTTACAGTAAGACTCAAATAACGGTCCCTGTGGACAAATAGCCTGCAGTACAGATCTTCAATAATGCATTCAAAAGTGAGAAAGGCAGCTGTGGCCAATGAATTTGTTGATTTTATCTTTTATCTTCTTTGTTAGTCCTTGTTTTGTGTTTGTCTCTGGCACTGTGCTTTTTCTTCCAAATTCCCCTTTAAGATTAATGCTTTTTACTACCTGGTTGTTTAATTTGGAAACCAGCCAATGAAATAAAGGCTACATGCAAAGACAGCCATTTCGGTTTGGAGTGCATTATCTTGAGTGCTGTTTGCCTTATCTCTGGATGTCCGAGTCTCTTGACATATATGGATAAAGCCGTCACCCTGCCGCCTGACAATACAGTCCCAAAATAATCTGAGAGAGCACAGCTGAGCGGAGCTCAGCGCCGCTCCGTCGCCTCCACCGCCGCGCTGTGTGGGAAACACTGCCGTGAAATCTTCCATCAGAAATGACGAAATTCTGCTATTCTGAATACTTATCTCAGTTCCGTAATGCTGGAGGTAAATGTAATAATGCGATGTCGCGAATGCGAGGAGATACGGGGAGAGGAGACGGTCAGAGCGACGTAACGTCAGAGCCGGAGTGAGTCTTTCGTTGTTGCTGTTTGACACAGAGGCACCATGTGTTTGTATGTACGCGCGTGTGTGTGTGTGTGTGTGTGTGTGTGTGTGTGTGTGTGTTGGGGGTCTTTGTGCACTCGTAAATAGATAAGAGTATGAGCGGGTCTTTTTTATTCTAGATTAGTTTAATAACATGGTATATCAGTTAGGATTGGTTATTAAGGTTTAATTAAGATAATCACCTAAATTTAAAAAAAAAATCAAGGTCGGTGGTTGCGTGAAAACTACATCCCTCAAACACTGCTGATGTCTCTCTAGAATTACACTCCACTGCATTTAAGTGTAAGTCAATTCAAGTGTTTTTCTCTTCACTCTGTCTTTCTCTTTCTCTCTCTCCTTTCAAGGGATGTTGACCCGGTGCTCTTTGCCATCAGGAGAGGGGATGTGGAGGCTGTTAATGATCTGGCAACATCAGCTCCTCACAGCCTACTGAAGGAGAACAAAGATGGGTGGATACCTTTGCATGATGCTGCCTACTGTGGACAGGCTGAGTGCTTGAAGACCCTGCTGCGGGGTATGACACTTGAGGCATCATTGTTTTTCCCAAACAGTGCATTAATTTGTTCACAGTTTGACCTTAGTTTCAAAATGTAGGAAGAGAAAACATAGATATATTCAGAGAGGTGTCTTGGTGCGTTGGTTGCACATACTTGAGATGCTAAATGAGTCACCCGACTGGTTTGTGTGATATGCATATTGTCTGCTCCAGTCCATCCAGGTTCAGTAGACAAACGTACCTTGCAGGAGCAGACGGCCTTGCTGCTGGCTGTGTCTTGTGAACATTTGTCATGTGTGCGGTGCCTTCTGGAGGCTGGCGCTGACCCAGACATCAACAGCAAGAACAAAGAAACCCCTTTGTACAAAGGTACAGCTGTGAAACCGATTGTATACAACAGGACTGTTTGGAAAAAACAAGTATGGATAACCATATATCTGCCAGGTACTGGGTAGAAATGACTCTGTGTCTTGTCTGTCTCTGTAGCATGTGAGTTGGAGAATGTGGATACAGTGAACCTCATTCTCTCTTATGGGGCCACTGTGAACCAGCGGTGTGGTCAGGGCTGGACAGCCCTCCACGAAGCCGTATCCAGGAACAACACAGAGATCTGTGAGATTCTAATAAGAGCTGGGGCTGTAATCAATCCACCTAATACCTACAGCATCACACCGCTCACTGTAGCAGCTCAACAAGGACAGATGAGGGCACTGTGTTACCTGATTAGAAAAGGTACTTCACTGCACAAAATTCTCCTACTTTTCACATTACTCATCCTCATTTAAAGGTTATAAAGAAAGTATGCTTTTCTGTAGGCGCAGATGTGAACATGCAGACATGTGATGGCGTTACCGCCCTGCATGAGGCCAGTAAAAATGGCCACAAGGAAATCGTAGCAGTGCTGTTGACTAAAAACGCAGATGCCAACAAAACCACCAACTCAGGTCTGCTGCCTCTACATCTAGCTGCCCAGTATGGACACCACGAGTAAGTTGACGTACTATCACTTGTTAATTGTTATTATAAAAGAAAACATCAGTCAAGATCTAACATTTGTATTAGGATACAAGATTTGTGGTTATAATCTACAGTAGAGTGGCTATTGTAATATATTGGTGTTATGTTAAGAGTTATATAATCTCCTCTGCAGTTGTTGTTTTTAAATATTTTTCATTAACATTGTCACTTTTGTGTTGAGGATTGTGTCCCTGCTTGTCTCAGTGACAAGTCGAGCCCGGCTCCGGCACAGTTGGATCAGCCCCCTCCACCTGGCAGCAGAGCACAACAGACACACAGTTGCAGCTGTGCTTCTGAAGACAGGTGCAGATGTAAACGCCACACTGGCCCATAATCATTCCATTCAGTATGCCGATCGCCGCGCGACAGCCCTCTACTTTGCCATTGCCAACGGCAGCACCAAGACAGCAGAGGTGCTGCTAAACGCCGGCGCTAGTGTGAGCCTGGACCCAGTCAGTCCTCTACTAATGGCTGTAAGTCAGGGCTGTGTCAGCACCGTGTCCTTACTGCTAGAGAGAGGGGCCGATGTCAACGCCAGAATCCCATCTTATGGTACTACGTTCCCTGCTGTTGTTGCACTTTGCATGAACAATCTGCCTCTACTCAAACGCCTTTTGGACAACGGCTGCGATGCCCTCTCCTGCTTTAACTGTCCATACGGCAGTGCCCCTCACCCAGCTTCAGGAGGATCCCATATAAGAACTGTTGGCAGCAATGGGCATGTCTTACAAAATGACAGTGTGCTTGCTTTAAACTGCTGTGAGCCATCAGAAAGAGCAACACAGGTGTGAAAAATAAGCAAAAACAGTCTCATGCATTTCACCATAACTGAAACTTGTATGTTCTTTTTATGTAATTAAGCTTTTATCTGAATTTCTCTTCCAGTTCTGCGAGTGGATCTCAACACCAGTTATGTGTCAGTGGGCAGGACCAATCATAGACTTGCTGCTGGAGCATGTTGGTCATGTTCAACTGTGCAGCAAGCTCACTGAACTACTGGACAGCCGAGAAGAATGGCTTGCTGTTAAGAGGAAGTCATGTGAGTACAAAATCTTATCATTTACTTACTTCCTTATATATCTCCTTATGCAAACATGTACCCTTCCACTCTGTCTTTCATTTCCTCACACGTGCATACAACACATATGTGGTCTTCAAATATGCAAGTGACAGTGCTCTTTATCTTTATCTTCTCTTTCTGTCTAAAGTGTCGCCTCGTCCACTGCAGCACCTCTGCAGATTAAGCATTCGGGTCCAAATGGGGAGACGCAGACTGAAATCTCTCACAAGTCTACCTCTGCCAGACAGAGTGATCCGATACCTGAGCCTGACTGACTGACTTTAAGATGACCTTCAAGCACTATATGCATGAGAAATGTGACTAAATTTATCTATTTGTGGTTCTTTTTTTAGTTGTGTCTGATGTCTTGAATCTGTACATAGTCCTCTCAAAGCAGTTCTCTATGTATAAAATATCTATTTATAGCATAGGTGATGTGACAATAAGGTTCTTTAATCTGTCCCTTAGAGTGTTTTTTTTCACAGAAACCATCAGTGAAAGTTAAAAATGATCTAATGCCCAAGGGATTTCTTGAAGGAAGTTGAATCATTTATTTAAAAATAAAAGCAATTGTTTCAAATGTGCCTATGACAAACAAAAAGCAAAATCTATGCCCCACATTCTATTCTCATAGTTGAAAGAGGAAACTAAAACAGGATGCTTTAATGCATTTGCATGGCTTCTTCCTACCTTACAAAGAACAGGCAGTATCTGTAGAAACCTAAAAGTAGAAACCTTTTAACTTACTGTCAATTTTCAGATACTTGGTGACATCAGACTGGCATCAAAGTGAAGCTGATGAAGTTATTCTGCAAGTGCAATTTAGTCCTTTAGATTTAAACAATAAAAATAGATGAAGCATTCCAATAAGTGCTTGAGGAAGAGTCTCATGTTCAAATGCTGAAAGAGAAAGAGGCTGTGCAGAAACACAAAATGAAAGCAATTAGTCCTATATACATTTATTTTAAGTGTGAGTAATTATATGAATCCAAACACGCTGAAGATCGGTGACTGGACGGTGGGTTTGGTCGGTATGGGTTTGACCACAACATGTGTGTGAATTTTCTGTCCATAAGGATGCTCAGGTCTCTCTGACTCAGTCCCTGCTGTCTTGCCCCACAGTCCCACAGGTGGATGGGGGACAACAATGTGACTGTGGAGGACCTGGTGTCCGTGGTACTGGAAGGGGCAACAGCCGCACACACTCACACAGTGGTGAGAGGTCAGGTCCAATTTAAGCGTCTCTTTGTCCGCAGAGCTGCGCCGACTGGACGCAGACAGTGTGGCCTTTGCATCATTACCATAATTCCTTTTTCTCTTTTCATTTTCACCGCCCTCAGATGTGGACGCAGGGCTCCTTTTCAATGCTAAATGAGAGTGCTCCCTCTTAGTTTGGGTCAGCTTGGGTTCCTCCCAAAATGAGGCTGGTAGCTGGCGTTTCCTCATAGGCACCTGCTCCACTGCGCTCCCCACATTCTCCACATCTTGCGCATCCGAGCTGGCCTTTTCTGCGACCTTCACACTTTGGTGACCTGTCCCCACCGGTCTTCCGCATCCATATTCCGCGGGCCTGTGCGTGTGGCATCTTGGCACCCTAGAGTACTTCTGCGAAAACCGCTTCAGTTGTTTCTGCAGATATTTCCTGTGATCCACGGAGCGTCTGCACGGAGCTGACTTATCCAGGGCCGCCTTGATGTCACTGGATGCCAAATTTACAAAATTCAGCAGCGTTTTGACCTCGCTGTCTGCATTTGCCATTTTTGCCAAGACTTTATTAAATCAGTCCATGTTAGAGCTGGTCGCCCACCATCAAGGTCTAAAGGGAGATCGGAGAAAAAATAGGTTTTGCGTAATTACGCGTGGAGGGAATTCTGTAACCAAGCCTCAAATGAATGTAATGCATCTTAATTTATACTTTTTGAGAGTAATAACCATTTACTCACCACTGCCGGTTGGATCCAGACTCTGAAGCCGCAGTCCAAGCACAGACTTCTCTCCAGGCTGCAGTAGGAGCACTTCAACAAGTTGAATGAATATAAACTCGTTGTAGTTATGGTGCTTTCCTTGAACCAATCAGCGACCCCAGGCCCCTCACAATGCACCCCAATCAGCCTCCAAGCGCCCTGCTATCGAATTCTTCACCATTGCAAATTGTTGTCATGGAGATCTGTTAAAAGCCGCTGAGGGGATGCGATATTTCTCCTACACGGTGATTTCTGCGCGGTGGCCAAACATCTCCTAAAATCCGGAGTGAGCATGAATAAAAATGAGTCGGCTACGGATTCTGCTGAAATATGCATGCACTCTTAACTTTATTTTGGAGCTGTTAAAAAGTTGAGTTTTTAACATAGATACCCCTCGCACCCTCCCCAAGAGTGATGTCAGCTGTAGGATTTGGTGAGGAAGGGGGGGATCTAAAGAGTGCATAACCATGGAAAGGGGCTTGAACGCTCAAGAATCTTGTCTTTCTGTTTGCCCCCTCAATCGAGCGACACAAAGGCTGAATTACTCATTCAAACCTCGCGGGACAAAGGGAAAGGAGCTGGATAGCACTCCTGCATTTGTAGTCAAACATTTAGAGACTTAAATCGAGTCGTCATGAAGGAGAAAGAGTCGGACAAAGCCCATAGAATTGCCATCAGCAAACATTTTCCTGTGTCATATTATGGGGTCTCCATGGCTCCCTCTGGCCCGCGGACAATAGCACAAGTTTGCACACTCGAATACTGTCACCCTGCCAACGGCAACAAGGGCCCAAAACAGGACAATCCTCAGAGAAAGCATGGGCTCCGCGGGGAAGGTTGCAATAGAGGAGGAAAAGGGGAGTTGTGAAATGCTAATTGAGCTTCATCCCCTTATTGAAGTGGAAAAGGAGTACCTATCCTTCCATTGAACCGCAGCAGCAGTGGAATGAGATGTGAGGAAAGTGTTTGTCTGGTAAGTAACACCTCACGCTTGTGCACTGTGCTGCCCTCAAAGCACAGGGTAACATACACCATGAATCACTCTTGCACCAGGACACAGAATTTTCTTTTTAAAAAAAAAAGAAAATTCTATATCAAGGCTACGGGCCATTTATTTAGAGTGAAGTGCGGACTTCATGATTGATTGCCTCATTCACTCAGTTTGGGGTTGTCTGAGGAGGAGCCCTGCAGGTCTATATGTGCTCTGGCTGGTCTATCTTTTAAGGCGGTGCATCCCTCTTGTTCTGGAGAGGCAATGGGACCCTATTGTCCTCCTCTCTTCTTCTTCCCTTCACCTCTCTGTTCAGCTGAAAAGGCCAATTAACAATGGGGCTCCCCCACCCTCCTTTGGCCTGTCACCCCACTCCTGTGCTTTTGAAGTGAGGAAGAATGAGACAAGGAGAAAGAGGAAGCACAATACCATCCATAAATCCCATAGTGTGACGATGTTCTTGTGCCATGGACAGGTGGATGCGATGTTTGTCACTCATTTCAGTTATGTGGTGGGTTGAGCTGATTTATGGAACTTCTGACAAAAACTCAACCAACTGACAATTGTCACTCCTTTCTATATTTACCTATCCTCTTCAATCCAGTATAAGAGGGTCATAGGAGTCTGCCTACACACATCATCAATCCACCTAACACAGGCAGACTTGCAGGCATGCCAACAAACAAGTCTCACTTTAACTGCTGCACCTGCGCACCGAAGATATGCGCCTAGCTTGCATATCTCTGCTGCACATGCAAACTGCACTTGGCTGCAGCCAGGGAGTGTTTGGGGTGTCAAGTGATGTACAATGATGTTACAAAGTATCATCATTCCTCACTGTGTTCGCATAAACACAAATCTATAGAGGCCCAGAGGAGCTCTATAGTACAACTGTAATCTGAATCTCTCTGCACAAGCTCCCTGGCAGAAGCCGCTGTCCATGATACATCCATAAGTGGAGCCTTCCATGGTAAGAATGGACACTTTTTTTCTGTCACCTGGGTCATTTCTTTCCTCAAAAATAGCTACAGTAAGATAAGATAACACTGTATTGATTCCCAGGGGGAGGGTGTCATTCGGTGTCACAGCCACACAAGAAACAGACCAGACGAAGATACAAGAAAGATAAAACAGAGTAAAGGTTGTAAAAAATATGGAGAGCTAAACAATACATCGAAATTAAATAAAAGCTATTAGGAGATCCATAAAAATAATAGCTCTCTGTACTAGGTCAAAGTAAAATAGGTGCTCAGAAGTAAATGTGGACCTAGAATTATCAGAGGAGGATTGGTATTCTGTCTATGTAATGCAACACACTTCTACAAAGCCCGCAAATGGAGGAATTCGTTTGAGGTTTTTATTTCATCACACCTCACATTCAAAACAAACCACTCCACACTCAACAGCTGTGTTGTTAGAGATTGTGTGGGCACGTAAGTGCTAATCATTCCCACATCTTCTTGGTCATGTAGAAAGATTAACATATCTTAAGGGGAATATATCTTTAACCCTAAGAGACATTTGAGATTACTCTGAAATTCCTAAGGATGGTAAAATAAGTTGGGTAAAGAAGTTAGGAGGTGACCTGTAAAATTCTGCTGGTTACCTGCAAAAGCAACATAAAAACCTGTTCAGATGCACAGATTTTATTGACTTTGTCGGAAATGTGTAAATTCAGTGATGTTTATTACTCTGCTGTAGAGACTGAGAGTTTTTTTCCGTTTATTTTTGTCCTCCTTGTTATCATACACGAGGGGGGCAGAATATTAGAAACACCTCTGAATATAATGCAGTTCACTATACAACACCATCACTGAGTAAAAAATGGGTGATTTAATTCATATTTTTATGACAGTGCCAAAAAATTGACCCAAAAAACATTGTAGGCGTCATGAAAGTTGACGTCATAGCAGAACAGTTTTATTGGATTGCATTAGGTCGTGCAGGTGTACCAATTAAAGTGGCCTGTGTGTGTGTGTGTGTGTGTGTGTGTGTGAGTGTGTGTGCGTGTGCGTGTGTGTGTGCGTGTGCGTGTGTGTGTGCGTGTGCGTGTGTGTGTGTGTGTGATGGAAAAACCTTTCTCAGAAAATGGAAAAAATGGATTACCATCACTCCAAAACACCAAGGATGTTATCATATCTGGATCTGGATAAATCGAAGGACAATGTGGACATAAAGACATTAGAGGGAGAATGTATTCCTTATTTGGTTCCCGTGCTTTGTTGATGCTTTTTTTTTCTCTCTTTTTCTTTTGTAAAATATGTTGAAATGATTACACATAAAAAGCTGTATACAGATACAAAATAAGTATAGGGTTATACAGTCAGTAGACAATAACTCCCTGGGCCAGTTTACATAAATGTGATTTATTTGAACCTATGTAATAAAGAAAAAAATCTTTCCTCATAATCATGGAAAGAAAGTGTTTCTTTTAAAATAATGTGATTTTCAGTTATTGCCATAGTAAACACAAACTTCTGTTAGTAGAGGAAGACGTGCACCAGGACAGTTCTCTGGACTTAAAACAACATTTTCTCCAATAATCTATAATACATTAACATGGAACAATGTATGTCATGTGTTGCCACTATTTCCCACTAGATGGCAATCTACTTCCACTGTGATAAAACCCAACTGGACTGTTACAATCAAGGAGAAATAGAGATAAAGACAGATGCAGCTGAGTTCATTTGCTCTGAACATTAATATTCCTTACTTGACAGGTTTTTAAATCTCTTTTTGTGTGATGCACGTTACATTTTGAGGCTCTGTTTGTTTGCAGAGATGCTGATGATTACTCTTGGCAAGAATAATGACACTGAAAGAACACGGTAATTTTATTAAGAGCTTTCCTTATCTGAGTTTAAAAGGGCCGTGATGTATGTTGTGGCAGATTGCTGGTTGTTGGAATGAGGTGAGGCTGCAGGAAGGAACCAGGAGGATGTAGTGCTTTTCTCTTGTCAGATAATCAATACCGGGACAGACTGTAGGAGAGGATGGACGAGCTGAACCGCTGGGCACACTACACGCCAAACCCAGGCTTGGTGTATACCTCAAAAACTCCCCAAAATATCTGCATTGCACTGTATGTGCAAATGCAGTTTAACAGCAGCTGTGGATTTTCCACTCTAAAAGTCATCCACAGCTCTTGTGCATGAGCTCACCCCATTACTGCCTGTGAAGAGCTTTTTGATAGGCAAGAGATGTGATAAATGCTCAGCTGCAACAAAAGGCTGTTGGGCTAGATGCTGAATCCATTGATCTTAATCCAAAGTTGTTTGAATAGTTGGCTTAGATGCTGTTTGTGTTATTTGGAATAAGCAGGCTGTGACACAATTGGCTGTCACTTCTGTTTATTTCAACCACAAGCAATACTTTCAAACAGAGGATAAGTCATACGGGTACAACAAATGATTGTGGATTTATGAAACACGAAGAAGCAAACAGGCTGTGCAGCCAGTTTCATACATCTCAGGTTCAAGCGTAACCCACTGTTTAAGTGCCTTTGCATCCCTGTAGCTGTTACAGAGGGGGAAATGATTCAAATCATGTTTTCATAATTAAACTGGGGGATTACTTTCTCAATAAACAAGGTAATCATTTGACCTATAAAATGGCAAAAAATGCCCATCACATTTGTCCAAAGGCCAAAGTCCAAATGTCTTGTTTTGTCCAGTCAAGAGTCCAGAACCCAAATATATTCAATCTGAGAGGTTGTGAGGATTCGCTATAGCTTGTATTTTCATCTCATAAAATTACTCAGATTATCAATTGAATAGTCACTTGATTGATTAAGTTACTCATTGTTCGTAGTCTACTAGAATGTAGTTGTATTTTTTATAAACGTGGTGGTGTCGTCAAATAAGAACTCAGTACAGATCCAAAGAAAATATTCTTCTGTGTCTGCCTCAGTAGTTATCAATAACGGAAAGATAAGCACTAAGGTTTTATTCCCAGTCAGTCAACTGTTTTAGTAACTGTGGATGTCACGTTGGCTCTCTAGTACCATCTACATGGCTGTGAGCTGTGGGGTAATTTCATAACTGTGCCCAGTGAAGACCACCAACAATATTATGCAACTCTGCTCTTAAAAACTACCCATAGCAGTCTGATTCTTTGCACTCTGGCCCACAGCATCCTCCTCTTATAAACCACATCAACATGGTGCCAAAGGTAGCGTGGCAAAAATAAAAAATGAAGTTTAGGTTTAAAAATAAATGGCTCATAAATATCTTATACACGTCTTTGTTGTTGAGCATTAGCAGTAAATGCCAGGTTACATCAGTATTGTTTATCTCAGCCTACTTTGGGACATTGGACCACAGAGTGTTCTAGCAGGCACACAGCACATCAAACATGGGTATGGCAATGTTTTCAGTCGTTAGGCGTCTTGCACTCTCTCTCTCTCTCTCTCTCCCTCTCTCTCTCCCTCTCTCTCTCCACTCGACTTCAACTCGGTCCAGTACGCGTCATCCTTACGGACTCGCCTCCACGCATCGTGGGCTATACTTTCTGCTTGGACCCACTATATAAATAAAGCAACAATATAAACAAGCAAACAAAAACCAAAAACAAACAAAGCCCGGCTGACATCATTACCGACGCCTTCATAACCATATCCCTTTCGCCCCCTGTGTGTGTTTTTTTTTTTTTTTTTTTTTTTTTTGGAAGGGAGGGAAAGGGGGGGGGACTTTTTGAGAAGCGGAGGGTGAATTTGTTTGAGCACACGCTGTCAGGATGAGCTGATGTGAGCGCTGCATCAAGTGCGCGGTGGTGATGCTCCCGTATAAAACAGCCCGCTGTATTTTGGCACAGAGGGGGATGCATCAGTTTAACCCTCGGCTCTGCCCTCCGGACTCGCCCATACAGTATTCAGCCTAGATAAGTTGAGGGGATGTGTGATCCCATTGTGAGGAATCCTACCGCACGATATTCCTGAGGATCTCTCTCTCTCTGTTCGTTTCTCTTTTTTTTTTCTTTTTTTTTTTTCTTCAACTTCGATGGCTTGAGTGGCCCATTTTGCACTCATGCTCGCAGCCGAGGAGGGATGTAAGGTACGGGCCATCTACCGCCCTCACATTGCACGGAGTAGCGGCGTGATTCAGGTCGCTATCTGAGTGCCAGTAAGAAAAAAAACTACTTTCGAGATGTGAATTATCGAGATTTGCTACTCATTTCACCGGCTCGCCTGTCCTATGCTATCGACAACGGGATTTCAAGAGGAAAATGATTGTGGCATAAACTATTTCTGGAGACGCCTGTCACAGATATCGCCGCTGAACTGGACAGGGTGGATGGTTATTTCCCAAACACTTAAAGCCTATGTATACTGCATTCATTTGTTGGAAACGCTGCCTAGTATCTTCGAGAACAGCGCAAGAGGAATGCTGGTCCAAGATCTAATGCCATTTACTTTAAGTTTTTGGCCTTTTTTCTTCGGTCATTGCCTTCTCTCACTGTTTTTACTCTCATGCCAGGTAAGGATCATGTTCAGGCGCGCCACTTGTCAGTTTACGCATGAGAAGAGGTTACACTAATGTAACTGGAGTTTGATTTACTGATGGACTGTGGAGCCGATTTTTCTTTTGCAAGTAACTTATGTGCACATTAAGCTGCGATTAATATGTAACGCCTTGCTCATGTGTATACAGGTCACCAGTGCAGGGCACACATGTGTTTAGGAAATACTGACAGACATGCATATGTAGAGTTTCCAGCAAGGCATGAGAGATAAGTGCTCACATCCACACACAGACACTCAGCTCTCTTGTGATGGGAACATGGAGTAGCCAACTGTGTTTTTATGATAACAATATTCAGTTATCCCACCAGGATCCCTGCAGCAGGCATATGTTAGTGATGAGTATTCTAACCTCTGCCCTGTGCTGCTGCCTACAGATAGTGGTGAGATGTTGTTCACACGCACACAGTGTTGCCAGGGTTCATGTGTAATGTGATCTGCTTGAGTTTCCAAGTCCACCCACGCACACTCCTCGGGGCAGCCTGCTGCCCACTCTGTTGGTGGGTGGTTTCTTACAGGGAGCAGGCTGCAGCCATAGACGTGATACTATTCTGCATGTACTACATACACACAGCAGCTCCGGTGACAACAACACTGGAGCTGTGATATGAAAAGAATGCTGAGAGGATGCCCACAGTGCCGCGAACTAAGAGGCTGCTGAGTGTTCAAGAGTCTCCATTTGTGCTGCACAGTGTTGTGCTGATGGTACTTCAGTCATTTCAATGTCTCTCTCTTCTCTCTCTCCTTCACCATAAGGGAGAGCTCCAGAGGTCATGCTCACGGACTGTGGCGGAGAAAGTTAGTGAACAGTGCCAGCTGGCATGCCACTGTAGACGATACCCCCCGCTTCCTCCTCCGCCGCCTCCACCGCCTCCCCCACGGCTACTGGGCACCACAGGTAATGACTCGCAGGTCACACTCCCAGGTTTCACACCTGTCTCGCTCCAACTCTGTCTGTCTCACTCTGTCTGCTCTCACCCCACAGTTGGATGTCATTCCTAGCCAGACGCAGGTGTCAAGCAACTGGCTAGTCTGAAGAAACAGTTTTGACGTGAAGTGTTTTCTTTTATGCACAGGAGGAAAAAAAACGTACCATCAACCCCCTGAGATTTAGTGTGCGAGTGCCCGTGCATGGGTGCAGTTTTGCACGTGTGCATCTGTGCATGTGATAGAGCCAGCAGGATGTTGACAGCTGAACACAGGACTAATTTATGCCGGGTCTGACCTTGGGGAGTACCCAGCTGCCTGTGAAATCCGTGCCTGCTGGGCTGCCAAACTCAGTGGCTCAGTGGTAGGGTTTCCCCCGGAGGACCCCTGATTAAAACACAGATGAGTTAATTAAATTAGCTTTAATTTGTCAGAGATAAGGGGCTAATGAAGCAGCCCAGTAGTTCCAGCTTCGTTTTGAAGTGGAGCTGCCGGTAATAAGGGTGTGTTGTTGTGTGTGGTAGTCCTTGTACACAACAAGCGTGTATATCTGTGTGGATCCAGTGCCTGTTGCGGCAGTTTTTCCCCTGACACTCCCTCTTTCGTCCCACTCTAAGATGGTAAATCCCCTGACAGATAGGCAAACATATTTTACCAGCCTTCTCGCTGAAAGTTGATATGATTTGTATGTCATCTCAAGCATCTTAATGAACAGTGCACTGAAATATGGGACAGGCGTTGCTGATGATGCAGCCATTCTGAGCTATTACTGTGACTCTTTAGAATCACTCACCCTGAGCCCTTAATATTATGAGTAGGGAGGAGTACTTAATCATCAAAGTCTCAGCAGACAGCAGAGGAAAGGTTTTAATCAATCAGTTCCAATGATTTTTTTTTTCTGTCTGGTCAATTTACAGGGACCTCCTTTTTCCCCTGACTCACCATGTGAGCTACCTATGAATCAAGAGTTAGAGACCCTTCTGTGATTGTTGTCAAGGTCACTGCATAAATGCTGCCCGAACCATCTGACTGTAAACGAAGGTGTGGGGGGGGTTGAATGTCCAATTATGGCCAATGCATGAGTGTAATTACGAGCTCACAAGGGTTCTGTGCCTCCACAAACACCAGTAGGCCGATTTTTATTCCTTTTTAACTCTACACAGAAATGTTTGCAGAGGGTGGAGACACCATGAATAATTCACTTAAAGGGAGTTTTTTTTTTCTCAGTTTTCAATTTAATCTATACAAGCACATAATTATCTTGATATTTGCTTCAGTAGCCCAATTTGCAGAATGGTTAGAGCTGAAATTTTTTGCTTTAAACTGTAGTCTTTAAAAATGCAATGAATATGCATAGCTAAAAATCTGGGACAATGGCTGAGATCTTATCTATCTGCTAAAAGTCTAAAAGAAAATAGAGAAATTGGCACTGAAAGTCAGCGTCTGTGTGCTAAAAATGGTTTCCGAAGTCCCTTCAAAGGAGTGTGCTTTATCACAATGAAGTAGATCCTTACCACTGACTGAATTAAATCCTACTGCCTTTGACAAAACGCAGGATTAAAATGGAAGTTTGGCTGAGGGGAGCTTTTAAATTCATAGTGACTTATGATGTGGTGTGCTGCACCGGGAAGAGCCGTGCCTTGTTATTTGTCCTGTAGAAATGTGCTGTGTTGGAAAATAGTCTAAAGCGTTACTTAGGAGTATTTGTTGCCATGGTGTAAACCCTTTCTCTCATTCATAACAAAAATAACACCACATGCAGGAGTTAGGAGTTTGCTATTGCATAAACAGCACAGTGTATTTCCTCAGGAGCATGACACTGGAACAAACTCGCATTCATAGATAGGTAGATTGATGTGCACATGACTAAACTGATTTATAGACGCGGGGGAGCATCAAACACTGCAGAAAGAGAAGAGGCAAGTTCTGCATTACGGCCACGAATTTGCTGATGCACATAATGTTATATTCCTGGTGAGTGGTCTTTGCGCCACAGATCTAATGTGGAAAGAGCAGGAGGTTCCTGCAACAGTAATTGGTGTGAACAAGAGTGCTGGTGTAAGGAAGGCTGACGGGACCTTAAATGATTCATGGTGTCGGGTTGGATATCTTTGAACGTTGAACCTAAGACCTACAGAACAGGCGAGGACACAGCTACTTCCCGACTCAGAGAGCAAGGGAAGAGAACCGCCTCCATGCTGCTCTGTTATTGTGTTGTATAATACAATCACTAAGGGGTTTAATAACAATGCTAAAATCAATGTTGTGGCTGAAGTGATCGGCATTGTAATCACAGTAAATGCTTTTGGATGTTGAGCTGTTTTTTCTGATTTATTCAGCTAAATACATTCTGTTCACTCTCTGCTTCTGTATCCAAATCTCTATCCTCCTGCCGCCTCTTCTCTCTCTTTCTAAGTGGCAGAGCCCATGGTGCCCTTATTGAGGCCCTGGTGGATGGAGATGGACATTATAGTGCTTGGAACAGTGGGCTGTGCCTCAGTGGTCTTCCTCCTCTCAGCCATCATCATCTGCTACAAGGCCATCAAGAGGTTGGATTTCTCTTTTTTCTTGTAGTATTTCAGTCAGATCTCACTCCCACGCAGCTCTGAAATATTTCAAAGTGATGACAAATAGGAAATAGGAACTGTCATGGGCAGGTTACTCAACATATCTTGTGTAATGTGGCCCATGGGAGATTGTGCTATCTCTCCTGGCTTTATGTTAGAGTGACGCAGGAGGCTACGATGACCCCGTCATCAACCTGCTGGGTCACACTCAGGTCAGAGGTTAGATAATGGAATGGGTTGTAAATGTCACAGAGGAAGATCCACGACAGTGAGTCACACAGAAACATCCTATATTCTAAATTAATTTATTGAGGTGCATGATGACCTGTCTTTACGATACTGTTGATTTTAATTTACATAAGTGTCTAAAGCTTCCTAGAATGGCAGCTGGATTCATGACCACGAAAGCACGATGCGAGCGGAGGAATCCCAAGACACTGCTGTTGCAGCGGGAACTGTTTCCCCCCATTTGGCTTATTAGAGAAAAGGCTGCGTGAGGTTTTAGCCTGCAGCACAACCCAGACCCAATTCTTTGTGTGACATTCAGGCAGCACGGTGTCACACATGCACTCTGACATCCACGTTAATGTTCCCAGCCATTTAACATACACATACACACACACACACACACACGCACACACACGCACGTCCACAGCGTGCAAAGCACTGCACATGCACAGAGAGGCATGAGGTGGATACTAGTGTGCACCCATCCATATACACACAACATCTTTACATACATACATACATCATCTTGGCATATTTACACACTCTATAAAATATGGCATAAACATTGACTCTCACACATTCATGTGAGAACAGCCACAGTTGTGTGTGTTAAATTAGGGAGCTACTTCTATGTTTTATTTATGTGTATTTAAATAGATTTTGTGTCATACCTTATTATATTTATGTGACTGTATTAAGCGTGCATGCCAGATATGGCTTTCCCCAGCAGAACTCTATTTCTCCTTTCTTTAAACAACAAATAGGCAAAGTCAGGCAGCGGAAGTAATGGGTAGTTGGCTCAGGAATTCATTATGGCAATTCTCCAGCCCCCTGTGTAGCCAAGGGGCACCTTTTTTAATGCAGCAGTGGTAGGAAAGTGTTGTTGCAATACGGGCTCTAGCCCCAAACCCAAGTCATTATTTATGAATTAATTTGCGCAGTCATTCAGTCACAGGCCACATCTTTTATACATGCAAGCGGGTCGTGTCCTGAAGCTCTGTGGGCTCTAGACTGCAGACTTTGTGCCACGCCAAGCTGCCCTCCACTCTGAATGAGAAGGGAAAAATACACAGGTCCACCCAGACTGGCCTCATTACACATTCATTAGTCACCAGCCAATAGGAGAGCAATCCAGGGAAAAATGCGATCCCTTTAACATTTGCCATGGATGCTCTAATCATCCATCGTTACTGAGAGGAAGGGAGAGGAAACAACTCAGCGAAAAGGACAGATAAAATGTTGTCTACCAAAGCAAGCAAAGGCAGTAATTGAGCGTCTTAGTCAATAACAATGTGAGAGAGGGTTTGTCAGTGAGAAAAACACAGCCAGTTATATATAGCCCTTCCAGCCCCTCAGTGCTGCGGGCTTTCCCAATGAAAATCAGCTGGCCAAGGGCCAAGGCCTGAGCACCACAGACAGCAGAGGGGCTAGCTCTGCAGGTCCCAGCCCTCCTGGCCTTTTGTTATTTTTTATAATCTTTGTCTGCCAGTCATCTGTCAGAAGCAAAGGGGGCTGGAAAGAAAAAACACTTCCATACAATTCTATTCAGAGTCCACAGCACCAGGGAGGCTTGGTGTGTGCAAGCTTAGAGAAGAGGATTCAGACACATGCTGTGTTTCAGTGTTGCTGTGCCATCCGAAGCAAAAGACATGATGCTGCAGTCCAGGCTATCAGCCATCCAAGAAGCCAAAACAAACAAAACTCAAACCAACTGACTAATGAAGCTCGATGCTTTTCCCAATCACTTCCCGCTCTGGGAGGCTTGTCGAAAGACGGATAATACATCACAGCCAGTTCTATCCAAGGGCAATACACTGTATCCAAAATACTCAACCAGAGATACAATAAAAAAGGGACATCTTGTCAGGCGAAATGGTTTACAATCCAATATTTACTGATACATTATTAATTTCCTCTGTTTTATTTTCAAAATTACTGTACCGGCACCATCAAAACGGGTGACAGATTTTTACAGTCTGTTTTTTAATACTTTTTCTTTGAACCATAGCATGTTACTCTAATTTCCAGATGGCTGGAGTGATTGTAAACAGCTCAACACATGTCCCAATTTCACCATGATCCATTCCCCAAACTTCAAACAGGAATGTGCGCTGTGATTGCACAGCTTTGATATGAAATATTCATCTAACCTGTGAAGTGTTGTGTTGCCACCTGCCATGTGTCAACAGCATGGCATCTATTATTGAAGGCCTGGGTAGAGGTCGGTTTGAGGCCCCAGTGCTCTGCCCTGTATGGTGGCCCCAAAGCGACATGGTCAGTCTGACCGGAGATTACATCCTGGGAGAAATACACATGGCTGAAGCATCTTTCAGTAGTCTGTAGATCACATGACCTGACAAAAATATTCAAAATTAAAACCATTAGTGAGCTGCAGGGACGTTGCATAATGTGAAACGAATGTAGACCTCTCTGACTCTCTGTTCCGAGCAGAAGAATTCCCAGACTGCCTATAAACAATGCCATCTGTCCCTTAGAGAAAACTTTGGTATATCCCAACTCCCCTGGCTGCAGCAGCATCAGCCAATCACCCCCCCTGCAGCAGAATGTGTTTCCACCCTGGGGCTGGACAGTTTCCCTTCTCAGGCTTTCCCCAGGTCCCACAGGGACACAGCAAGCAGCATCTGTCCTACATGGCCAGCCTGTATCCCCAGGTGTCCTGAGCCTTACGACCCCCTCCAGCTGACAGTCCCGCAGGAAGTCTTAGTCACAGCCTTGTGTTTTGTTTAGAACTTTTTTTTCTAGAGCCATGAACTCACATCACCTCCAACAACCCCTAGAAACACTAAACTAAAAAACCTGACCAACAGTTATTGGTAATCATCTCGCTCATACATGACACTCCACAATATGAGCACAAATATTATAATGAATCCGAGACTATACAATGCGAAAGAAAGCTCAATGTACAGTGTTAGGCTTCAGTTAAAAGTGAAGAGTGTTGATATTTATGTAAGTTAATATAACATAGTTAAAGTTAATGTAACTTTTTGTTTTTAAGAGTCTACAGTCACGCTAGCAGCTCTGCGGCATGCTAACATGCCCTAAATAACAATGCTAAGATGCTGATGTTAAGCAGGTGTAATGTTTACCATGTTCATTATCTTAAATTAGCATGATAGCATGCAAACATTTGCCAGTTAGCACTAAAAGTTATTTGTTTTGCAGGTACTTAAACCAAAGTCTTGGACAAACTTAAATGTTGACTTGATGATGGCACTCAATGAAGAGTCAAGGGATAACCAGATTTATTACAGTTCATCCCGAGGGAGACGTTAATGTCTGTTCAAAATTTTATGGCAATCCATCCAATAGTTGTTGAGGCATTTCAGTCAAAACCACAAATGTGCACTTAATGGTGGTGCTAGTGGAAAAGTCCGGGGACCATCAAAGTTGGTAGGATTTGTCCTCTAGGGAACATGAATGTCTGTATAAAATGGGAAGCCATGTAATAGCTGTTATATAATAGATTTTAGTCTGGACCAAAGTGGTGGGCTGATCGACAGACTGAAACTGCCATTCCTAGAGCCATGTCGCTATGGTTAAAGCTAAGAGGGGAGGCATACCTGGAGTGTTTGTTATTTACACCCCGCTGTGATTGAGGCGAAACCCTTTCAAGACGGGTAAACATCCCGAGAGTGACTTCGGTGACAGATGAATGCTACGTATCTTCAACTGAAAAACTGGATGGGATCAAGCTGAGCAGGATTTCTGAGGAGCTCTGATGAACACAGGAGGTGGGGACAGAGGTGATGCACAGCACTGAAATGACAGCTGAAAACAGCTGAGACTGGAACAGGTTTAAAACCTGACAGCAACAAGATGGATGTTTCACAGGTGTGGCAAAATCAGACTGGCAAAAGTGCATGGGATCAAGCAAGAAAAAAGAGAGCTGACAAATTGAGTTGACAGCACAGGAATTATGAATAAATAGAGGGCGCATATGCATGAAAAATTCCTGATTGAACATTTAGTAGACTGGCACACCAACAAGAAATATTACAGTTAATACCTGTATCTGATGAAATTTTAATCAGCTTTTCAATTCTATTTTAGTCTCAAATTGATTATGATTCTGTGCAAGTACATGTGAGAGCACAGCAACATAAACAGTAATGTAGACATACAAAAACATGCTACAACTGTGAAGCTCACAATGTTCAGTTTTTAATAAGATCTTGTCAAAGGTGTTGATTCAAATCCATGGTAAGTTTTGAGTCCGTGGAGAAAATTGAACCGAAACAGAAAGAATATGATGTAATATTGTGCAAAAACACCACAAAATGCTGCCTGAAAGCTAAACACAAGTGGTGATTAAGAGATACTAATATCCTAAAGTGTAATGTTTAATAACACAAGTAGAGAAGAGTCCTGAAGCTGGTTACCTAACACAGTAACGTCACCTACTGGGTAACCAAAAGGCTGTGGCAGCAAAACCCCTGAGTCTTTCAAAAAATTACATTCTCCGTTTGAAAAAGTAATTCGATTTTTTTGCGTCACTTCTCTGACACAGTATCAACAAACACTAAACATAATAAACATCATAAATAAATGTCGTTTTTTCTTGCAGAGCTGTTATGTTGGTTTGCATTGTGTCACTGAGAAATGAGCTCATTTCACCCTTTAAGGATTCCCTCTCTGCACAATGTCCGACAAATCAAAACGATTTGTGCCGGACTGGACTGAGAATGACTGTTCGTCAAAGTTGGACTGGTCAGCCGGGGCTTTCAGTGGAGAGGAGAGGAGACAGTGAGCTAAGATGTCGCTCAAGGGTCCTCTGTGCCAGTGAAGGCACTGTACAGCGCTGAGTGGGACAATGACTGTACTAACTGTATTCAGATCTGTCTCTGAGTTACATAAGCCCGAGCAGGGGAGAGCAGCTGAGGGGGTCGGTGCAGAAGCCACAGTACACTGGACAAATATAATAACCACAAAGGCACAGAGGAGTGCATGAAAAGGGCGGCATTGAATGATACTGCTCTTCACAGGCCAGTAGCAGCAAAGGGGATCATGTGTTGCAGCTTTATTTTGCACCAGAACATACTCACAGAAAGGACAAGGTATTACAGCGCAACCAGTGTTGAGAGGGAATTTCACAAGAGGTTATGTATCGATGTTATTCCCAAGTTGTTTTGACAGCCACACACATACTCGTTACTTAGCAGGAAGATTGCATCTACCAGTCAGAGTAGGTAATTGCCTTATCCCATGTGTTGCAATGCATCCTTCCCTCCTGTCTCCTTCCAAAAGTGACCTTTGAACATTGAGCTTATTAGAAAGGATCGCTGAGACCAGCGTATCCACCCAGAGCAGCCTGAGAAATCAAATCAGCCTAAAGGTTAACAGTCCAGAAACTCTGTTTAATGACGTGGCCTTTAGCTGAGGGTGAATATAACGTCAAATCTCTCTTGACAAGGAATTTATCCTCACGTTATGAAAATGTTTATTCACAGGAAACCACTACGAAAAGAAGAGAACGGGACGAGTCGTGGGGAATATGCCATGAGCATCCGTAACAAGAAGGCCATGGGTACGAACAACACTGTGGTATAGACTGTCTCCTGGGAGACGCAGGAAGTGACATCACCGTTAACGTCTCTCACCTTATCCCGAGTACAACAATCCCCTCTCTCCCAGAATGCAACAGGGTTTTTTCAACCCCCGAGGTTTTCAAATAGGTAAACCTTCCCTCTTTGCTTGGCATGTTGCCCGGACTGAAGACACCATTCAGCTCAAGAAGAGCTGTAAAAGATGGAAGGAAAAAAAAAATCAAGGCAGAAAGGACAAAGAGAAAGATCCACAAACCCCCATGGTGTCAAAAGTGGCACAGCAGGCTGAACATTATGCTCTTAGTAACAGCAAGTGTTGCTGACAGGCTGGTTGGCTGCTGGCTGGAGAGGGACTGTCTGCCAGTCTGCCGCAGATCCAGACCTCACACACTGTTGACATCTGCAATGGAACAAGACAATACAGCAGCCCTGCAGTCCCATGTGCAGGACAACCCCTCACACACAATAAATAACGTGCATGCAGTTTTTACAGAGAATGCAACATTTTTTATATTCCAATCCTTACACGGTCCATCTTTTGTTCTCCATTTTTGAGACAGATGCTTTGTGAAAGGCATGATGTTAGTGTCGGCCCTGGCTCTGAGATGCGGATTCATCTGACTATGCAATTTAAAGAAATCCATATTTGAAAAAAAAAAAAGGAGGAGCAGCGACATCAACATGGGACGTTTTGGTTATTTTACCATGCCAAAAATGCCACTGAAGACTTAGGCTAAATGTAATATACTTCGGTCATTCATCTATTTATTTGCTCTATTTATTTACTTATCTACCTTTTGAATTTATTTTTCTACTTAAAAGAAAAAAAAAACTGTCGTGTAAGTTACTCACATCTTGAAAAATCTTGAACATCTTGATGAATCCATTTTATTTCTTGATAGCTCTGTTTTTTAAGTGAATAATTTATAGACCATATAATTCATTTGTGATGCTCCAATGCTTTAAGCCTGCTGTCAGTTTGTTGAGACACTGATGCAGAAAATACGCTTGCTCTGCAAAGAGTTTTGGTATCAGTTGTTTTGTCTCTGGGTGTTTGATATGCTTTTCTCTGTTTCCCTCAGACTTCAGCTAAAACATGAGGGGTCTTTATGATGTGCTATGTGAATGTGTGTTTTCCAAACATTATTTCTGTGCTGCATCATATGCCACTCCCCATTTTTGATTTGTCAACTCCATGCAAGCCCCCTCCCCTCAACAAGTTAAATGTGCTATCACAGGTTCATCTGGTTAAATCTTGTTGTTACAGAGTCTTGGGGTCAGCTAAATGCCTTCAGCTGTGTTGCGTGGATTGGATTTGACAATCTTCATTTTTTCTATCTGTCAAGAAGGGCTTAGCCCATCGCTATAGAAACAGGGGACATGAGCCCACGGCTGACCTTGTGACTGGTGAGAGACAGGAGACTTAGCCAATAGCCAGAGATCAGGTTGCACAGAGGATGGCCTCAGCAGGGATGTGTGTGACTCAGTGCTGTCACAGGCATCCTCCACATCCCCGCTGGAAAAACACAACTAAGCTGAACTGGAGCATCACTCAACACTGCTGTGCTTCTTTTTTTTTTTTTTTTTTTTTACATTAAATCTGTGTGTGTCTGTGCGTGCATGCATGTGTGTGTGTGTGTGTTGGTGTGTGTGTGTGTGTGTGCGTGTGGATGTCTGTGTGTCTGTCTGTCTGTCTGTCTGTCTGTGAGTGTGCATGCAGATGAGTGTACTCAGTGAGAGTGGGCTGTACTCTGTGGCTGTCGGTTAAGTATAGATATTGGCTAAACTGTGGAAATTTGGAAAAACACATGCTTGCATCTAAACATGCACAGGTATTAGCTACCAGTATACCCCTCCATGTACCTATATGAGAGAAATGATGGATGCATGAATGTAAATATTGATATTTAAATATCTGCCTTCTGGACTGTTAATTCATGTACAGTGTAACAGAACATGTTTATACATAGTAAAACTTAAACAATGTGCTACCATTTAGAATTATGTCAATGTTGTCATGTTGATGGAGCAAGCCATTAATGTATATATGGCAATCAATAGTACATACACAATTTATGCATTATACCAAACAGATAGAAAGATGTGCATAAGTTGATTTCATTGCTGAGTTTTTCAGTTGTAAATAAAACTGTACATAATAACAGACCTACAGTCTATTGTGTTTAAAGAGATGTACTGTGTATGCAGATATACATCTGTTGTTATGTGAGAGCAGACAAGCTGGCCCATATGTGACAAAGGTGATAAAAGTGAGACTGTTATATTTAGCCTGTGCCAATCCTGTCTGCACTGTGCTGTGTTGTGCCGTTCATGTCTTGGGCAGAGCCGGGCTGGCCGTGTCTCCTGGGCCCCCTGCAGTGGAAGACATGTTCTCAGTCTGTCTCACACAGTGCATCTTTAATGAACTGCGATTATCAAGCGTATTCCACTCCATGGGGCTTAATGATGCAAACAACACATCTTATAGGTCACATATTGTGCTAGCTCTGGGCTCGATCAGTAATAATGTCACAAAAAAAAGCATGCTTGTGAGAGTGTGAAGGATTTCTGCAGCTAAAGCAAGAACACAAGTTGCTATAACAACATTAGGATTTTAAAGGGAGTTAAAAGAAACAAATCGATCAAAAACACCTCTGTGAAAGGGGCTGCATAGTTACATTAAATCAAATCGACATTTTCCCATTTCTATTTTAATTTGCACATAATACATTAACTGTAGCCAATGATGTGAAACAAACAAAGGGGACAAACCTGTACTATACAAGCTGATGCAGAAGAGCACTGAAGAGGAATGTCAGTGAATTATAATGCGAATGAGAGACCATAGACTACTTTGCCTTCCCACTTGATGGTAATGCCAATGGACACTCTGAGCAATTTAAACATTCATGCATTGTCCAGCCAGGGCGCTGAGGATTTCACTGTAATAAAAGCAAAGTGACAGCACTAGGCGGGGGGGACCAGGGATTGTCACTATCTCAACAAGCTTTACAAGCCTCTCACAAGGTATTTCCATAGAGCGAAGAGGACACTGATACACAGATTCTATCAAATTTGGGTGTACAAAACTACTGGTTATTTTTGATCTGCTCACCAGTGTGAGACTACCTCTCTCAACCTGCTCTTTAATCAAGGAATGTTACCAATTCACACACCTGGTGATACATCATGCTGGTGCACGAGTGTGCATGTGTGTGTGTGTGTGTGTGTGTGTGTATATGAGCTCACACAGTCCTTTCAAAGCTGACCTTCACAATCTTTGAGGACCCACACACACCCTCTCTGCCTGAGAGGCCTTTGGTCAGTGTTAATTACCCTCAGTACCTCCAGCTGCCTGCTCATCAGGTCAGCGCTCTCCCATATGGTCCTCCAGGAGGCAGCAGGCAGGCAGGCAAGGGCGGGGAAAGTGCTGGATACCTGTGGGACACTGATTACATAAGCTGCTGCTAATGAGAGAGGTTCTTTCGAAAAGGGCTGCGAGTTCAAACGATCACAACGGTGGCAGTGGCTGACAGATGCAACCCCAGAGCAAGGGGGACTTGATTAAACACACACACACACACACACACACCTATGCACATGCAGGGACACATGCACATACACACCTGCATCCAGCATCACTTTAATACACACTTGTGCACACAGAGGCACACAGCAGGAGAGGGGCTCTTTGATGAGCTAAGACTAGAGGTTGATGAGAAGGGGCACTGCAGCCTGATTCAGCTAGGTTGGGGTCACCGGGGAGAGAGAGTGTGTGTGTGAGTGTGTGTCAGTGTAACTGTGTATATGTGTGTTCATTAGTCACATTGTGTGATATCATTATACTAGTGACTCATTTGGCGCACACCTCTCAACATGGGTCCTCTTATACATGCATTGGACAAAAACATAAAAAATAAGAAAACTATATGATATATATATATATATATATTATATGTATATATATGTATGTATGCAAATCAGATTTGGCTTATTTTTGTCCAATAAACCAATTTCTTCTTGCAGAATACATTTCTATCATCAGATTTCATTCATCTTAAAGCTTGATAATGAAATCCTTGCAGCAGTGAAGATCAAAACAAAGATTAATGTGCTGTTCGGCTTTCTAGCCCTGCTGTCATGTCATCCGTTATTCTCAGACAAGAGCTTCGTGGTAATGCGGTTAGACCTCACAACAATGCTTAATCACAACAAACCACATTAGGCCAAAGGTAATTGTGTTTGCTTGGTATATGCGTGGGCCAATCTGTTTCGGCTGCTGCCATGAGGTGGGATGGAGAAGGAGGTGGAGTGGGGGCGGGGGGGGGGCCTTTCCACTTTGGGGCGGGGAGGGGGGCACAACCGAAATAGTCTTGTTTACCTCCAATGTCTGGCTCCACCTTATCGAGTTACAAAGCTGCTGCTGCAACTCAGATTGGCCTCTGATCGATTTGGGCTCTGATGGCGAGAGGCAGCATGACTGACAGTCTGACAAGGATCTCAGACGGGAGCTGGGTAATGCATGTCATGTTATTTTCCCGGAGACACCTGAGGTTCAGTTTCTCGTCCAGAGGGGTAAAAAAAAACAGAACTGATTTTATCACTCTGCCATCTGCATTATGGTAAACTGGACATTTTCCACATCAGTCAGGACATGAAAGAGCAGTAAATGTCACATTTGAATTTTGAAGGGGTCAGCGATTCATATGAAATGACAGTGGTCTCAACGTTTAGAAAAACTCATACTTTTATTATCCAGCTTGCAACCAAGCAACTTAAAAAGTAAGAGAGTCTGAATGTCACAGAGTGATCATATCTAAGGTTCAACAAGCATCTGCTTTCAGACCCTCACTATTACTAACATGGGTCTATAGAAATTCTCTTAGTCATCTACTGACTCAAAATCTGTTGAATACAACAGTCAGGCACCTGATACAATTATTCCACACAAGTCTACCATACCTAATTAATTATCTCCAGTACTAGTACTTTAAAATAGCATAGATTTACTGTACATATTCAGGTTTAATACTAAAGGTGCTGAATGATTCAGTCCAAATGGATTTCACACAGCATCAGTTTACATAAAGTCCTTTTTTTTGGTCGGTGAGTTCAGCCCGTTGCAGATGCATGCAGGTCAAAGGACACAGATGACCCTGATGTGACCAGAAAGTAGATCACATGGGGTAGAACTGTGAAGCAGCCTCAGATGACTGGATCTCCACCTGAGCCATCTTGAACTGGGTGCACTGCAGCCATTTGCGCAGAGCAAACGGAGGGGCTCCCGATGACTGGCCCTGCAGACACTGGTGGTTCACCCTATTCTGGATGGCCTGGAGACGCAGCTGCAGCCCCGCAGACAGATGCTAACGAAGGAAGGACATCTTAGTTTGAAATCCTATAATAAGTGGATATTTACTTGCATGATATCAACCTGCATCAATAATGGCAGAAAGCTTTTTAAAGGCCTTACCTTAAGGTTTGACTGAATCATGGGTAGCCACATAGGAATCAACTATAGAGAGAAATTAACATGGAGAAGTCGTGTTAGGCAAACGGTTAAGGTGATCACATATTATTCATATGGAAAAAAATATTTGACTTATATCAAACCTTGACAAATATGGTTGAGTTGCACTCCTGCAGGGCTTCCATCAGACTAATGACATGAAGACACACCATCTCTACCATCTGAGAGAAAATAGTCCAAATTCAAATTCATATACAGAGAATTAATTTTCTCATTTCATATTTCAAGTTCCTATCTTATACCTTAGCTAGATGCCTGGTGGAAAGGGACAAGGCAGAGCACTCACCACTTTATTGTGGGCCATGAGCTGCAGGATGCTAGGTGTAACCCGACTCCAGAACTCGAGGCCAGTGAGGATGGCGCTGGAAGAAAACTCTGTCTGGTTCTGGTTCTGCAGGGATGGAGCAGCGGCTGCCTGTTCACAATAAATGGTCCACAGCTGGGCGAACATGAAGGCGTGGAACAGAGAACACATGTGCAGCACCGACGTCTGGGGACATCAAGAACAAAACAGGAAAGGCCAGTGAAGTGATTATAGATCATATTAACACCTCTAAGGCGGGATCATTAGAAGGGATTTGTATCTGCCGGACCTTGGACTGTTCTGGGAAGCCAATGAGGATGACAATAAGATGATCCGCGATGTGGGAGCCAGCATCTAGAGGGATGGGCATACAGGAGGTGGAGCCCTGGTGCAGGGCACAGTGTGTCAAGGAGCCCAAAAGAAGCCAGGACAGCTGTCGGATGTGGGACACACACTCGATGAATTCTTTTGGCCTGCAAAGAAGATTCAGTTTTACAGATCAGCTCACAATGTATTCTCAAAAATACTATTCTCATATTGCTCAGGATTATACACAATGTCTTAGCATATATTTTTTAAAGGCAGATTCAACTAAATGATTTGATAAAAACATATTCTCACTTTTATCTAGTGGTATTGTGTTTAGCCATTAAGACAATTTTCATTTTATTTGTGAATGTTTTTGTATATGAGAAGCACCAACACACTGTCAACAGCCTTCACTAGGACTAGTTTAAGTAGTTCGAATAAAAATTGTTCACAGAAAGGTCTGTGAATTATTCAGAAAACAGGGGACATTTGTTATGTAAACACTAGAAACCCAATTCCATCCAATCAGGTATCTCAAAATCTAGGAAAGTAAAGCCAAAACTATCTTTGATGTTTTGAATACAACCAGAGATAAATGAGAAAATATGTTTCACTGTATGTAACTTAGGGGCACTGGCCTTTTAAGTCATGGAAAAATTACTAAACTTGTCGGTGGTTTTGTCATTCTTACCCTTGTTGCATGGTAGATGGAGGATGATAAAGCCAGGGAAGATAACGGACAACAGCTTTGTTATCACGGTGATTGCCTTTGCTGATCTCCATGGCGGCGACTTGTGCCAAGCCCACTTTCAGGTTCCCCCCAAAAGTGTCCTCATGCAGCGGCTGACAACAAGCCTTCATATGGCTCTGAATAACAGATTTAGAGTAAGAGAAAGATACTGCTGAAATACACACACAAGGCTTAATGTCGAAAACACATATGATCAGATACTATGCACATGATGCGCTCACATGAAGAACAAGACTTACTTTAAGTTTAGTTAGTGTGTGCATATCTGCAATGAAGTCCAGGAGCTCACTTATGTACTGCCTCATGCACTCCATTGCTGCAGTTGTACACTGTGGAGAAGAAAAACAGTTTATCCTTTAGGAGGAATCACACTGAGGTCTGTCTTTATTTCCTGCTGTTTTACGAGGCTGATTTTAATACGATCTAAACAGAAAGCAACTAAAGTCTTACCCCCGGCAGCGTCAAGATCATGTGCTTTTGGATGATGGTGGATTCTGCTAGCCGTGTACCGATGTCTGCACAAACGAACTGGCAAATTCCACAACACAGGTTTTAGTAGTGCATTTAGGAGTGAACACCATCATGTATTTGGTTCGTGTCAAATTTAAATGTATAAAACTGTATTTTTTACCTGGACCAGCAGTAACAAGTTTGTGTCAGGCAGGGGAGATTTGAACTTGAGAGCCTGCAGAAGCTCTAACACCACAATGCGGGACATGTAGAACTTATCTCTTTCCTGGATGCGAGGAGATAGAGAGTGGGGTAAATGTACTGATGCTGCAAGACTGCCTTTTTCTATTATCACTCTCCCTTACTCATGCTGCGAGGAGAGCATAAACTCTGTAGCCTGAATAGAGGGGGAAGGACAGGCAGTGAGAGGGGAGGGAGGGGAGGCAGGGAGACAGAGAATAGACAGAGAATAGTGAAGCTGAGGAGTAGATTTAGGCCAGTCCAGATCTCTCCTCCCAGAGTCCCAGGCAGCTCAGATGAGGCTGTCAGGCTGCCTTCTCCCTCCCTGAGGACAGGCTGCTCTCTTTGTTCATCCCTTCCACACAAAGCCCAGCTGCCTGTTTACAAACCACACTGTCATCTTCTGGCTTCCACTTTGCCTCTCTGTTCCTCTATGCAGTCATGTTTGCTTATGTTGGGCGCAGGCACACGCCACAGAATGCAGAGCCGCTCCTGACATTTCTCACTGTGTGGCTTGTTAATGCACATACCTGTACACAGCACTCTCATAATTAAAAGTTAATGGAGCATGTCCGTTTTGTAAATAGCAAATCATAGTATGCTCTTAAGCTAGAGGGCCCCGTCGCATTTGGCATACAGTGCAGTGCCGCTGTGACAAATGGTGTATGGTGTGAAAAACTTTAGTAGGTCTAGAAAGCCCCACTTTGTGTCCTTAACGGCTGACCCCCAAAGATAACCGGCTGAAAAGTCCTCCCTGCGCTCCCCAGAAACCTCACCTCGCCATAAAACATCTGCACAAGACAGGTTCCAAAAGCAATTGCTCATTGTGACTCTGGGTTTTGAAAAGCGGATATTATACTGTGAGAAATTAAAGAGGGTGTAGAAAATCAATACTGCAGGAGACATAAAGCATGCAGTGTTGACAGTGGTGGAGGACTGAGGATCCATCTCGCCGAACAGTGCAGACAGCTCTGGCTCCATCTCTGTCTGAGACAGCCACTCTGAAACACACCATACATCCTCGGCCCTAGCACACCAACTAATCATGTTAATCAATACTGGCTGATTGCCTACTTAATCATCTGTGACACATGGGCACATTTCTGGCTGACTGGAGAGTCAGGGAAGTAGGTGTAGCACCAAAAGAGTGATGAGCGGGAGGCCTGCGAGCAGAAGCTCAACATTTTTAACACTGCAGATTAGTTTAAAAGGTTTAACTCTTTCAACACTGCCTGCATAAACACGAGATGTCAGCACGTGTTTTATTCCAACATATGAAACTCTATGTCTACTAAACAAAAAGACCTAGTGTAAACATACTCAAGAGTACCTTGTTGAAGGCTTTATAACACAGTCCACATAGTTCTACGAGGTAGGAGAGACTGAACATGCCATACTGAATGACAAAACTCAGCAACTTGGAGAAGGGCTCCAGGAGGCTCTGTAGAATGGAGGAAAAGAAAAAAGTGTTAAAGTGTTAAAGACTAGGATTTGGACAAATCAGTGTGTAAAATTCTGCCTTGGGCTTACCCGGGTTGCATTTGTGGTCGGGATTTTCAGCAGACAAATGATAATCCTCAAACTGGAATCCATGGGGCACTAATGACACATACAGATTGCAAAAAATGTTGAGAAATCGAAACTGCCAGTTGGTTTTAAAGTGCAAAAGTTAAAAATTATTGCATGCTGCATACCCACGGTCCTGGACTTGGTGTTTTAAATCTATCTGCAGTGATAAATTGATTAGAGTACACACTAATTTGACCTCTAAGGTCAAAAGCGTCAGAGTCAAATCAATTACAATTTTAAGATTCTATCCTATTGAACCCGACAAGGGCACTGCTAAATGCTTTTTCCTCCAGCCATAATCACATTAAACCATATCAGACCATGACTAAGTGAACGGAAGAGTCGATATCTACCTTCAGAGGAAGCACAGAGGGCAGTTTTGTGAGGAAGGTCTGGAACTGGTTGCAGATGGTCGTCCACAGGTTGCTAGGAGAGTCCATGGGGAGAGCCTCCATGAAGGTGGCGATGTTGTCCAGGCAGTGCAGCATTGTGCCCCCTGCTGGCAGACTCTTCTTGTTGTTCAAACCCTGGAGGGCACACAGGCACAAACCATAACAGGTTTATATAATGAAATTCTACAAGCGAAGATATTTCCATTTAACTGATCGTTCAGCCCTGATCAATCGCAATGCTTGTGCTCAGAGCAGGGGATTTAGGACACTGAAGCACACATGATTGCTTGGATGGGCTCATGGATCAATGGGTTCTAATCTGTGTCATGTATTTAGCTTTACAATAACAATAAAGTGGAACAGTGGTGCAGGGTAAGGCGGGTTTTCTTGAATGCCCCCATGATGATTTTAGATGGGCTTATGCTCTACATGTAGCTGGAGACACAAAAGCTACTGCTTTGACAAGAGCTCCTCCTGCTGGTTGCAAGACTCAACACAGACACACGAAGGAAAATCCTACCTCAAGCAGCATGTTGAGGGCAGCAACTGAACTCAGCTCATTGAAATCTATCAGCGAAGTTGCAAGCGTTCGCAGAAAACTTCCATCTGCAAAAAAGATATATAGAAAAGCATAAAAAGAATAAAGGTGACAATATATCCAGTGGAAAACTATCAAGTTAGCCTTATCCTTGTGTAAAAAATAAATAAACATTAAAACAAATATGTAAAGAAAAGCAGCAAAGTATGCATCTACTATAAGTTTCAAAATATAGAGCACCAAGGTTGAAACACACAGAAATGAGCAGCTAAGATACGCTATAAGGCTCTGTAGAAATAGTGCTGATAAAGTTCAAGGAGTTTTGAGTTTAGTAGTCAGTGGTATGAGCACACCTTTGATGTTACTCTGGAAGAGTTGGGGCAAGATGCCATTAGGGGCCAGCTGGTGAAACATACAGCGCAGGAACTGCTTGGCTACACCTGCTACATTCCCTGGGATCAACATACTGCAAAACATCACAGGGAGAATGTCTGAGTTGGACAGGCAGTCACACTCCACATCTATTATTAAACTCATCTATAAGCACAGTGAATATCTGAGCGCACTGGTTTGACGGCTTTAATGTCTCATACCTCTCAGCTTGTCCAGAAAAATTGGCACTGGATGCCAACCTGAAAGCAGTTAAAGCAGTGGATTAGGACCAGGGATGAATTATGCATGAGTTCTATGGGCGAGTTATGAAACTTCATTTAACGGTGAAGTGCTGTGTGGATGGAGATTGCAGGATGGTTACAGGAGCGGCTGTACCTGCCCACAGACTGCATGATGTCGAGAAGCATTGGAGCAGCCAAATCAGGGCTGAGGTGGATGAACATGGAGAGAACGACCACGGCGAGGCTGAGAGTCTCCTCGTCGTATTCCTCCAGCACGGCCGCACAGTCCCGACACCTGGGACATCACATTGTATTTCACACAGGCTGGTTTAAGCATTAAGATGACTTGTTTCAAGACATGTATAGCTTCACCTTCACCTGTCAGACATTGTGGTAGGCTGCTCATCAATGAACTCTTCGGGCGCAGGGACAAACATGCTTACTGTGCTTGGTGCAGAGAGCAGGCTGGTTTTTGTGGGACCTGCAGAGGAAGAATATCAGTAATGAAATAAAAGAACAGCAGGCTTTTCAGATTCAGTTATTAGATCCTGAATGAGGTCAATGAGGAATAACATGTTGGTTTGGTTTTTGAGTCATAATCTAAGTAAAGATATTTAGGCTTTTTGTCTATGTTCGAAGACAGTAAATTATTTAATACTAAATCTTATATGGTATCTTCCCAGAGTTTGAATTCAATTACTGGCCAATAAGTGTCACTTTCCGCTTAAGTTATTTCTGTTTCCTTTGTTTTCTTACATGTCACTATATCCATATACCTCCTCAAGAGGTCATTATGGAATAAAGGGAAGTCTAAAGCAACTGACCCGTTTCCCAGGTGCTGATGTTGTGTGGCGCGCTGGACTGATGCTCCAGCTGTCTCTTCATTAGCTGGCTCATGGTCAGAGCTCCCAAAGAGCCACGCTTCACCTGACGGTACTGAGCTAAAGGTCAGATACAGATACAGAGAACAACACCTGCGTTAAAGTACCTGCTGAACTCATTCCAGCTTCCCCAACAACAAGCGTGTGTATGGTTACATGGAAATAGGGAAGACGCTCACGTGAAAAGAGATGGTCACTTTAAAGTAAAAGTAATTGGAAATTAAATTCAGTTAATATTAGATGGGTGTTTTCTCTATTCTTGCAAATTTTATTGGTTTTATGATTAAGATGTCAAAGATGTCATATTATGTGATATTTATTTAATATTTACAGCTCCAATATGAAGTTTAAACAAAAGTTAATTTGAAAAGAGAAAAATAAAGAGAACTATAGGTAATATATTAGACTGCACACAAGTAATATATACAAATATGTCAGATTAAGGCCCTTCTTTATGACAACCACAACAGTCAGTTTTATTGAAGTTCATAAAGAGATTATGTAATAAAGTATTTGCATCCTACTTGATACTGAAGAGCGGTGGCTTGTTTCAGGCATAGCAGCTTCAAGCGTTGGGGCTGAGGCAGATTCTCGTGGCTTTTCCAATGTAGACAGAACTTTGTGATCTGCAAGGCAATATGGGTGAATGATGGGCAGGGCATTGGCATCAGAATATATGCCATTATATGCCAGTAGTTTTCCAGTAATAATAGTAATAGTAGAGTCTATTTAGTGCTAATTTAATTTGTTATGTGAAATTTAGTGCTTTGTTACATAACCTCACCACCATCAGAAAATCACTGTTTGCAGTTTAAACTGATTTCCCCAAAGTTTGTTTCAAATATATAATCAAATTCTGCCTTGCTCTTCAGCTTCTTTTAAATTAGTTCAAAATGTAAATTTTCTCCTTTGAAGTACTTGTTGTGTGTGTTTGTATGATGGAAAAAGTGAACACATACATAGAAAACACACCACAGGACATCACAAGGCTGGAGTGGTTGGTCGGGGAAAGATTTGAGTTAGGTGCACATTTTTTTGTATCCCCAAATCTAAAGGAATATATCCGTTTTTTTGCAAGTTTTAGTTCCTAACTACAAATCTAATATACTTTACATTTATGCTGTCCATGACTGAATGCACACTATGCAATTTTTAAACACATTTTTCCAAGCAATCTAGAGAGCCGATACGATTATTTGTGATGTTGTATGAAAAGTTAAAGCAGACTCTTCAAACTTACTCATGTCACATTATAATAGTGAAGTACTATACAGTAGTAATATATAGTAGTTCAGTATGATAGTATAGTAGTGTAATTCAATTGCAGATTGATATCAGACTGATTTACACTTACATTTTGATAACACAAGTTTGTAGAGTCTGGTAACTGGTTTTCATATTGTAATGGTTTGCTGTGACATGAGGTATACACCGTTTGTGGTAAATGCCCCAAAACTTGCAAAACAATGTTGTGGTCCTTAATGTTATTTAAAGTCACTTTAATTTAAACAAACACTTTTAACCAATTTCGTAGAAATTAATTGATTATTATGAATTTGAAATGCATTGAATAAGATGTCTCAAATCCAGGATATCAGCTGAAAATATTTTGAAACAAATCCCACATCACATGGACAGCACATTGGTAAAGTACAAATTAACCTTGATGCACCCATGCAACATTTTCACTAAACGAGCACTGATTACTTTAACTTCCTATATAAAGTGTTTATCTTTCCCTCCCCCTTACCGGTTTCTGTGGTCTGCTCACCACCCAGCTTGTCAAACGTGTTGAACGAGATGTCCAGGTATTCCCTCTGGATGGCACTGACAGCTATCTTCCTTTGCTTCCGTTGACGGGGAACAATCTGGATTTTAAACTCTGCTTCGTCATTGTCATCTGCATTATCAGGTTTGGGGTCGCTGTCCGCGTCGTCACCCATGTCGTCATCCTCTTCATCGTCACCATCCTCTTCTTCATCATTGCTGTTACTCTTGCTTTTTTCTGGTGAGGAAAGGGGCTCTGCTCTGTCCTCTGGGATGTCCAAGAAGATGGTCCTACCAGAGGGACTCGCCACAGGTCCCATCCCAGTCTTCACCTCTTCAGGGGCCACAGACGTGTCATCTAAAGAGGTGTCAGGGACGTGTGGAGTCTTCCTCAGGAGGTCTCTCTTTTGCTTCAGAGTCATTGGGCTTTCATGGCAGACATATTCCGGCCGGTCAGGAAGCTCCAGAGAGGTGCTGGGAGTCACACGGTTTGGCTTCTTCTCCATGAATGGCTGCACTGAGCCTCCCTCTCCCACCAAAACATCTGGGGTCTTTTTGTCACTGGAGCAGTCCTCCACACTCACCTGAACCACCGGAGACAGTCGTAAGGTGTTACTGCTGGCAGGGGAAGCCGAAACCTTTGGACTCCCATTGAACTTGGAGCTTATGATGGTGTTAAGATCAAATTCTTCATCACTCTCCACGATTCTCAGTGGAGGCAACTGTTCAAACACCAAGGAGTCACTGTCGGACATGGAGAGCAGTGAGTGTTTCTCTGGAATTGATGTGCAGTCGGAGGAGAGATCAATGAGGTCTTGGTCCTCTTTTCCCTGAGCTGATCCCACTAAGGAGCCCTGGTCCAACTTGTCATCAAAGGTCTCCATGCAGCTGAGGCGGACCTCGGGGATGACAGGTTTGGAGACGTCGGACTGGCCCCCTCGAGAGCCTCGCCGGTCCACGGGATCGTTGGCCTCCACCCGAACCGAAGAACCATCGGAGGATCCTTTACCGTGATGTCTGCTGTGGGATGTGGCTGAGGATGGGGGCAGTACCACAGGGGGCACCTGCATATCGCAGCGATCAATGCATGACTTGCGTCTGTGCTCGTCCAGATTGAAGAGGATGGAGTCCGTGTTAGAAATGTCCAGAGACTTCTGCTTGTGCATGGCCTGCAGCCGCTTCTTCCTGGTGCTCTCCTCCCTCACACAGTGCAGAATGCTGTCCTGAAGGGCGCTGGCTTCTCGGTACTCTGACAGCTCAATTTCACCTGATACACAGAAGAAAAACGAGACTTTACCCCAGTGAAAGCAATAAGCCTCCTGCTATCAGAAAAAATATGTTGTGCTGAAAACAATTCGATCGATGTGCTGTAATCCTACACTTTACTCTGAAAGCCTCTGCTTCTTACTTTTTTTGGCATTCAGCTCTACCGGCTGGTACTTCACAGACTTGCTGCCACCAATCCTCTTTAGGCGAGCAAAGAAGGTCTGTGACTCCTTGTTAGCAGCGCCAGTCGGAGTGTCATGGACATCTGACTCATCAAATACACTGTCCTCTTCTAAAATGGAGAAAAATATGGAGAATTAACATCAGCACTGCCTTTATGTAGCATATAGAATATGTAACCCTGACTGGAGTGGCTATCATTTTTACTCTGACATTGTCATCTACACAGTAAATATATATATGTATATATATATATATATAGATTAGGTTTTTTTATAAATGCTAGACCAATTTATATTCATAAGTTGATAACTAAAATACTGCAAAATGCAGTGAGTACCCAAATTATTTTGAGGAAAAGTCTTAAGATTACTCCAAAGATCAACACCATCATTGATACACACAATCAACAGACTATATATTAAGAAATTGTTGTTGTTTATTCATCAAATTATAGCCATTATAGATGTCTGCTGAGATAAATAACACTCCTATTTTTGCATCACCTTTTTCCTTCTCGCTGTAGCGGCTCATGTTGGAGTTGTCGCTATAGAGGGGTCCTGCCGTAGCATGGGGACGACAGCTGTGATACTGGGCATTGAGTGTGTTGATAGTGATGTGGATTAGATGGAGGACCACTTTACTACCCTCCATGTCCCTGTATGGGTACTGTGGATCACAGAAACATATTACAAGCTTATGATGTATTACTTTGTAAATCATGCCATATGTATATCATAAAATATAAATGAAATATGTATGTCATATCTATGTGACTGGATGAATAATATCCCATGCAATGAAATCATACGGACACATAATAATTCCGAGAGTACCTTATACAGGATAACTAGCAGGGCTTTGAGCCACATCTGTCTGATGTGTGGCCTCAGGGCCCAGAGAGAGCATCGAGGCGGTTGCTGGAAATAGTGTCTCAGCTGGGGACATGTGCAGTACTTCAACACCTGGACCACCAGAGGGAGTAGCTGCTTCCCCAGACCTATATTGTAGTCCATCACCTGAAGGAGGGAGCATTTAAGTTCATTAGCTTGCATGTTATACAGGTATATTCCTTACAACATACCACTAAACAGTACCAGTAAAGCTACACCTATAAACACAAGTGATAATAAGCTTATATTTCAGTTACTTGTGCAATGCCAGCGATGAAAGCGTTGAAGCAGGTAGAGGTGCGCATCTTCTGAGGTGCAATCATGAAGCAGCCCTCCTGCTGGTCATAGCCCAACAGCACATACAGGTGACGCTTCACAGTGTTGAAAGCTTTGGCACTGCCGATGTCGGACTCGGCGCTGCTCTGGTCTTTGGCCATAAATTTCATGAGCACCATGATCAGCTGGTGAACTGTCTGGTGATCTATGCCGGCGTCCTCAGGAAGCAGGTCTCTGATGATGGTGTCGTCCTCAGGAGACGGGGTCTGGCCTACAAGAGGGGCTGAAGCGTCAGGGTTAAAGTGAGGGAGGAAACGTGCTGCAGACAGGGGAGAGGATGGGGAGAGGGAAGGGTGCAGGAGCAGGGGGGAGGAGTAACAAGACAGAGTTGGGCGGGGGGGAGTCAACTCTCCTGTCAACTTCTCTGTCAAGAGAGGTGGAGACATCATCATGCAGTATACATACATCAGTGCAACATGTTCATGGAATATGTAAACAGGGTAAACACAAAACATGGCCTGGTAGCTGTTAGCGAGAGTGTTTTTTCTTCTCACTCTTTCCAGTGTAATTATTAGTGTAAGCCTGAAGGCGGGATGAAAAAACAATGACTGTCACCACAGAGCAAACATTGCTTTTTCATATTCCATTTTATATTTCCACGTGTAAGCTTTATTGGTAGTGATACTGTACTTTTCCTCCAATATGATATGATTATGAAGAGTAATGCTGTATGTTTCATTTTTGCGTTGTTATTTACCTGGCAGGACTTTCTCTATCATATCTCCCAGTGTCGGGGCAGACTGCTCTTGCCTCGTAAGCCTTAGAGCTAAAAACCACATATGAAGAACACAATTTAGGACAATGTACAGGGGAGGTAGCACAGGACACATGTCTGAGCTTCGTCGTCATCCAACACATGCACACACAAACACTAGCAAAAAACCACCAAGTACAAAATCACAAAAAGTGTTTCCAAGATTTAAGGCATTTTGGATGATCACAAATATCCAACAACCACATCAACTTTGAAGCCAACACAAGAAACCTCTCCCAGAAACTCAGACAGCCTTCTGTGCAGAGCCAAAGACAAAATGAATGTCATGGTGGGGAGTTCCCCCTTTTTAAACAAAGTAGTATTCAGACATTCAAGTGAAATGAAATTTGGGAACAAACGAGTGAGGAGAGAAACATTAGGAAAATGGGACCAGGCTTTGGTCGAATAGCATTTGCAATTATAGCAATTATAGCATTATTTTCACCCACAATGGATAGAAAATAGGCAGCGTCAGCTGACTCTTTAAACAGGTACGGACATGATATAGTCATGGTTTGCCTCTATAATGTCATGTTGAACCTCCATTTAAACAGGTATTTCAAAAGGTATTTGCAAACACTGTTTGACCTCAGACTGAATGAAAGTGACACAGGTTAAGATTCCAGCTGACAGACAGACAGACTTGTTGATCTGTGCTACTCACGAAGTCGGTTGCTCAGCGACTCAGGGAGTGAAAATGCCCGTTTAGACTCAGCCGGACCTCCCTTCACACTGTCACGGAGTGAACGCACACTCTTCTGCCGATTCCTGGCGAAACGGGCTCGTCGAATCTTCCACAATGCTGCGTCACTGAGGTTGGCTACATTTGTTCGTACAGCTGTGATGGCTGTAAAAAGAAAGGTTGTAAACAACATGTGGAGCTCTATTAGGCTGTGGTGTTTTTGTCACAACAAATATTATGTCAAGAAAAAGGAAGTGTAGGAGAAGCAGGAGTAAAAATCTGAATGGGGACCTTAAAGCTACATACTTGTTGGGAAAGGGAACTCCTTGTTGCAGTCCAGGTGTAACTGGGCCTCCAGAGACAATGTTTCAAAGCGGTTGACAAAAAACTCCCAGCTAAGAGCAGGAATGTCTTTCTTCAGGAAGTGCAGCAGCAGGAGTTTGCTGAGGATGACTGGCCGATCCCTCACAACAGTGTCAAACTGGAAGTCAAGGCACAGACACAGGCCCTACAAAATATACAACACATAAATATAAAGCAGAGCACGTAGTTACATACATTATTTAAGTAATTTCTGCCAAATATTTGATGATTCCAGTCACTGAAATCTACAAATTTGCATTTAATGCATAATTTTTAATCATAGTTTATTTATTTTCACAGAAACAGCTGAAGAAGTGTTGACCAACTGTATGACATGTATTTAGATACAATGCAAAAAACCCAGCACTCCTGAAACATTAGGGCTCCAGAGTCAATAAAAGACTTTAAAACTATGGGACATTATGAGAATTTGCAAATAGTAAATTATGGTGCAGAAGGACACAAACATGACACGAGATTTTGTAATAATGACAATAACCCTTTGATTTTTAAGGCCCTACAGTGTTTAAGTGTTTCTGCTCCCAAATTTCCTCTATGTCAGAAATACATCTTTGTACTGCTTCTGTGTGGGCAGCTCACCTGCAGGGCCGGCCTCTTGATGGTGTCCAGAAGCAGTCTGGCTCTGGTGGCCACAGCGGGATTGACGTCCTCCACAGAAGCCAGGAAGCAGCAAAAGGCGTGGGCCAGGGAATACTTTAGCAAGTGGTTTTTTGTAACCGCGCCAATGTCCAGGAACCGACACAGCACTGCTACCTTCTCAACTGGCAGTTTTCATGAGAAAGAACAGCAAATCATCAGCAGCACGGACGAGTCATACAATAAGATGAGGCAGCAGAGCTGCCAGATGTCCTGCCATAATTACCATGATTATATCATAAACAGACCAAGCAATGAGATCACTAATGAAGATAAATTCATGTATTACTTAGATACTATTTCTATGTCACCATATTTGTCCTCACATAATGCATGGATGTATCAATATGAATTATGTTTCTTGAACTACAAAATTACACAAGAATTATATGAATAATATTCAATCTATTGAAAATCGGTTAAAATTACATGTATCACTACACTATCACTCATATGCAAAATTATGATTTTTATTATTTATTTAGTTAGTACACACAGTTACCACTCTGGCGACACAATCTCTCATATCCCCTGTGCGTGAAATAAAATAAGAATGCATTCACTCATTTCAAGAAAGAGGATCCTTCCAGTAGTTGTTGGTTTTATTTATCATGACTGAGATTAGAATCTAAAAATAGACATTTTATTCTGAAATCCATAAACTCTCACCCATTCTCGGCTGATTTATAGCACTCGCGTTGACCACTAGGTGTCAGTGTAGGAGTTAAGAAACATGCCAGAGCAGTTTGAGTCGGAAATATACTGTACATTTTTGCATGATTTACACCCATAATTATAAAATTATCTGTTTCAAAAGTGCTAATGAGAAGGTAGAATAATATTCTAAGTGCCCATGTTCCTGAAATAGATCAACAGCATATCAACCTGACAATGTGACGCAACATTTTCCCAGGTGGAAAGATCAAATAACTGTAATTTATTTTATGTCCCAAGGTATTTATATACACAATAGGCTTATAACTTTACACCTTCTAAGAAATATTTACTGTGTATTTGGGGAAACTGTCAATTCAGTTGCTCTTCTGTTTCCCTATATCCATACAGTCAGACGACCTGTCCTCTGCCGCTGTCTCAAGGTCATACATCTCCTCTCTGCCAATCACATGGCAAGAAAAATCTTATTAATCCCACAATTCCCCTTTGCTGCCTGTTTGAGCCACATGGTAACCATGGCAACACAAGGGGAGATGTGAGCAGACAGTGTTTTAGGAAACATATTATACAGCAAACTGGGGCTCTTCCTCCAACAATTCATTACATACAACCACAACCCCTTTGCTCACAAAAAACATCACTAAACTGAGGATGGTTTAGTCCTCATGATGATATTGATGCTGTGTTTATAACTAAATATGATCATTAGTTTGTCAGCAGCTGCAGATATCATATACAGCATATAATTTTACACATTACAGTAAGCTATTCTCTGTCTCTCACCTGCTTCAAATCGTATTTTCCAGTCTTTGCTGTTGAAGTTTGAGTTGATGAGGTTCCAGAAGATGTCAGCCCCGTGGGATAACGAGAGGGCGTGCAGAAGCTGAGGTACAGCCAGAGAAGCTAACTGGCAAAACTCTGACTTCAGCATGGACCACAAACTAAAACACACCACAAAACAGACACACACGCAAATGACCATCAAGAAGTTGATTTAATCAACAACTGCAAACAGATATTTCCATCCATATGATCTTTTTCTGTGACAGAAGGGAAGCTGTGAGCACACACCTTGGGATGAGCATCTTCTCCTGGACGTAAGCCAAAAACTGGGGGTGATCCTTGCAGGCAAGGTACAAACACTCTCCATGGAGACACAGGATCTTCAGACAGTTCAGCATGTTGAACAAGATGTCAGGCTCTTCAAACTTGGACATTTCCTGAATTTAAAAGAGATATTGACTCACATGTGTGCCATATGTACACTCAAACAATTCAAAGAAACATTACTGGATGCTTCCATCCTATTTGTTTTCTAATTCAGTTATTAAGAACAAGTACCTGCAGGATGGTGTATATGAGCTTCAATGACACAGGGAGCTGCTGGTAGGAGAATTTCTTATCTGAGTTATTCTTCATGGCTGGAAGGAAAAAGACTGTAGCATTAATGACCAGTACAAAACATACTGATAAGACAATGAGTCTAAAATTGATACCACTCAAAAGTCTATTCAGTATGTAGCTGGAGAGAGTAGCCAATTACCTTAGCATAAAGAAAAACCTTTCAGTTCTCACTTTTTGTTAAGATATAGAGAATTAGTGAGGTAAGAAGGTTTGCCCTTGTTTCCATGCTAAGTTAACTGGCTGCTAGCTTCAGCTACATGTTTACTGTACAAACCTGGGAGTGGTATCAGTCTTCTCATAAAACTCTCAGCAAGAGAGCAGATAAATAAAAATATTTCTCAAAATGTCAAGCTACTGCTTTAAATATGAAGCTGTTAGTTTAGCTTAGCTCTTGGTTTAAATTAGCTAAACCAAGTTAGCATATGTACCAAAAGGTTGAAGTATTCCTTACAAGATTTTTGGTATTCTTCTAGCAGTCAACAGCTGAGTGAAATTTATTTTGGCTGACACAATGAATGCTTTTTTTGTATTTGAACAACGCTGTGTACAGAACTGCTACATACGTGCATTATCAGGAGAGTGGTTAATGGGGTTGTCAGTGTGTGTGCCACTTGGGTTGTCCCCTTCTTCACTTCCATTCTCTGCCCCAAAGGAGAAATCTTGCTGAGGAAAGAGCAAAGTTTCCTCCAAACTATCCGTGGGTTCCTGCAGAAGAATGAAACATTGTCAAAACATCCCCTTCATATGTTTCACATCATCAGTAATTCGGCTGACCATGATATTGATTAGCATCATTCACAAGAGATTTTAGAATAACCTATTTGTAAATTCACCAAAACAAAGACAGATGGAGATTTACTTGTTTTATGAACATACTTTCTGCTTTATGTCATCTGCAACAACATTAGCTCAGTCAGGCACACTGTGGTGTTTTGGGGTAGAATTACTGCATGGCATTAATTTCAAAGCCTTACCTGCTTAATGCACAGGGTTCATTTATATTTGGTGCATAAAAATTCATGCTTTGTGTCTCACCACCAGACGTATCTCTTCCCGGGGGGTCAACCTCTCCAGGAGCTCACAGCCCAGCTGGTAGCAGAGGATGCTGGATTGGCACAGGCTGCACTCCAGGGCCTTCTCATCCTTCTGGCAGGTGTGTGAACCCCCCCATGGGGCCTGGAAGACGTTGTTGATAATGCCCACGATATCCTTCCCCAGGCTGCTGTCTAGACCCAGCATCACACCATCGTCCTGGAGCTCCATCTGGGACAGCGGGGGAGACGACCATAAAAACAGGGGAACAAAAAGTGGAGTTCGATGCACAAATCTCAAGATCCCACCTATGGGTGTTGTTGTCATTGCACTGTGTGTGTCGCTTTTCTCTATATGAATGCGTAAACTATGTTGCATATTGTTTGAATAACAGTTCAGTATACATCTTTGGCATATGTTTTCGCGATAGAATCTGGCAGTGTTTGTATTAAAATGTTTTGTTTCTCCCATACAAATACCTGCAAACAAACTGAATTCTTAAAAGAATATTGTACAAATATTATAACCATTGAGCACCAGAGGCAGACCAATAGTCCCTTTAGAAATATGATTAAAAAAATACACATATATATTTTAGCAGTTTTTCATCAGGTTGGTACAGGTTGGTCACCTGCTTCAAGATGAGGTCAAACATGAGGATGAAGCAGCCAAGGTTCATGTCATCATCATCACAGTCCAGATCCAGGGCACAGTGGCCTGTGGCATGACCCAGGTTTTTAAAGGGGCTACAGCGTAGGGGGCTGCGGAACGGGCTCCTGAAGGGGCTGGGGAATGGGCTGAGGGTGTTGTGCTGCCCACGGCGTCCTGGATCTGACACGACACTCACCTACGAACAAAGAGCAAATCATTATATAAAGTAAAATTTATGTCTTTCTCCATAAAACGCAAAGCATTTATGCCCTCGACAGTCTATTAACCTCCAGTCAAGTTACTGCCAGTGATAATGGCACATGACTGCAGAGTTGCCTGGCTATAAATTTCAATGATAAATCTACATCACAGTCAAGTTTAATTAAACCCTTTAAGGGAGCTATATTTAGACATTAGGAGTTACCATGGTAACATACAGTTCATCCCAATGAATGGTAGGAAACATAAGCCAAAAAGAGCAAAAATGTGTACACCCTAATCCTAAACAAGCATTGACAGTCTGACAGAACACAAAACATCAGAAGAGAAGTGGGTATTTGAGGTACACTGTAAGCCCTAGGTTATTACTGATGTGACAACTAAACTGGGATAAAAACAAGTAAAATTTGGCATTGAACCCTATTATCATTTATTGTTTAGGAGTATTTTTAGGCATTGCAGTCCTCCTCACCCTGCGAGCCCCAGTGTTGCCAGTCAGATCTGAGGCACGGGCCTTCCTCTGATTGGCGAGCTCTTTCAAAGAGTTCACTCCATCAGAAAACATCCCAATCAGCAGCTGAAGAGGCACCACGATGTCAAGCTCTGACAACACCTACATCCAAACAAAACAAACACCAGATCAATTCACCAAAATCACAACAAATACAGTTTTCTACTTACCATGCAGATTTAATGATTTTCAGGTATGATGGTGTCCAGCAATGTGTCTTTCCAGAAATACTATCCCACTTACTCAAAGTAATTTATAGACCAGACTATGGACAGATTTTATCAGGAACCCTTTCCCTTTTCTGGACAAAATGATGAACAATGCAATCTCTAAAAAATAATTTTTCACAACTATTTGCATAAGGTTAGCCAAACAATGGATATGTCATAACCTATGCAAAAGACATTAAAGCTGCATGCATGACTTGATATCACTGGAATAAGTGCTTTCTGATTTGGGTGAACTGACCCTCAAATATAAACGTATTACCTATATGACATTAACACATCACAGAGATACACCATGCAAAGAAGACATGCAGAATCAAGCTAGGCACCACTTCCCTGATTTGAATCTGACCTATTTACTGAGGGTAAATTAATGCAATCACTTGATCATAGTTGTGACAGAAAACTTGAAATTGATCCATGTATACAGGACAGCAAGCTGTGAGTGCATATTGGGTGAAAGGCAAAATCCCTCCTATCTCTCTCAGTCTCGTTTTGCGACCCAGATTCATATTCAGCAGGGCTCCTGCCCAGGCTCTCACACTCTATGACAGCCTGTTCAATTCACACTCACTGTAGACAGAACCGCAGGATGTGAACTGGACACAAGACAGCGTGTGTGTGTGTGTGTGTGTGTGTGTGTGTGGGTGTGTGTGTGTGTGTGTGTGTGTGGGTGTGTGTGTGTGTGTGTGTGTGTGTGTGTGTACTTACATGCAGCCACAGCAGAGCCTGCTCTTGCACAGACGCTGGGTAGCCAGAAAATCTGCAGCTGATGAAGCCAAACATTTCCTCCATGGAGAAAGGCAGGGGGCACAGCTCAATATCAAACATCTTGCTGTAAGGAGAAGACAGACAAGAATATGTATATGCACATGAATTTATACAGAGAGGCAGGTAGCAAAAATCCGTCCTCAGATACTGTTACCCAGTCATCTGTTACTTTTAATATTGTGTCATGATGTGGTGATGCAGTCCTCACACTGCCTCTACTCTGTTTCTTATTCAGATGGTGGTCTCATTTATGCATACATTTTCCATAAATGAAGTAGCAGAGGAGCACAGCAGTGAAGTCATCTGAAGTGGGAAGGGGAATTTTGGGAAATATGCTTATTTGCTTTTTAACAAAGAGTTAAATGTGAAGATCGGTACTGCTATAAGTATGAAGCCGGAAAGCAGGATGAAATTAGTTTAAATTAGCTTAGCATGAAGACTAGAACCGTAGGAAACAGCTAGCTTGTTTACTCCTACAATAATCTATATCAACAATTCATGAATTAACACCTTATAGTTTGTTGGTTTAATCTGTACACAAGCAGAATATAGAAATTACACATTGCAGTTTTATGTGGCAGTATGGTCTGCAACAATTTCATAATGAATAGTGTGTGAAGACTCCAGGAAACCAAAACCACAACTTGGTTAACCAAATGAGCTACACTATGTTCATTACTAACTTAACTGTTCCCCCTGCTACCAGTCTTTATGTTAAGCTATCAATCAAGTTGAAAAAAGAAAGGGAAAAAGCTATTCTGCAAACTGTCAAACAGCATTTGCTCAGCTTTTCACTGACACTAACCTACTAATGTATCCATCTCTTTGATTTATATTTTTACATGCTGCAAAAGCTAGCATCATGCATTATAGACCACTGAGGCTTAAAGGTTAAAAGTAAAAACTCTTCCAGTTGGTCTGCTGAATCTCAGTACATACTATTTTTGGAAAAGGCCCTTCCTTCACTGATTCTGTGGTGTTAACACCAAAACCTGGCATTTATTTTTGATGTTTAGACTGCTAAAAATACCTGCTATCAAACAAAAGTCATTGTAGGTGCACTGGAAATATCTTGATATAATGTTATGTTCTGTGCATTTGGCCAGTGTTATCCAGCAATAAGAAAAACACATCAGCAATTGACAAAACTAGCCCAGAAACCAAAGTACAGATTTGTCAGTTAATACTATATATGTTGTATATCACGATTAGCACAGCTACAAGTGACTTACAAGAAAGTATTTTACACCCTCACCCCAGTTTATATGCAATACCAAAAGTCCTTATTACAGGAATAACAAAAGTAATATGTAAACATTTCTCGGAGGTGGAGGTACCTGAGCACTTCCCGGAACTCTTTGAGCTGGTGGTCGGGCACCTCGGTGCGGATGGCCTCCAACCACTCAGGCATAAAGCACTCCCACAGCGGTTGACTGATGACATTGTAAGGTATCAGACACAGGATGCGGTTCAGGCCCTCTTTCAGCTGGGTCACTGTGCTACATGACTTGTCCCAGTAGCCTCCCACCTGGGGAGAAGTTAACACAGACTGGCTTAGATCAGGTCATGACCTGCCCTGAATAATTTTAATAAACTTCAGTCCTATGTGAGATCCTGATTTTGTCATTTTTTTATTCATAGCTGTTAGACAGTGCAACATGTTCTCTGTGTTAACATGTGCTATGTCTGAGATAAACAGGAGCTGGGATCTGTATTGCCTGTATATTTGGAGTCACAATGCAACTCTATAATCCCTTAACCATATAATGTATATTTAGTTGACCTTGGTCTTGACCTTACCCTGGCAAATTCAACAGGTTTGGGCAGCAGACACATGACCATGACGTCAAAGCGCACTTCACACACTGTCTTTAGCCACTTGGTGACAAATTGAGGCTTTAGCTTCTCCACCAGGCTTCCAACCTCATCATCCATCATGTACGCGGTGGAGTGAAACCACTGGAAGACCATGCTGACCAGCCGAGCCAGACTCTCCGTAGGTGTGTTCTCATTGGGGGTACACAGGCTCACCTGTACACGTGTCAGAGATGCAAATTAATCAGTCAGGTAACCATGGATTCCACAGAGTAGTGATAAGAGGCCATGTACTGCACACATTCTTATCTCGCCGGTCTCTGTTATTGATAGACACAGTAACAGCTTGTGATTACACACCAGGAACCAGATGCCAAACTGACTGAGGAGGCGCTGGTCGTGCTGGTCGTCCTCCTTGTTATCAAACTCAATGTTGTCCAGAGAGTGGTGGGAGGCGGACAGGCCCATCTGACGGCGCCTGTTCAGCTCAAACTCACGCTGTTCTGCATGAATTTCTGCCTCCTTCAGAAGGCTGGGTGGATATGGAGAGGATGAGAGGGATAACAGAGGATACATAGAGGCAAAGAGAAGACAAAAGAGAGACATATTGACAGTGAAAGAGCAGGAAATAGATAATACCGACATTAAATATCCTTTATGCTGTACTGTTGTCTATATATTCATTTAAAAATGTGTTTCACCACATTACAGACTTATACCTTGTAACTGTAGCTGTGATATGTCAGTGTAAACAGAGTGGATGTACCTTATAACAGCTTCCACAGTGCACACCAGCTCCTCCGCTCCACACTCCCGGGTGTTGATTGGAGGGGGCGAGGTCTGGTACAGATGGGTCTCCGCCGCAGCCCCCACCTCGCTGCTGTGGTGGTTGACATGGCAACGCTTGCAGTAGCGGACAGGCCGGTTGCCATGGCGCCCACAGCAGCCAGCCGAGAAGCAGGTGACCACAGCCCTCCTAACGTGAGAGCTACAGTTCTACAGTACAAAGCCAAGAAACAAAAGAAAGGAGGAGGAAGAGGAAGAGGAGGACAAGGAATAATTTTATTTCTATTCTTGCCAGCATGCAACGAAACACAAACATGCAACAATCACAGTAAAACAGCCAATAATGTCTCATGACAAGCCTCTAAAAATAAAAATATTTCCAGGTCTCACAATTATTACGTCCCTCTCTAATATGCATTTGTTTAGAGAAGTTGATCTGTCTACATCTGGAGCAATAGGAAAAGTCTTTATGTGTCCCTATGGTGTCTCAGGTTTCTAAAAATAAAAAGCATGGCACTAGAGAAGCATCCTAATCTGATCAGCCTCTAATCTTGTGCCATTAGAGGGATGCAGTGCTCCCTATCAAATTAACATATCTGTCCTCTGCTGACAGTGAGTTCTCTCACTCACCTTTCCGGCTTTCAGCAACAAAAACACTTCTCTGATGTTACTGATGTTGTTGTTGTTGTTTAAAGTACGTTCTATCTTGGGTATCATGGGGTATTTATAAGAAGCTATTCTCAGATGAAGAGAACTGTCTCAGTTAATAATGATTTGGTGTAAACCCAGGTGGGAGTTTAAAGAGCTTTCTGGAATAGGTGGGACAAAGCCAGATCAGAGAGGGAGGTTGTGGATTATAGCCAGGATAGGGGCCAGCTGTCCCCTTACAGCTGGGGACAGCTGCTCAGCCTGATGGGAATACCTGAGATCATCTCACACGCAGTTTTCCTGGTGTCTCCCAGGAAACCAGCAGGGAGCACTTGTGCCCTCGGCAGTGCATTCAGCAACAGTGAGCAAACATCCCGCCCCAACAGCTTCATTTGAAACGATTTGGCCTTTACTGAGCCACTTCAGTGAATGGACTCTGCTCATAAAAATGACCTTGCCATGGGTCATAGGTAAAAATGGATTTTATCTAAGTTTATGAAGAATGAGTTAACAGCTTTAATTTCTTTCTGTTTTCAGAAATAAAAACATTGAAAACGTGTATTGTTTGGCTTGAAATGACACTTTTCATTTGGGTTTAGCAGTTTAAGGCAGAATGTCATTATTCTGATGAAGCAGTGAAGTTAATCAGTAATAACAACACATGCCTGCAAAGGTTAAACTGTTCTAAATACAGAGAAAAACTGGATAAGGTACAGTATTATATCATGCTGCAGCAGAAGAGATCACAACGAATAAGAGAAAAAGAGAGAGTAGGCAGTGACATTCTTCTTCATGTTGCAGTATAAATATCTTACCTTCTTTTGACAAATGGCAGATATCTCTGCTGTAAAGACAAAATGACAAAAATGCTCAACAGAAGCAACTTTTAAAATTACTCTAAAATTTTACACAGTATATAGCAGCATACATTACATAAAACTCAAATAACCAACAGCAAGAGATTTAATTCTTATCTGTGTCAACCTCACTATCAAATCTACACCTGCCTGTATCATATGATTGTACCAAAAACCTTCCTTTATTTTATTGAAAGTACTGAACATGTATACACTATGTGTGTATTTACTGTGTTTGTCTCTTTGTCTGTGGGAGCAGGACAGAATGAAATAAATGTATTCAACTTTAATTATATTCGACCTCAAACACCTTTTTATTTGTGAGCGCTCACCTTGGGGCAGGAGTACATCAACAAGCCATTCAGCATGGTCTCTGAAAAGGTCAAAGAAATGTATAAACAATACATGATTTATAGGAAAAGGGCTCCCCAGAGCCTATGTATATGTTCACCTGGTGTATACACAGCAGTCTCAACTTCCAAACAGAGCTGGAACACAACAGATATTTTCTCAATATCAAAGAAAACACAAAACTGCAGAGCCATGCAATTATAATATTCTACATGCTGGAGAAAAGAGAAACAATTGGCTGCGTGGTTTCATGATGATGATCTCATTATCGGCGCAAGGGAATTACGTAACCATGGCGATGTATTTCCCCTGGGTTAAAGAGAGGAATAATGAGGCAGGCAGTGGGTGATGCATGTTTGGAATGGCATCTTATTGAAGGAGGGGGAGGATCTGGAGATGTAGAGAAAAGGTAAAACAGATCCATACCCTGCTATCCTCTGGCTGCACTCCTCACATATATAAAGAGGAGGGGGCTTGTCTCCCAGGGCAACAGAAAGAGTAGGATCTATACACATCTGCAAAAGTAACACAGGTAGCGTCAGAATATGTATGTAGTATTTAAAAGACAGACATATTGATATTTTGATGTTTTATTTTCATGAAAACAAAATGGAAAGTAATACTAACAGTAAACACCACCTCTGCTTATTTAGGGACAGAACAAAACTATAGGGAGGCAGAGGCTGAACATATGGGTGGGAACTGCTGGAGAAGAAAAGTCAGTCACTAAAGACCCTCCCCCACTCTTCCAAAAAAATTTAACTACCCTCCCTTCAGCAAAAAAGAAAAAATACCTAATCCCTCCCAGCCCTTTTTAATATCTCTTTTCATAATTTTCATACAGTCCCTTAGAACAGAGTAGTATACATTTTCTATGAGTCCCTACCACATAGTCCTCTCTAGGGATAGTATATCATGGTCTTGCCCAAGAAATCATTTAACACCTATACCTGTCTCCCCACGCCTCTGTGTGGATGGCTGCGTGCATATGCTGCACTCCACTCTCTCGCAACCTGTGCCTGGCCCTGTGCTAAACCCCAATGCTCATGGCCTGAATGTTCAGATGGTGCACTGTAATTTACTGTGCTCACTTGATGCCACCCTATCCTCGAGGGCTGCATGGGGTCACCGCTTCCAATTAAGCCCCCCCTGTACCCCCTCCCTGCTCGTGGTAATTGAAATCCGGCCCCTGTCCATGCCCCTGTTCTTACTCTATTTGTCAGTTTTGAGCACAGTTGAGTAAAGGCAGGCAGGATAAGATAAAGCAGAGCAGCAGCAGCAGCAGAGACTGGTGTGAAGTAGCATAGAAGCTGATACCGTTACCCCACTCGCACAGCTGCCTGGGCCAGCTCTGATTTATTTACTGAGGGGCTCACAAAAGCAAAAACGCTGCCACGCATGGTTGAACTCAGGAAGGCAATCTTGCACATGCCCCATGCTTTCCTGATGAAGTTCTCAAGGAAGGCAGCTTTTGAATAGAGAGCACACTGCTAATATATCCTCTTTAGGTAACAAGGCATTGTAGACAAAATGGATGAGGGATCTTTTTTATGCATCCAACAACCACAAATGTACTAGTGATGCAAGACTTATTGTTTACAGACTCAAGTCACCTTGACAGCAGGTTTATTGATGGCATTGTGGCACTCGATATGTTGACAGTGGATGGGGTTCCAGGCTGATACAGGAAGAGAGGCAGAAGATTGGCAGTTAGGGGAGGAGAAAAAGAGAAAAATGGGGGATAGATTAGACCTTTAGTCAGTTCAAGGACAGATAAGGTAACTGACCCGTGTACTGTAAGCCTCTGTATTCACTGATGGCTCCTGGTGGCTTCAGGTTGGGCCAGTAATGAAATAGCATCTGCACAGCTGGAGGCTTTACTTGGGATGGTCCATACGATATGACATAAAGAAGGTCCTGCGTAAATAAAAAACATCAGCATTAATTAAAGTGCAATGATATTTGAATATTAGTGAATAGAAAGCAACAAGTTTAAGATTTTCATTCCAACATAGGCATTTGTAAAGACTATTACTTGTAATACTATGATGGCCTTTTATATTTTTAGTCTTATACTCAAAGCAACAGTTTTACGTTTTTTTAAATACTTATATAAAAACATATTTATGTATTCATGCTAAATATGAAACTAGCGCTAGCATACCGCTGGCTTATCTTGGCACGAAGAATGGGAACAGGGGGCACAGCTAGCTTAAAATGTAATAGCAAGTTGTGGTTTTAGAGCTAGTTAGGTGCTGTTTTTTCTTCACAAACAAGTTATGACGTATTCAATACTGAGCATTAGTTTGTAGGAGATTTTCCTTTACCTTAGAACAGAGCGAGTCTAGCTGTTTCTTCCTGTTTCTACTTTTTATGTCAGGCTAAGCTAACAGTCTACCGGCTTAGCTTCATACTGTGTCGTCGTACGAGTGGATCAATCTTCTCATGCAACTCTGTGCAAGAAAGTGAATCACCAAATGTCAGACTATTCATTTATAGGATTGAAAGAGCAACACAGAATTTTCATGTTTAAGCTAGGTCACACGGTGAATATTATTTTTCCAAAATAAAATATCTTCCATTATACAACAGTTAGTTCCGACCAGTAATTTGACTGGACGAGATTCATTCCATGAGTGCTGATATAGAATACAACCAGAGACAGTAGATCTTCGGTACAAGAGCACTGGGACTTTTTACTACATGTTTCACTTCGCTTCACAGGTGTTCTATTAACCGTTAATTAGCGTTACATTAGCGGTCTAATTATCTAGCTTTGATTGTAACTAACTTTGCAAAATGGATATATTTCCAGAAATAACATTTGAATTAAATGATGTATGGTCGTCAGAAGAGGATGAAGGGAAGAAGCCTGGATACTTCAGCGTACAACTGAGGTAACGTGTAGACAAAGTAGCAAGATAGTGAGCACTGTGCAGGTCAAGAAAAAGTTTATGTGTTGCTTAGCAACAGTCCAGTAGTGGAACTATTTGTGTTGGCGTTGCCAAATAAACGATGAAATAAACAAGCAAATCCTAATCTGCTGTTGCTAATTAAACTAATATGGCGCACGTAGAACTGCTGTATAAAAGCAATATCACACTCGCGGTCGTGATTTTGTACTGAATACAAGCACGGCTGTGATTCGGTCATAGGTACGAAGTTGCAGGTCGAGTACCGAAGACAACATCACTCCCTCTCTTGTGATATTGCATAATTATGCTTTACAGAAATGACTTTATATCTGCATCATGTATTTGGAGAAGCAATACCTTCCACACTTCCTGTTTGTGCTTCATTAGACACTCCAGCAATTGACAGTGATAAACTAGAAAGACATAGAGACCAGCTTAAGTAAAGAGCATTTCAGTGTAAATCATATTTCCATGCATGTTTCAAAAGCTGCTAATGTGTTTACCTGGATTTGAGGTGTACTGCATTGCAATCATAAGCATAGAGGAGGCTGACAGATTCACATAGGCCGGGACACCCCCCTCTCTCCGAGTGGAGCCCACTACAGACAAGCAGGTGAGAGGAACACAAAAAACGATACCAACTTGAAAGGTCAATTTCCGTTCTGTTTAAGGTGGTAGTGGAGATTGAAGCATTGGTCTATGTAACTCAGAGAGGGTTTGTGTTTTTAAAGGATAAATGCCAAGAAGCAATTTCATTATGTTTTGTTCCATTTTCTATACTCATCAGTTTGAGGTGAATATGTTAAGTTAATTATCTTGTTATTGGTCATACTTACAGATAGCCATGGGGAGGAAAGAGGTGCTCAGGTACTCAATGATGTCTTTGTGGAGGAAAGGGGGGAAAGTGGCTAAAGTGGAGATCATAGTATAGGGCAAAGTGCTGAGAATATCATCACTGAGAAAGGGCAGGAGGCAAGTTGTTGTATAAAATATGGACTGTCCCAGATCTGATGAGAAAGGGAAGAGGCAAAAAGAGACAAAGAGATACACAGACACTCATTCAATAAACTGTACATACAGTATTCACATACTGTATGCAGCCACAAATGTCAAAGTTACATGAATTCAGTCATTTAACAGTTTAACAGTGATAAAAGAGAACATGAATAGAATATGAGCTTCTATGGAGGGCAGTGAGCTTTCTTTAAAAGCCACTAAAGTAAACTTTGCCCTCAGAAAAAGTAGAGTATTCTAGTCAACGAGATGGGTTTTCATGCTTTTGAGCTTTTTTTAACAGTGGTAAAATATTCATGAAAATTAAGAGCACTGACTGAGATGCAGAATTGAACCCGTGAAAAACAGTGTGGAAATAAGTCATTCTCAGATGTATTGTAAATATATATATAAAAAAATAAAACATTACATTTGCCTATGTGTGCTTTCCATTTAACTTATATATTTGCACATGACAACATAAGAAAAACATTTGTCCCACTTTACATAACAAACATGCAGTCAAGTATGATACACAGAAGAGAAGGCCTATGTCTGGTGTATCCAATGGCTTATGAACGATTAAGTTGACAGGATCCAGCGTGCTCCCAATCACCCCATGCATCCCTCAAGATCCTCAGCAGGACTTCTCTCTTCCCGTTACAAAAGAGGCCAAAAAAGCAGCAGTGGCTTCATGCAGGCCAGACGGCTCGAGGATGATGATGACAAACAGTGGTGCACTGGGCCTTGACTCACCATGCTGACCGTGCTGCAGCAGGGGCACCAGGTCAAGCAGGGTCACGAGGGTCACATAGAGGCCCTGATAGTCCAGAGAGGGGTACTCTGAGAGCTGAGCGTCCCGACTCTGCTGCCCCTGCCCCCCACGGTCTGACGGGGCATCGCGCAGAACGCTGTAAAGGAGGGAGCGAGTAACTGTAGGGTTGATGGAACTGACTTGTGGTCTTAGAGATGGGGTGAGTGGGAATGGCACAGGAAAAAGACACATGGTCATGGGCACGGCCAAATTGGAAGCTTCCTGGTTCTCCTTCCTGCCTGTGCGGGACAGAATGCTGCTCCGGGGCGGGAGGGGAGGGGAGGGAGGGTAGGGGAGGGGAACAAGGGAAAAAAAGAGACAACAAAGACACAAAAAAACAGCACATTACATTGAAATGGCACTACAGAGACAGCGTAAATAGAAAAAAACAAACCCAGATAAACCCCACATAGGATGCAGTGTCTCACTATTTGACTGTATATCACTGAAGGCACGGGCAATTTTTCCCTGCTTTGTCTGTTCAGAGTGACTTTAATTCAATTTATCTCGTTTTCTCTGTCTTTGCACTTGGAAAACAAAAAAAACATGAGCACAAACTGCAATGATCACTGCATCTCATGCGTATCTGGTGACAAGGAGCAAAAATATAAAAAATGGCATGTTTTCAGTGGCAACCCCATACTTCTCCAAAAAGGGACAGTGCAAATGACTGTCCCTCGATGGCTGCCATCTTCCAATCAGCAAGGTCAGTGGCTACCATGCAAAAAGGCCAATGAGCCGTGGAATTTATTTTAAAATGAAATTTCCTTGTCTTTAGTGGGGCTGTCAAGGATGGGAGTGACACCAAATTGGTTCGGGAAAATACAGAGGTGACACTTTTGAAACATGCTTCAGCCAGTAATAAACATGTGTGTGAGGTTAGATCAAGTGCTCCTAGGTCACAGCACATGTTTATTGCACCAGAGAAATAATGTCCGTATGCATACGTTATGATACTGTACCAGTATCATCAGGAGAAATAATGAGATCCAACAGGCATATGGATTCAGGTTTCTAAAATAAATGTAACAACTAATCTACGGTAGAGGAGAAACTATAATGACAAAGGAATAGGTTGTATCGGGGGGAGATGACTGGTAGCATTATGTTTGTGAGCTAATGCAGGATGGACAATTGTGTTTGCTGTCCCCTGGGGAAGGTGGTGGACATATTCAATTTTAAGGGAGGAAAAACAAAAGCAAAAACTAGTTGGGTTGAGTGTGGAGCATCTAGGGTGGAGGAGGGGGAAGGGGGGGCCAGAGAGCATTGCTCTTTTTACTGCACATTATTAAAGAGCTAAGCTGTTCTATCAGGCAAATGATTGGGATTTATCATGAGAGCCCAGATTATAAATGCTGATGTATTGTTTTTTTTTTCTTTTTCTTTTGTTTTGTTGAAAGGTCACTCCAAAAGTCGAGTTACAGCATTCTTGGCAAGTGAGAAAGGGGATTTCATTAAGATTTATTGACATAACATTAGAAGCATAATGTTGAGTTTATACGTCATCAGCAGAGTGTAACATTTTCCGACTTATCCCCTCAAAGTTATACTCTGTAAGATTTAAGTCAGTGTAGATTAATTCATAAAGCTGCGTTATTATACAGCATAAACTGAAACAGCACTAATACACAACAACAGACTGTATCTCAGAGTATGACTTTTTCACTGCCCATTTTTCATAGATTTCAGAAAACATCATTAATTTGAACAATGAACAGACATAAACAGACACGCTCACACACATACATTGAACATATACACACAAAGACACACACATATGTGCACACATACATACGTACAAACGACACAAAAATTACAAACATATACGACACATAAAACACATGTAGAAATGCACTGATACAGACACATGACATACATTGACTGTCAATCCCTGCACTGTCAATACAAAATCATTGACTATGTGTGTATCAGTAATTCAGTGCACAATCAGACATATTTAGGTTTCAGGTGTGTGATGTAAAAACAAAACTGTGCTACATCTAAAACAATGTCTTAACAGCACTGGATGATTAATAATCCCTGTAGTCATTCTCATGAGTGATACAGCTTGGCATGAAGTCAGCGAGGCTCACTGATTCACAGACTTCAGTTTGACTTGGACAAACATGACAAAGCCATGCCTCATCTTTAAGGAGGCATGTATAATTGTCAGTAAATACAACATTTTAACTCTTCTCTATTTTATGACCTGTGCTGAACCTAAAATTGGTGCATGAATCAGCAAACACTGGCCATTTCACTTTAACTTTCCTGGAACTTGACACATGCCTGTTCTACTTGTCAAGGCTCACTACTCCCACCAGTCTTACGGTTTCCTTTTTCTCTCTTTCTTCACCCTGGGCTTCAGAAAGCACAGGTGTATGGCTAATCCTGGAGTCCCTGCTGTGGAAACCAGACCTTTCTTATGATGGAGAGAATGATCTGTTTTGCATATCAGAGGCTAAGAGGCTGTGCTATGGGAAAATATCAAGCAAGTGCTAACAGTGGCATCATAGTGAGTGACTATATTCACACTCACATGACACTGCCCCTCAGACACAAAATCATCACTTGATTTAACGCAGATTCGCAGAGTTGCAGCCCCTGTCATGCTTCATCTGAAGCTGTGTTCAAAACAGTGTACACAGTGGCTGCTGTTGCTGGACAACACTTCAGCAAAGCACAAAGTATCCAGGATACTCTGTGAGCATCACTCAGCAGCGATATAATCCTTATGGGGCTGAGGCATAAAGTGTAGAATTGAGGCCGGCTGCCAATCTCAAATAAATTGCACCCTAAGCTGATAATAATGATAAAAATGGGGGCATACAAGTTCATCCAGTAATCCCACCCTTTTTGTAAATTAGCTAATAAATTAGGATAGCACTACTATTTTCTATGAAGCCAGCAGGGAAGTCTAAATCAACCATATGACATACAAAAATGTCCTCTCACTGCAGTCTGTTTTGAAGAAGCTAGCAAAAAGCAAAGGGGAAACTACACGATGAAATTAGATGTGTCCAAAATGGCTGCCTACTTGACCTGTGTTGGAGGAGGAAATAACATGTTGTTCCTGCCTCGGGCTTGCACAGCACCCAGGGGAGCAGGCTAACCCTGCAACTGCAGAGCTGGAGGACCTGCCCTCCGCCGGCCCCTCTGGGAAGGACACAACAGGCCGCCCCCGGGAAACGTTCATCTAGCAGTCGACCACTGAATCAATAAACATCACTGAGCCGTCTATCTCCGCTGCTGCTTTAAAACAACGCCATAACTCCATAGGAAATCTGAAACAGTCTCAAAGCAGGGCAGGCAAGGCAGTAGACAGAGTTTGGCACTTCCCTTCTTCCTTTTAGCACTCTAAATTCATATTAGCCATTCAATGATGTCACTGTCATCCCTTTCAAAAAGTGTGTCAGAACAACCTACTGCAAGTTAGCTCGTCTGATCATGAAGGAAGCTAAATATCAAACATTCTACAGTCTGTTACTTCACCTGTTGGCTCCAGAGCAGGGTACTTACCTGAGCAGGGTTTGGGAAAAGTATTTCAGTGTGTTTGCAATGTCTGTTCCGGAGGGCACAGGGTAAATATTGTGTTGCACACGGTTGTGATACTCTTGCAAGTATCGTATCTTAGAGGCAACTAGACAAAATAAAAAGCAGAGTAACAAGCAAATCAACACTAGTGAGACTATGATAGATAGCAAAAGATATCAGTCTGAGCACAAAGATAAGGCAAATGGTTGAACATACATGAATGTACTGTATATATCTGTTGTTGATTCTTGACTAAGATCCATGTAAGACACACAATAGCATGTAACATGGATGCTCCAGTAATCAAGTTAAACAAAGAGTCTGTGTTCCCATGGCTCTCTGGCCTTCACCAGGTGACCTTTTTGGTATAGCAGTGAGGTCACAGGAAGCCCTAGAGGAGGCAGTAACCTATTGCTTACAGAAACAAGCTCATGTACAAAAGGTTGCCAGTTCAAGTCCCAAGACAAGCTGGGAAACTGTGGTCGAGGGTGAACATGAGAACGGGCTTACTCATCCCTTAACAAATGACACTGAGGGACATGATAACTATGCTGGACTACTCCCTCAGGTCACTGTCTTAGGTATGAATGTGTTGTTTGTGATGTTTTCCTGGTTAATTAAGAGTTAAAATAAGTCAGAGTGGGTGATCGCTGACCCATTTTCTGTGACTTTGGGCTGTAGTGTTTAGCCTCCTCTCTGACCTGTAAATGACAAACCCCAAAATAAAAAATAACAGCTGCAGGCTTTGGACACGTGTGGTCAAAGCCTATGCTGCAATACATACTGTAGCACGCATCTTCTCAAATTTAAACATCTTGGGTGATAAATTATTATATATTTTCAAATATTTTTATGCCTAAGCACCTTAATATGTATTAAGATGTATAGAGATAACAGCTGTCAATATGTTCTTTAACAGAAGAAGTGCAAGTATAGAAGCAAGGTTCATCTTTTTATGATATTAGCCTGATTGATTCAATATGTTGACTACTAAACAATATCAGCAACACACAACTTTTATCCAATTGAAATGGGAGCCACAAACAGCAAGTTTGACCGCATATTTGATGACTACTATGTGTTCAAAGCGAGAAATGGCTGATTAAAAGTGCAAAGATCGTTCAGTAGGCTAATATGGGAGAGAATCTGAAGGTACAGGTTGGTTTCCACCTGTTCAAAAAGCAATCGGAGGGATGAGGAGGGAATGATCAACAGCTTTCAGGACGGTGTGATCAAACCACATTATTGATCATTCTTATGCCACCATATTGCTCAGTAAAGAATCTGTAAGGTCGACCTTGAGACCAGCACTACACCTCGCTTTTCGCACGCACCTCATCCAGCCGCGTCAATCAAAAAAAAAAAAAAAAAAAAAAAAAAAGCTATATAAATAAATAAAATAAAATAACATGACGACTGTGCTATAGCTATGAGATTGTATTCCCTTAACATGCAGATAAATACAGGAGAGATACAGTGGCTTCTTGTGTGCACTGAGCCCTCCAGCCATCCTCTGCAGTGAGAGGACGTGTTGCAACCTGCCTTGGCAACCGCGGTTTCATCACCAAGGACAGCTCCTCTCATTCGCTTTTCTTGGTTCAAACAAAAATCACATTTCCAGTTTCCAAAATCCCCATGACAAGACAGAAACACACACACACACATACACACACACACACGCACACACGCACGCACGCAGACACACACACACACACACACACACACACACACACACACACACACACACACACACGCGCGCGCACACAGCCGTACTTACACTGCTCTGCCTTCGTAGACATTTCGCAGACACTTGAGGGAACATAAAACCCAGACTGTCAGTTGTTTTAGTGTTTTTTTTCTCCTCCCAGGCGTTGTGTTTCCCTCAGTCGTGAAAAAGTGAATCTACCCCCCTCGCAGCCCATGCAGGCTCGGCTTGATTGTACCACTCTGCGCGATGGATTCACACACTGTGGCTTTTGTTTTAGCGGTGGCGAGGTCGTTTTCGCGAGCTTTTAGCGGAATTAAAACGAGGACCCATTTTGTGGGTTTGTTTTTAATTTGAAGAATTTTATTCTTTCATGGCGGAGAGGAATGTTGATATACATCTCCCACAGCATACCTTTCCAAATGGACTGATCCAGCTTTGAGAAATTGTCATTCAAGAATTCCAACAACCCCATCAGTCCTCTGTGAGCTTATTACAGCAGGGAAATACCGAGGACTTCAGTGTATTTGCCTTAGTGTTTCTTGTTTTTTTTGTTTTTTTTGTCTTGGTGAAGTATATAAAAGGGTGAACATGCAACAGATGGTTGTCACATTGTCATAACCATGATGTGCCTTGGAGGAAAATTATATGTTCATATTGTTTGTTGTTTGGTAACAAGCAGCGAATACTTCTCTATAATTAGAATAGTATTAATCCCTTTTGTCATCCAAAGGCCTTAAAGAATAAACTATAATCAAATCACCTTTATTTAGCCTTATATAAACGTGCTTATATACCATTCTGCTTAAATGCTGCATTTTCCAAATTATGTCCTGATTCCTTTACTAGGTGCAGAACTAAAATATAAACAGACTCAAGGGTCTGAAGCACTGCCAGACCCTTCCTATTAAGGTTTGTGCCAAGAATTGTTGGTATATATCCATCATATGTCCAGCTAATGAGTAGCAACATCTATGTTCATATGAGTCTGCACCTGGAATGGCCCCTCTGCTTGATATTATTGTTTATGCTGTTCCTCAGAGTCTGTTGAAGCACATATTAAGATCTTTTTAAGCATTACAGTGTGGGAATCAACAAATTAGCCTTCTTGTCATATTAATCTAGAAATAAAACATAATACAATCAATATAATATCAAAGTCTTTATACAGTTTTATCATGCTTCAAATCTGACAAAGGTTTTGCTTCCTGTCCTAATATTCCACACATTGGAAAGAGTTACACGCAATAACAGTGCATGAGTATCTGTCTGAATGCACAGTTGTTGCAGAAGTCACGGCTCTGGAGGCGATCTCTGCTGGTAGTCTGGGATGTGATGCATGATCCATCCAGCCGGGGCCAAGAGAGCCACAGCAAACACACATAGTGCAAAGACAGATTGCTGTAAGAAAGTCAATGAAAAGATTTAGATGAATGCTTTATTAACAGATTTTGTGTTCTATGGAATAAAATTAGATAACTGCATGAAGGATGACATTTACTACAAATTTTAAGGCACTGTATAATAGCTCCCAAACCTCTCCTGTCATCAACCACAGGTTGAATGGGGCGGTGGGACTGAACACCTGTGTCCGCAACAGAGGGTCCTGATCTCAGTGACTCATCAGGTGACATAAGCAGCAGCCCCCGATTATATCTTCCTACCATGATATTCCCTTTGTCCCTTTGCACTCTGGTGTTCCTAACCTGAGCCAGGCTTTGTAAAAGCCCCCGTGCATGTCCCTGAGGACAGATCAACAAATTTATAGTGGCATAAACACTGTGCACTATGTTGCAGTTCCATCATAGGATCCCTTTTCAGAGGAGCTTTTCCAAGCTTCACACTGACTTATGGATAAGAAATGAATAAAACATCTCTCCCACTCTGCAGGCTGGGGAACATAGTTCGCTTGAATTCCTCGCATTAGAGGCAATAAAGTGAAGTATCACAGATACTGACTTCCCAAGACAGACTGCTGTACTCTCTATTTGTATAGTTTGTATTTGTATGCAAGAATAATCTCTAAAATTCAATTAATTGTAATTTAGCACCAACTTGTAAAAGCATTACTACAGTACAAACAAAGACAATCAGTCCTACCACTGGCCCAATGTTTTCCTTTGGTGGCTTGCTGCAGATGTTTGATCTGTGATTCTGCTGAATGGCTTCCATCAACATGGACCTGGTCGTTGCTGGTCTCCTAAGAACAGAGAACATCATTCTTTTTGGTTCAGCATACAGTCACTACTCTACTGTAAGGAAATATTTCTGTGGAAATTGCTCCTCACATCCTGTGAGATATGAACACTACTTTCATGTAATTCCCATCACTGTTCCTGGGAGGAGTTACTTCCGTGGCCAAAGACATTCATGTAAACATACTGATGAAGTTCTCATCAGGTCAAGGAATCTGGCCCTGGACTTTAAAGTTAACTGAATGAAGACTTGCCAGAGCATTTCTACCAAAATTTTGGACCAATACAGATGGCATTATTTTCACAATTCATGTAATTAATATTGATAACAAAATATAGAGGAACAACTTTCAAAAACTGTATGAATGACTCATCATTCATCATGAAAAAAAGTCTGCTAAGAGTGCAGATTCTAATCCTCAATAAATGATACTAAATCCCCACACTAAACAGCGGTATTACCAGTATATTGCATATCTTTTATTTTTAAAAACTAACAAAAATAAAACAGGTCCATAAACCACTGCAGAAAAAGAAATAGCCTTATAACAATAACATTTGGTTTAAATAAAAATATAAAAGATGAAACATGCAAGCTTTCAACTGATTTACTAGACCTGTCTGCAGAGCATTGAGGAAAATGATCAAATAGAGAAACAGCTGAATTCTTATGGGGAAAAATGATTTCATGCAATTCTGATTTTTAAAAAAGTAAGCATCAAACCTCATAACTAACAGAGCAGAAAAACATCAATTTAGAAAGCTTGAAGTGTCCATAATCATCCTATTATCTACACAAACAGAGTTGATGAGCATAAACCACATTTAAAGCTTGACATAGGGGTCAGATTCAGTTGCTATATTCTTAGTTACTCAATTTCATTCTGTTTTTATGTTGATATGAGAAGTCTCAGGGACTCTTAAATATATAGATTCGGGATTGTGTTTATACTGAATTGCAAAAAAGAGAGAGAGAAGTCCATAGATCATGATTTGTTTAAGATATCATACAGCTTATTATTACAGCTACTATGCCGTATGTGCCAAAGAGGTTTGGCCCTCATTAGATGTATTGTGTCGCCCTCAACAGGAGAGCAAAAGAACACCAGCTGAAGAGCAACCAAACTTTTATCCCTTAATTATTTACTATTAAAATAACTATTAAAATATTGAGCTCGATAATTAATAGTAAAACTTCCTCCAGACACCCTAATGCAATACATACACAAAAATTACAGTATATAATTTATAATACCAATTCAAACAACGCAGTGAGGTTCCCCCAGCTGTATACAAGCACTGCACAGAGTACATATGTTTTTAGCTTTAGCATACATCTTCATGGCCTAATTTCGTGGTATTGCCTACATCGTAGTAACCTCTTTGAAAGAAAACATAATGTCTCATTTTATTAATGTTAAATTACAGTTAACTTTCGACCACAGTTGTTCGCTGCACTGTGTTTTCCAACTGGATTTTTCGCCTACTACAAAATCACTGGCATTCTCATCCAAGGGAAAACGTAAAGGAAGGTTGATAAGATATCTTGACACGTACGTAGCCTTCATAATCCCCACTGCTCCAAACCTATCGCTAGAGGGCACTCGCAAATTTAATATTGCACAACCTGCTCTGAGTACTGACGGGCCTCCTGAACCAGTCGGCGTAAAGCAATGAGAGCTCGTCAAGTTTACCAAAACAGAGGAAGAAAGGTTATTTTCCTTCCAAATTAAAGGCGTGACATGGGCGCAGGGCAAATTTGCCGTGCCCGATTTGACGGCTATGTCCACGATTTCTCAACGGCTCATTGTTCAAATTACTTTCCAAGGTAGAATACCAGTCATGTGTTTTGAAACTGCCTTTGTCGCTCATTATTGCACAAGCGCCCTACATGCAAATTTGTAACGTATATATCGCTTTATTTTGAAAGCCATGACCGGAGGCCCCGTTTGTCATTCTGGCTAGCTTGAAATGGGTAGCGTTGGGATAGGCCATAACAACCACCCAACAAGGCGTTGTGCTACTATGGGGAAATACCGAACCGAACCGATAGTAAAATAACGGTTTTTGTTTAGTTTTTAGTCGAGGTAAATGCTGAAAATCCTCTGGAAAGTCGATGCAAGTGGAAATGATCGCATATTAGGGATCAAATTTGGACGTTGACGTCGAGCCGTGCGTAATGAGCAGAGTTGGAAAAAGAAGGTGTTGAGCTGCATTTTTTCTCTCTCTCTGCCAGGGACAACTTGGGTCGGAGTACTGACTAAACTACGAGGGGATACGAAGAAAAATAATGCCCACAAAGCTCTCCACTTTCTGGTAAATATATTGACCGCTCGCTTTCAACAGTTGCATCGCATACTGCTCGAAGTAAATTGGTCTTTCCGAGGGGTAAAGTCAACGCGACACAGCAGAGATAGCTAGCCTCTTAGGATATGCTACTAATTACAGGGCTGTGGTGAATATGACTCCTCTTGCTAGGCTGTAGCGAAATATTTGGACATTACTTCCCATTTTTATCAGCTGAAACAAACAAACCACTTGCTTTTTGCTCTTACAAGCACTTTTAACCAGGGCTTCCGCTGAGCCGCGATAGCCCACCAGTAGCCCAAAGACCAACAATAGCTCCGCGTTAACGTAAGGCTAACAAAGCCACTGCAAATGATTGATTTTTTTTTTTTTTTTTTTTTTTTTTACAAAAGGAAACACTTCTTTCCTGTTTATTAGGCCAGCTTAGTAAAAAAAAGTTTAGGATGGATGTGCATTTAACTTTGAGGATTAGCCTACATGTTGCTGTTTATTGCCTGTGTCAAATAGTTGTTGATAGGATGTGCTATGGCAACAATATAGTCTATCATCGATTATTAGATATTCTACCTGTGAATAAGGGTTTATTGGTCTACCAAAGTCATAATAATTTCCAGTAGTGAAATAATATCTAGTATACATTCAAAGGTCAGCAAATGCAGTAATTGCTGTACATTTGCAGGTATCCTTTTTGCAATTTGTAGGCATCCTGACTTGTTCACAGTCTGCATTACTATTTGCCTAACTCATCCAAATAATCATTTTTGTTAAGCTGTCCCAAGGGGTTTCTTTAACAATGATGTTTGCTAGGGTCACCATTTATTTACAAGTGTGGAGGAGCCATATGTACACCGTGTTAATCCTGTTGTAATCTCACTGAAATTTTGGTTGGGCTCAAGATTCTGTACACCCTGTTTTCCTCTGAGAGACTACCTGTGTATATCTTTCAGTCTTTTGGTTTGGAAAAGGTGCCTTTACTGCGTTCTTCAATATTTGGTTTTCTCCTTTGACCAGGTTAAGAATTTGAGTCAATGCTGCAGGGCCACATAATGACATGTAATTATTGGAGTTGTATCCTCAGAAGTCCATGACTGGCATGAAAGGCCGTGAGCTTGCAAGTACTTGCCACAGACTAACTGAATGAGCTGGACTTTGGCCTGAATGCTGTTTGCCCTGGCCAGTTGGATGGAGAACTCAACAAGCAGCATTGACAACTCACTTAAAATAAGCACTAATTGTTTCCTGAGTTGCCATTCATTCTCTGGAGATTGACTGTCAGGCTGTGTTTGTATAGTCAGTAGTGTGTGCACACTTAACATTTCTTTATTGAAAAGATGGCCCTGTTCGGTGTGCAAGCAGACCTAGAGAATGCCATTCATCCAGTCAGGCTTTGTCACCTTACGTATCATGATGTTTTCACTCAGATGTCTAAAAGAAAAGAATGTGTTTATGCTGATTAGATGTATATATTACACTGCAGTTATAAAAAGGTATTAGTTGACATAATTTGTCTGTGTTTTTTAACATAATAATTGGACAAGCCCTGCATCTATATTTTTCGTGGTATGCAAGTCAGGAAAGTAAATTTGTTTCTTCTGGGATCAGTGTGATGGGACTTCATGAGATAATAGAATGCCAGCATTGGACTAATAAAAAAAAAAAAAAAAATCTCTGAATAAATAGTTTCAACATATAAAGAGCACTGCGCAGCTACTGTGTTATTTTAGCCAGGCAAGTGTTTAAGGATATACAATATTTTAGTGTTCCTGCCGTTGTTGCCCTTTCATTCAGACCTGACTCTGATATCCACTGTTTTGTTTGTGTATCATGGCAAAAAAAAATTTGATCAGCTGACAACATAGCCAGTGAAATGTCAAATATGCGGCACCACGGTTCATATTGTTGGTTGACACAGGCTAATCCAGAGGCTGCCCACCATGAGTCATCATTGTGGGCACTTTTGTTTCCTCTGTCTGTCTCTGTCATTTCAGTTTGTTGCTGTTTTCTAGCCTGTTCTGATTCCTGTAGTTTCCTGTAGCCCTCCCAGCAGAGTTAGTGATAAGTCCAATGCCCTGATTCTCTGTCGTACTGATTGACCTGATTGGCAAAAACACTGCAGAGGTAAGCAGTCTGCTCTGCCTCTGAATTTTGTCTTTCCAACAATCATTTCATAATAAGAAATTCTTATTTTAGAAGGGGTGATTTATTCTTTTTTTGTTCCACCTGCAATCCATATTCCACTTGCACATCTTACTGTAGGATGTGTGCAGACACATCGATACCATAGAGGTCACTGTGTTAAAAAGTTCTGGTTTCTGCTCACCGCGGCATTGCTTATTATGATCCTTTTAGAGTGCCTCTGATTGTATCAAATAACCAAAGAGTCAAACAGTCTATAATTACTGTCTGAAGCAGTATTTCTGTCCAGCTTGGTTAACAAAGCACATAATGGCCAACTCTCCCCACAGGTCATTTAACACATTTTGTGACATTGAAACGTTTTGGTTATATTCTCCTATGAACTTATTAAACTGCAACAACAACAAGGTATAGGTTTCCATAATTTCCCTGTATTTTCTGTATATTAATTGAACAATCCCTGCATCTTTCTTTTTCATTCTATGCAAGTCAAGAGATGGACTAAATCAGCTGTGTATTTAGAGCTTCAACATGCGTACAGAGTGCACTTTGCATCTACTCTTATTTTAGACAGGCAAGTGTTTAGGGGACACACAAAATTTCAGTGTTTCTGCTGTTGCTGCCCTTTCATTCAGGCCTGACTGATATTGGCATCATGATTGCTCATCTTCAGAAGATTAGGTCATTGAATCTAACAAAGGTGACTATCAAAAAGCTGTGATTTCATCATTTCATCCTTTCATCCAGAGGACTCACAGTAGGACCACTGGAGTACATAGTAACCAGGTTTCTTTGTAACATTTTAGAATAACAATGGATGCCTTTAGATTCAGAAACCGTTGTAGAATAACCAGAAATGCAAGAAATAGAGATTTCTCAATCATGTGCTACACTGCCCAAGTAATTCTTCACATTGCTTTTGATTGTTGAAGTCTTGTCATGGCATCCTGGCTTCATTACTCCTGTCACTTTGATTCAAAATGTTGAATTTGTGCATTTCATTAGCTGAGCTTTGGTTTAGGGAGATGACTTGTAAAAGTCTGCACTGAAATAATAAGAACATTCTCCTGAATTTTTGGGTTGCAGACAGGAAAAGAGACCCTGCCTCTTCCCTTTTCTCTAGCCATGATGAGGAAATCCACATAAATGATTGATAAAGTGCCCTCACTGTCATTTGAATAATACATCGGTCCTGTTCTTGTGCCAGGCATTTTTGTATGGTAATGTTCTCTGGGAGCCTGGGGTTCTGTCTTTTAAACCTCTGCAAGTGCCTGATTTAAATAAAATAAAATAATCCAGATGACTGAGGCAAGGTGAGCAGTTTGAAAGGGTGCGTATGTCTGTGTGTGAATGTGTGTGTGCAGTGAGAGATAGGTGGGGGCAGGGAGTGTCTCCTGTCACCTCTCATTAGGGACGCATAGTCCAGCTCGGCCGGCGTCTGCCTTCCCCCGTCTGTGGCACTGCCCTCCCCTGCTCCCAGCCTGAGCCCGACAGAGCTGCACACTCTTTCAGTCTAAACTGCAGAGAAGTGTCTTAATGTTCAGCATCAGAGAGATTATAGCAGAGATGCTTCTTATTGAACAGTGTGAGTCAGGTCTCAAGGAAATAGCTGTCCTAAATTATGCTTTTAGAATTCTGCACTGCAGCTGCAGTTAAATTTGGTTCACTCTTTTGAATGAGTTGAAGCTGTGAGTCTTCCGAGCTGGGAGTCAGCATATTATTCAATTGATGTGTTCGTTGCTTTGTTTTATTCTGCCTCTGCTGTGCTCCTTTGAGGACCCCCAACTCCTCCACCCCCTTTTGTAAACAAGACAGTATATATCTCAAGGGCTTCCTCCTCTCCTACATATTCAAATTCAATTTCTAATTTTGTCCAAATGAATTCCCTGTGAAGATGAGGCTTATTTAAAGCAGTCTAATGAAATAAAGATCAACTAACATTTTTATTGGAGTGCTCCAGTGTGACTGCTTGGTGACTATTTGTGTGTTTGGAGTAAAAGGCTGTGGTTTTCCACTGAACCCTTGGGAGGCTGTGGAGTGCTGCTCTACAGGGGCAGACACAATGATTTATTAGTATGGTAGGCAGGAAAAACTAGCAAGCTGAGATAAAACAGATCCCCCATCACACCTCAGTTCTCTGTCTGGTTTCATACATAAGAAAGAAGAAATGTGTATATTTACATATAAAGGTCCAGAGCAATGAGAATTACATTTCAAAGACTCTTAATAATGTTTATTAAATGGCATATTTATGCAATGCTGCCCAAGACTTAAGTGCCATGGAAATTGGAGAAGCTTTCCCTCTTGTTTGGAAAATGGTTAAAATTATTTTTGATCTCCAATCTACTTATTGGTAGAAATGAAGTTGAAAATATTCAGTGTGTAATTAATAGCCTGATTGGTTGACAGTATGCTTAGTTAATGAGTTGCTCTGTTTATTGCTAGCTCATACCCAGTGACAGCCAGTGCAGTTGCTCATATCTGTCCCTATCTAGAACACATATTTTTCTGTCTTTAACTTTGGTTTTGATGACCCTACTACATAATCTCACATTTGGGGTGTGCAATAAGGATAGATCTTCTATCAAGGTACATGTACTGTTTTATATCACAGCGTAAATATACTATGTCTGTCTATAGTAAATTTAAACTCACTAGGCCACTTTGATGGGCGACATTTTGACTTATCGGTACAGCAGAGGTGTTACTAATAACATTGATAATGACACCATTCGTTTGAGTGTTCCTCTAAGCCATGACTGTGTGAGCCAGCATGCGCAATACCAGGACCCCGACACTTAAGCAGCTAAATGGACTCTAAGGCCTATCGAGAATAACCAGACAAAATAACCAGACAGGAATATTTTTGGCTAATCTGATTAACTAATATATGACAAATGAAATGACTTCATCATATTGATACAAAAATCCTACACAAGTCCAATATTGCCATGAAGCTGTTCTGGTTATTGCAACATTGACCATGATAGCCCAATGTAACTAGAAGTATTAAAGGGAAAGCTACAATTGTATGTAGACAAAATTGTATTGTCTCAGTATACATCACCATATTGTCCACCCCTGTGTCATTCATTATTTTGCATTCAAACATGACATTTCTAATAAAAACAATGCTGTTGAGCACCGAATAGTTTCACTGAACAACTTATAGTCGTCACAGCTGGGACACACGCTTAGTCGAATCTGTCTGTACTGGCAGGAACTGAATAGGGATACAGTTTGAAAAGTAGCTTAGAGATGAACTTTCATGGTAATTTAATGAGAATATAATACTAAGCCGCTTGGCTCTAATTGATATGACCTTGGTCAATGAATTATCAATAAAAATGCATTATAATTATACACTGCATAGATACACATACACATTGAACTGGAAAAACATCCAAATTATTCATTAGACTACAAATGTTTAAACAATTAAAATGAACAAGAAGGGCAACGGCAGAGTGGGTTGTGCCTCCCTACAAAATCAACATACATCTGCATTATATTTGCTGTTGACTGCCAGTCAGAGTTTCCTGAGGGCCAAACGGAGGAAGTCTCTGTTAAGATAAGTCACCATTCAAGATTATAGATAGGAGCCTGAAAACACAATCAGAAACAGAATTTTTAGCATTTCAGGCCTGTAAAATTGCCATGGCAGCCATGATTCATGTTTGCACTGAAATCAATGGGGCTGAAACAGTGTGATGGATAGTAATAGATGTCCCTCTGCTCAGCTTCCTTAACATTGACGCCCCTGGCCATTTATTATATTTTGACAGAGTCCAAACTGTCCAAACTCATCACGTTGTAATCCCTGTGAGATGTTAGTCAGCAACATTTAAAATGTAATCACTCTTTGGCTTAAACATCTCTCCCACTGTTCTTTCTGTCGTCTTTCATCTTCCTTCCTCCAGGCATGGCAGGCTGGGCCTGGGGCTCTGAGGACACTTCAGAGGATCCGTGCCTGACCCACGACTGAGGATTGAGAGGAATACGTTGTCTGAGCAGAATGACTCAGCAAGAGGGGGGACCCCCAAATAGCAAGTGAAGAGAAGTGAGGATGGGTGCCAATGGATCCAGCTATCCACACTCTTGCTCCCCACGCATAGGGGGAAATGCACAGGCACAGCAGACTTTTATAGGTAGGTATTTTATCAGTGGTTTAATTCCATTTATTGTGATTAGTTGCATGGTTAACTCGGTCAGTAAAGATGGCTCATTCTGTATTTTCAGTCAGCATATGATAAAATATCTGTTACCTTAACTATTAGTCAGACACATGATTCACATGACTGGCATTATCCACTCCCTCTACAAACACATAATGGGGGTCTAGCATGGCCAGACTCGCACTTTAGTAGACTTGATCAACCACCTTCCATGACAAGTAATTGTGCAAGAGGTAATTGGTGAATATTTTTGTGCACTAGAGCTCTTGAACTGGGCCATTGACTCATACAAACGATTCAAATGTGTTAAAGCAATGCTTCTACATTACCATAAGGATTTTATGAAGTGTTATGAGGGGCAAATATGCAACGAAACTTGTGTCCAACATGGTTAACCAAAATCACATTAAGTATTTGGAGTTGGAGTTAAAAGTATCCTTTAGCAAAAACCTCCAACCATCTGAAGGCCGCTTGTTCAACTGTCACATTTTTCTACTGACTGGCATAACAGCTACACAGCTACAGTCTGAAACTTAATGTGAAGGATTTTTGTTTTGTTTTCTTGCCTTTGTTCTTGAAGTGATTTTGATTGGTTGTTAGAGATCACTGTCTATCACTCTCTATTAGGAGGCATGTTTGGAGACATCTTTGATTCTCCTAAATCAGTGGTTGGAGTCTTTCTGGTTTATAGCCCTTAAATCATTCCCAGCAGCCCTCAGTGCCAGGGGGTTTGGAGAACTGCTTCATATGTGGAGTCAAATAAATCCGTTCTTAACAAAAAACATTGTTAATTTCAGTTTCAAAATGACTTTGGTCTGAGGTTTTTGTAGACTTGTACTTTTTTGTTAAAAGAGTCAAATTATCTCAGTAGCCCCTGAGACCTCTGGGGTTTGCTATGTGCTCTGTAGTTGCTTGGTTCAGCTAGTCTGGGCCACAGATGATTCACAATGTTAGAATGATTACTATTTGGGTCACACTGATGGATGCTGAGAGAAGGGCAGGCAGAGAGGATCTCCTTGGCAGAACCTCCTCTGACGTACAAGTCCTGTCTCTCAAGCCAAAGATAACTGCTATTCTGTGTAATTGATGGAACCCAAGTATGAGAATGAACTGAAGTGCATTGGGAAGTACAAAGCAGGATAAAGCATTTAATTGGTTCTAAAACAAAACAAAATAAAGGGATTCTGTGTTTTTTCTACTATTGAATCAGATCCAAATGCTTTGGTAACTGGGTCAGGGTAGTGTGTTCTTGGCCTGACAGAGCTGGCCACACCACAGGGGTGCCAGAGACAGATTGTGTTTCTAGTAGTCTGGCCTCGAGTGACATGGTGTTGGGGTTATGAAGTTTCGTGTCTCATCGGAAGACCATTTTTAAAATGAAATATCTGGGGAACAGATATCATCAAAACTATCACAATATTAGTATATATATATATATAATATTAGTAATGACGTAAACATGTTATTTACATTCTATGTTAAGATTTCTGTGTGCTTCTACACAAAATAAAATTCTTGTGAAGCTAACCTGCATGTGTTTTCATTTCAGGGACCTCATCCTACTCTCAGCAGGGATATGGCTGGGAGTCTAAGCTATACAGCCTGGAGCACGGCCATGAGCGGCCCACAGACAGGAAGAAGAAGAGCCTTGGTTTAGCAACCCTCAAACGGAGGTTCATCAAAAGGAGGAAGTCCAGCCGCTCTGCAGATCATGCGCGGCAGATGCGGGAACTTTTATCAGGATGGGACGTCCGTGACACAAACGCTCTAGTGGAAGAGTATGAGGGCACAGCAGCCCTCAAGGAGCTGAGCTTCCAGGCCAGCCTGGCACGTGCCGAGGCTCCCAGCTTGCAGCGGGATCTTGCTGCCCTTTACCAGCACAAGTACTGCACAGATGTGGACCTCATATTCCAAGGTACTTGCTTCCCTGCTCACCGGGCCATCCTGGCTGCCCGCTGCCCCTTTTTCAAGACTCTGCTGTCCTCATCTCCTGGCTATGGAGCAGAGGTTCTCATGGATGTTGAGACAGCTGGCATTGATGTGCCCATGTTCTCTGCCCTGCTTCACTACTTGTACACTGGGGAGTTTGGGGTGGGTGGAGCGGAGGATACCAGGCTTCAGAATGTGGATGTACTAGTACAGCTCAGTGAGGAGTTTGGCACACCCAACTCCCTGGAGGCAGATATGAAGGGCTTGTTTGACTACATGTGTTACTATGACGCTCTGCTCAGCTTTTCCTCAGACTCTGAGATGATAGAAAGCTGTAATGAGAGAGGGGCTGTGGCTGCAGCACCAACGGGGGGCTCAGCAGGCAATGGGGGGCCCAGGACCCCCGACGAGGACCTTAGGGCACACAAGGCCATCCTCTCAGCGCGTTCTCCTTTTTTTAGGAACCTTTTGCAGAGACGTATCCGCACAGGAGAGGAAATGACAGAGCGCACATTGCAGACACCCACCCGCATAGTGCTGGATGAGTCCATCATTCCACGGAAATATGTACAGGTTATTCTCCACTGCATGTACACGGATGTGGTGGAGCTTGGGTTGGTGCTGCGGGGCAGCCCCTCAGCAAGCAGCCTCGGTGAGGTGCAAGCCCTTGTGTCAGGGGGCCGTGGGGCCAGCACCCGCACTGAGGAGGCCATGGAGCTGTACCATATCGCACTATTCTTGGAGTTCAGTATGCTAGCTCAAGGTAAGCCAAAAGCACACACATTATAACACACATACACGATTCAGCAGCACATGGGAAAAAAAAAAATTCTCTTTAGACATGATGTGCTTACAGCCACATTGTCTACACTTGGCTGATCAATATAACTGATCTGTATCAAGACATGTACATGAGTGTATGTATTTCCTCTCTCATACTGCCTTATTAAATTACAGTTGAAGATAAGTTCAAATTACTAGACTGTTAGTAGAACTTGAAGTCTAATGCTTTACGTAGACTTTTATTTAAAGTTGTGATATGGGATAATTAGGACAATAAGAGATGCATAATGTTTTGATAAATGTGTTTCATTGTCCATCTTTATTTTTTAAGCATAGTTCATCTCACAATGTTTCATTCTTTGACAAACTGTCCACTGACATGAGTGTCAGTGCTGCTAGGATCTCAGTTAGGACAAACTGCTTAAAACCCTCAATATGAGCAGTGATAATGTCGTTAAATAGCCTTTAAGTTAAATTGTCAGTCTGGGCTGTCATAATTATAGTGTCTGTTTTCATTGACGTGATAATGCGAGTTGGATTTTGTAATAACTGGCTGGATTTCTTTGTGAAATAGTAGCTATTGTACTTTAAACTCTCCCTCCATATAGTCATATGTGTCTCGCACTCTTTGTCTAATTAGTCTACCCTGTCTTTAAAACTACATTATGCATACGTTAGCATATGTGCAATATGGCTGTGCAGATCAGGCTAGTGTTTAACAGCTTGGGTGACTGTGATGGGTGTTAGAGCTGCGGCTGCCAGTAGCAGAGTGATACTGGCTGAGGGTTTGTCTGTGTCTCCAGGGGCAGACGGCTTTCTGTCTGATACACACAGTGCATCTGAGCTTCTGTCAGCACCTCGTCTCTGGTCTTCTACTTCGTCACTGCTCTATCTTTACTTGGATGACACTGCCTTTTTGACTCTTGCCACAGTTTCAGAATGGCCCCAGTAACATGCCAAAGGTTACAGCCGTTGTTTGACATGAGCCGGTCACTTTGTCACTCTCACCTCCTCCAGAGTGGCATGTCTGAGTGCTGTCCAGTTTCCAACACGCCTAATAAAGCTCCGCCTCAATCAGAATAACCTTTGCTATATGCAATGCTTGAAGCAGCCTATTTCAGATGCACACAAAAAGTTTTGGCCTGTCTATCTTGATCTTGACCGATCTAGACAATGATCTTATAACCATCTTATCTTTCATAGAACCATGATGGTGGGAATTAGTTTGTCAAATACTTAAATGGTGATATGAGATGCATTAAACGATTTAAGCACACCATTTCACTGCTTCATGCTGTGTAATGCAATCAAAACAGTATTATTTTCATTTTAGCCGCCAAATTACAATATTATTAAACAGATCAAAAATGCACTCTGTAATTGTTTGTTGTGAGTCAAAACACTTCAGTGAAACTGTCAAAGTAAAAGCCCTCCTTGTTCTGTGCCTTGCTTTCATCAGATTCTCTGCCTGAAAGGATTTTACCGTGAAGCAGCTGGAGACACACAACATAGTCACAACATATTCACATAGTCAAGTGGTTTAGCCTCTGTGCATGCTCTACTAGCACATTGGTTTATAAAGTTTAGTTTGAATTCACTACGCATGTATAGATTACTCAGTAAACAGATGTTGCAGACTTTTACGAAGTGTTATTTGTGCTCTAATTTTGTTATATATTTTGTTTGTACTATAACACTATACAGATAAAGGTAACAATATAAAACATTTTTGGGACACAATGTGCTCAACAGCAATAAACATGCTTGTATACATTTTTTTTAGATCGCAGGATTAGTTCTTGGCAGCTGCTGAATTGCTGTATTGACTAAAGAGCCAATAATCAATCACCTTTTTAAGACTTGTGCAGTGATCTGAATAGCACTGTACACTTGCACTGTACACACAGCTGGTTAGACACCAACTCCCACCCCCAAGCAGTAGTGTCACTCTCAGGGTCACTCTGGCAGCTTAAGCCTGTGAGCAGGCAAATAGTGTCATCCCCACACACCATCACCTCCTCTTCCCTCCCATCCCCCCTTTCAAGCCCCTACTAGAGGGTATTTTTAGCCCCTCTCCTCCCTCTCCCACTGTGTTGCACAGCTCTAAACAGTTCCCATGAAACCTCAATGTGGAATGTGGTGAAATGGTTGAGGTTGACCCGGTGTCATTTTATCCAAGTCCCCTCTCTTTGTCTATTCTGCAACTTCCTGTTATTACCCTTTTTTTTTTTTCTTTTTTTTTTAAATCTCTCTTCCACTGTTTTTTTCCAAATTTTGAACCTCACACACTCCAAAGTATCAAATAATCCTGGCATCTGTGGGTTGACTATGACACAAGAAATTTTTTATAAGTCCATCCCACCACTGGAGACTTCAGTTGCTGCCATGTCTCTTCAGGAGGCAGCAGAGAGGCTTATGTCCGAGGTTTCATATGGAGAGAGAGAGAGAGAGAGAGCCCTCTCTTCTGTCACACTGTCTCCCCCCTCACATGCTCCTCGACTGCTGCCCCCTGGCTGTGTGAAGTTTTGGCCCGTGTAGGTTTTTGCAGAGCAGTTGAGCTCTTCCCTATTAATTCTCAAGATGTGTATCCCTTTATGACTATCTCACTCAAATGGCAACCAATATTAAAAGCCTTATTAATTTTTCAAGTGCTCCGCAGAGATGATAGCCAGTTGGTGTGGTTTCAGTGTGTGCACTGTAGTTCCATCTTTCCTTCCATGCTCACTGGCTGACCAGTGCTTTCAATGCCCTATCTTGGATTGTTTGGAGTGTGTTGACTGAAGGCCTGTGAGTGATCATCAGACATGATTTACATCCACAGGCTTGTTTACAGAGCGTTGAGTGCAGCTGATGTTTTAAGTGGCTTTAGAGGCTGTGTGCTCCATAAACACAGAGCTCCAAATAATAACAGCAAGACAAAATGCATACATCCCCCAAAGTTGGTGTAGTGTAGAGCTGGCTGTTGTGGTTCCTGCTGTTGTGTTGATATTCTTGTCAGTCGGGTACGCTCCAGTGAATGTGGTGTGCCACCCGTGGAGAGAAGGGGAGGCAGGTTAGTATTAGATATAATGCTGATTCTAATCTCCAGCTCATAATAAAAGTGCAGCATTTTAAAAGACTGGTTGTCGCTGTGAATTCTAATGGGCTAACACAGAACAGAGCTGTTTGCTTTCCCCTGTCACTGGTCCCAAGTGGGGAATTGTCTGCCTTTGTGCATGTGTGCCTGCGTGTCTGCTTTTGGGGGGGGGGGGGGCAAAGATGCAAAGGTGAAAGATTGAAACTATCTTAAGCACTTTCTACAAGACAGACAGCACAGGGATGAGTGGTGGAGACAGAGGCACAGATGTTGGGAATCCATTTCCTCTTCCAGTCTGTTTATAGCAGATAAAAAAGCCAAAGTGCCTGGGTCCACATTTCAACTTCATCTGTCTTCTTAACGATGCAGGATTTCCACCGTTCTTTAAAACCACTGCGGGCGCCTGCTTTGCATTTTTCTAACTTTCTATTACAACTAAAGATGCCCAAAAGGGAAAGTGCACCATAAGTGTGTGTGTCTATGCATGTATGCGAATTTGCATGTACATTATTTTGTACGTGTGTGTACTGCACTGTATGTGTTCATCTTAAAATATGCGAGTTGTGCTTGAATGGATATGAAGCTTCAGATTCAAAAGGAAAAGCATTGTTGGACTCATCACTCTCAACCCTGGTGTCCAGTTTCCCAGAGTGCATGTTCAAAGTGGTTTGGGGGTTGGAAGGCAGCTTAGATCTTCTAGTTTAAGATAAGAGTTTCCCAGAGGAGTGTTTCTACTGGTCCAACCAAGAGCTGATGGACAGGATGGCCTGGAATGAGGAAGTTGGCAGGCTTGTATTTCAGTTCAGAGCAGCTCTGGCTGGACGTCAGTCAGTCTGGCTTTATCTCCACGGATGTCCGTTTTGTATTAAACGTCATTGATCTATTGAAGCTCTGGCTTGTCTGGGATTGGCATAGATAGCGTAACCAAACCAATCATGTTATTCTCAGTGGATGTTGGGGGGGTTTAATTCTACCTAAATGGATCCCTCTTAGAATAAGTGTTTGAGTGCCAGTGTAGGCCTGAATTTCAAAACTTAGCTCTTTTTTAAATTGCCAGAGCAGCAGGTACATAATTCCCTGAGCTTTCTGTGGTTTTTTAATGCATTTTTGATTTATGAAAACAAGTGTGTACACATTTGCAAAGTGTGTGTGCTTGTGCACATTTCCTCAGGCTGCTGTGTTTACTTATCACGGTTAAGAGGAGGCAGCTTGAGACTGAAGCACATCAAGGTATCAAAGGCATTTCTGTGGGTTGGTGTGTTACAGAGTTAAACCACTGCCTGCTGTTCTGGTATGTGCTCTGATTTAGGAAATGCAGTAAGGAGGATGTGGGGCTACTAGAGGTAGACTTCCTGGGTCAGTGAATATGAGTCAAAACGACTGACGGTCTGGCAGTGGCTGAAGAATTAGCTCTTGTATTCCAGTTTTGAGTTAAACTGTATCAGCTGTTTTACTTTTCTTGTGGTTTTTATTAAATGTTACACTGTGGGCTTTGACATCTGGACTTGTTTTTTGAATATTTGTGCCTATAAAGAGATTTTATTGAATTTCAGGTTGTAAATTGCTTGTCTATCTCATTGGCTCTCCCAGGCTGCGAGGATATTGTTGTGGAAAGCTTGTCTCTGGACTCACTTGTCCCCATCTTGAAGTGGAGCTCCCAGCCGTATGGCTCTAAGTGGGTCCACAGGCAGGCCATGCACTTCCTCTGCGAAGAGTTCAGTCAGGTTGTCACTTCAGATGTTCTCTACGAGCTCAGTAAAGAGCACCTTCTCAGCGCAATTCAGTCTGACTACCTGCAGGTAAGGAAACAGAACATCACCTGTCAATCTGTTGTCACCCTCTATTACACTTCATATGTGTTATCTGAAAGATACATTTTCTGTTGTGAAGTTTCAGTAATAGGTGTCTACCTTGTTCAGTGATTGCTTGGTGAAAATACATTAAAAACATACAGACACAGACGCATTAACACAATCAATCACACAGTATACACATACACACAAGCACATACTGACGACACCCAGGGTCTCCAAAGTTGAGTAACACCATTCCCTGGAGGGAAATGCCTTCAAACCCAGAATCTAATCAAAGCCAAGCTGTCATCTGTTCCGCCAATCTACTCGGGCATCAGACCAGATGGTTGAGGTGAAGTGTTGTAATCCAACAACACAAACAAACCAACCAGGCCTGAGCTTTGCTGCGACACAGTCTGAACATATTGTATTTTCACCTTACCCTCATTTAGCAGCTTCCCAGTTTTGTTCTCGACAGTATCTAACCTTGTCCTATATCTCACTCTCTGTCTGTGTCTCTTTCTCTGTACTTTGCTCTCATTCACAGGCAAGTGAACAGGACATTCTCAAGTATGTTGTTAAGTGGGGCGAGCAGCAGCTTATTAAGAGGATGGCAGACAGGGGTAAGATAATACACTCTATAATTACCCTCCGAGCAGCCCCCCTAATGGCTCTGAGGAAATTACCCACTCACTAGAGCCTCCAAAATACACTTGAAAGCATTACAGAAAGGAGCCAAACTTTAACCTCAAAGAGGCTTCTTACTGATTGGCCATGTCATTTTGTGTTCTGACCTAGTAAGCGACTGTCTTCTGTAGGGTTTATGGTCAAGTATATTAGTCATCATATTGTCAGGGCTACCAACCTGCTTCAGAAAACACACAGTAGGCAAAGCAATATTTATTCATAATTTGCTAAATTGAACTTCCCTGAAAAATAGCCAGCAGGTTGACTCATAGTTACATAAATTGTCACAGCCATATGCATTATATTAAAAAGCTGCTAATGGCTGTTCCTGTCCTCGTTTACCCAGAGCCCAACCTGTTGAGCGGCACAGCTCACAGCGTAAACAAGAGGGGTGTGAAAAGGAGAGACCTGGATGTGGAAGAGCTGAAAGAGATCCTGTCTCCCCTCCTGCCCTTCATCCGAACTGAGCACATCTTACCTCCCAACAGTGATGTCCTCGCTGATGCGGTCAGTACTCAAAGTCTGCCTTTTTTTCACCTTTAGTCATTTTGACCTTTTTAAACAGAGCATTGATCCACATTCTTCAAACTGTTCACAGCTTAAAAGGGGTTTGATTAGCACCCCTCCCTCAGACATGCTGCCCACGGCAGAGGGGGGAAAAGCCAATGCCTGGTTACGACAGAAGAACGCTGGCATCTATGTGCGTCCCCGCCTCTTCTCTCCTTACGTGGAGGAGGCTAAGGTAAGGCTCATTCACATCGGATTAATAAAGTTTCCAGGCAACGCAGGAAGTAGTGGATTATTTGCGTCCCATATAGCTATCATCAAAGCGAGCAGAGGTTCTGTGAGGACACGTTAACCATTAAGAGCCTTGGGAAAATTTGATGAAACCATCCATGCTCAGTATGCGTACTCACCATTTTTAATAGTTGGCTCCATCAACTTGACTGAAATTCATTTGATGTCCATTTGCACACTTTCCTAATAATTTTTAGACCTTCTCGGGGCCATGAATATTTATGAACATATCCACAGACCAGAGAGTCATTACTAGATTAAGTGTCAATCAAGTGGAACTAATTTGCAAACCCTTTCCATGTCCTTGAGTTGTACATAGGACATTTATTTATTTATTTATTTATTACTTTAGTTTCTGGTCTCACTTGCCCTCTCCTGTCTATCTGTCCTCAGTCTGTACTTGATGAAATGATGGTGGAGCAGACAGATCTGGTGCGTTTGCGACTAGTGCGCATGTCCAACGTCCCAGACACGCTCTATATGGTCAACAATGCTGTGCCTCAGTGCTGTCACATGATCAACCACCAGCAAATGGCAGGCAATTCAAACACAGCTCCATCTGTTGTGGCCAATGAAATTCCAGGTAAGAGAATAGTTCAGGTATGACCAAATGGTAACAGAAATGATGCTGTTGTGCAGCTGATTCTAAGATCCCTGGGTAATAGCCAAAATAATATTCTGAATCAATTAAGTCTCAAGCTATTATATTAACACAACTGTTGTTAGTGAAAAGTCTGTGTTTGTATTGTTTGCATCTTTCAGTGCCTCAGCTGTCAGTGGTGAAGGAAATGATCCGGAGGCTGCAGGAGCTGAGACACACAGAGCAAGTCCAGAGAGCTTATGCCCTAAACTGTGGTGAAGGAGCCACCGTCAGCTATGAGCTGCAGCTGCGGGTGCTGAGGGAGTTTGGTCTGGCAGACGGAGCCACTGAGCTACTGCAGGTTAGCAAAAAGCAGAGGGTTTTTCCCTAGGGGTTAGAAGTGGATGAGATTGCTAAGGCTGAGGACACTGACAGACACAGACCTTGAACAACCCCAGGCAGATAAATCTTTAAAAAAAAATCTTAAAATAGGGGTTGCTTTGTCAGCACCACAAAAGATGTAGATCTCTTAAGCTCCTATTTTGTTTTTTGTTTTTTCAGAACCCGTACAAGTTCTTCCCTGATGAACGGTTTGGAGATGAGAGTCCAATTCTGGCTCTGCGCCAGGTGGGTCGTTGTCGGGTAAACAGCAGCCCAGCTATGGATAGCATGTTCACAGAGCTGGAAGGGGTAGTGGGCTTCCACCCACCCCTACCTCCTCCACCTCCCCCATACCACCCCCCTGCCACACCCAGCCATGCTCAGCTCAAGGGTGCTTGGCGTCCTCGTGTGCCCATGCCGACCCCCACCCGTTCCTTCTCCTATCCCTGCAACCGCACCCTGATCCAGCGCCATGCAGCTGCCAAGCATGGCAGCTCAGAGTACTCCTCTGTGCCCAGGCCCCAGCCCCCAGACTGCACCAACCCGCAGGCCATGGGCCGAGCTTTGCTTTCAGACCAGCAAGCGGTGAGTGTGTGTGTGTTACTTCCTAGAGTCCTTGTGCTGTTTTTGTTTATTCAAATGCAGCTCTATGGTTTGCGCATAGAATTATCAGTAGCTCAGTTCTGAGGTAACCTCACATATTTGTATTTCCAATGCAGATGATCATGGAGCCTGTTATGAGGGAGTTCATGCCTGACATTGCACTGGGAGTGTCAGTCATGTCCCTGAGGGAGCAGCACATGGTAGAGATGGACAGAGATGGCCCTCACAGCCCCATGGGCCCCTCAGGCCACCATCTGCCCCATGGGCCCTGCCCTTCTGCCCGCCTCAGCCATGGCCACGGACCTGGACATGGCCACTCCTGCAAGAGACACGCTCCTGAACCCAAGCTGGAGGCTCAAGCCGAGTTCCCTGACCTGTATGACTTCTCCTGCCGACCTGCAACCCCAACCTCCGCTCACCCTCTGCCCTCCTTTGCAGGACCAGACCTCTACAGCCACAGCTGCAACCCCTCCAGCTCCTATCCACCCCCCTACATTTCTGACTCTCAGTCCCAGGGCCACATGCAGGGACGGACTGCCCCAGACCCACTACGGCTAGATGTCCTCAGTATGACCTCTCAGAGGCATGATGGAGTCCTTGCCAGTCCTTCTGGGGCCCAGCCGAGGATGGGACATATCCCAAGGGGGAGATCCAATGAGACAGACCTGACTCATGGCTTAGGCCATTTACGGTCCCCCAGTGGAAACATGGACAGCTATGAGGAGAGGCACACAGGACCTAGAGACACCCCAGAAGACATGGTTCTAGCTGGAGAATCATCAGGCCCGGGTCCCCTCCAGCAGCCTCACAGGAACAGTGTCAGCGAGGAGATCGCCAGAGACCGCAGGTCACCCAGCAAGCCTGACTACCCTTATAAGAAATCTGCACTTTAACCCCGGTTGAGGGCCAGGGGTTGAGTTAAGAAAAGGGAAAAAGTGATGAGTGGCTGTCCATCATAATGGATGGCAATGCACTAAATGTGTGCTTGTGTATATGTGTGTGTGTTTGACAGGAGCAGGGAAAAGGGGTGGTCGATGGTTGCTATTTATAGGATCTGTTCTTTTGTCCTACCTCTATCACACTGTGCCATCCATCACACAGTCAGAAAGAGTAAGAGCTGTAGGTTAACTGTCAATGTTTGTAATTGATCTCTGCAACCCTGCCTGGTCCTGCTGGTTTAGAGGATGACTCAGGCACTCCTGGGATGGATTGGTCTCTTGAGTTTGATTGTAAAGAAAGGTTAGCTCTATGCTATGTGAATCCTGCGTGAGGAGGTCACAACATTAGATGTAGCTCAGTTATGAACTGATGGTTCAACAAAGACTATATCCATTAGCTCTGCTATCTCTCGATTATTTTCAGGATACAATGGGGAGATGGCTGGATAGGAATCTCAATTTACACAAGCGAACAATGGCACACAGTCTGGGACAAAGTATTGTGATAAAATCATATGTAAATACGTCTGGCTGTATTCTTTCCTCCCGTGACTTGTATTTCCATTTCTTCCTGTAGCATGCCTATAGCAACCCACCTGACTAGTTTTCCCCTCCTGGCCATGATTCTGCAGTGCTGATGAGTAATTGGCCAAGGCTTTGTCACACAAAGCAGGAATTTGATCCGACAGGAAGTAGGTCATCAGAGCTCGTCATTCTCCAGTAACCCAGTCTGATAATTGTGTCAGGCTTTAACTATCGCAGCCTCTCAGTGTCTAGCTTAGGGGCAGAAGCCTGGCGTTTTTCAGAGAAGGGGAGGAGGCAGGAGGATTGCGGGCGGGTTCATTACTGAGATACAGTAGAAAATATAGGGGTGCCATGGCAACTGACGTACCGTGATCAAATGGAGTGTAGGGGGGGGGGTTTGTTGGTGTTGCAGCTGGAACAGGTGTGTGTGTGTGTGTGTGTGTGTGTGTGTGTGTGTGTGTGTGTGTGTGTGTGTGTGTGTGTGTGTGTGTGTGTGTGTGTGTGTGTGTGTGTGTGTGTGTGTGCGCGAGATTAACTTTGATACACACAGGTGTTTAGACAATCTCAGTACTGTACACTCCCATCTTTAGTCAGGTCTGTTTGTACATATCAGAGAGACTGAGATGATTAACTGTAGTCTATGGCACAGAGTGTGCTAGAGCTCCCTCTTGTTCTGTTTAATCCAATAGCATCAAGTAACAAATCTAAAGCCTTAATCAGTGCTTGGAATATTCAGTTTTAGCTACCTTTATTCAATTAAGTATGATGTCATTATATCGCAACCCCTGTTAATTGCTTTTTTGACTGTTCTGTTCACTACAGGCACATTCACAGCAGTTAATCTGGGTGGTAGCGGTGGATTTCAATAAACCCAAATGCTAAAACTATGTATATACATTTGGCCTCCAACTCACCACCGGGGGAGATTGTGGGAGATTGTTTATCTGCATAGTCAGTGTTGATACTGTTTAAGAGCCGCAGCAGCTGTAGCTCCACAACCCTGCAAATACACACATAAAAGCCTGTTACAGCCAACAGCTGGCATACAACCTCACGTACGCATATCATTGCACTGTAGGAGCCACCTGTTCATTAGCTGAAGGGAAAAGGAACAAATGAATTTCGAACAATAGGAATCTTATATTGAAGAAAAGTTGGCGATTGCGGGCTCATATCTCCAATGGAAATTGTATATAATGAATTGAGTTCCACATGTTCTGATGAATTTTTAATGGTTTCTATCACATTTTAGTGGTTGTTGAAGGTTTGTGTTTTTACTGTAGTGGACAACACTGTGTACTTGTCTTTGTCATGAAATCTCACTAAGAATGTGTGGTATAAAACATAAAGATTGTGTCTCAGAATCTATTTCATTCTTAAATGTTGCGCATTTAGGGCAGTCTGTTCAATATTGTAGGTGGTGTGGATTACCATGTTTGTAGAGATGTCCCCCCCCACCCTATTTTCCCTTTACTTTAAAAGTAACAGGAATATGTAGAGGATCTGAGGTTATTAGCTCTCTGCTTAGCAGTAATGAAGTTGCCAAGCAGAAAAATCATTTTTCCATCTAGGTTGCTTCATGGGGAAAAAATGCAAAACTCCAGATTCCTCCATGTTCATGTTGGGTAGTTGTTTTATTTTCCAGGACAATGTTCCATTGAATAAAAGTCCTTGTTTTGCTCTTTGCTGTAGAGAAGTCAGTGCCTTCCCCCGCCTGCGGCTGGGCTTTTATTGGAGAAGTGACTTTGATGTCTATGCAAGCTCTTTTCTACCAGCTTACCAGCCTGCATCAAATAGTTCTTTAAAATCTCATGTAGCTCGTTTTGTGTACATAGTGTTATTTAGCACCTTTGGAAATTGAACCATCTGAAATGTGTGATTGCTTGTGTTGAATTCTAACAGGTACATTGTACTTGTATGGTATCATAGAAAACATGTTTGTAGATTGATATTAAGTTGCATTTAGTTTCACTGAATCTATTTTTCTACTGTCACCTCAAAAGGTGCATAACAGTGGTCAACTTGTGCATCCTCAAAATAAACTGGTTTGATATTATGGAATTCATTTGATCTCATTTGGGTTGTTTGCACGCTAGAAATATGTAATAACTTTATTATGAACATTAATTCACATACAACAGTGATTTTACTTCACTTTTACAAACACATTGGTCTTATCTGGTCACCACCAGAAAAACATCTTGAGAGGGAAAAACCTCAATGTAAACACACTGGTATGTAGCCCAGTCCAAATGACTGGACATGTTCACAGGAATGACATGGCAGCATCATGTTCATGTAAAATATTCTCATCACCACCACACAGCTAGACTTCTTTTTTTTTTCTTTTTTTTTTTTAAAGTATAGGGCTGAAACAAGATCTCTTTTGTTCATAAAGATGCATCAATGTGCATTCAACATCAATGAATGTTTCAAGTAACAAACTTTCATCATGAGCTTCAAAGTTAAGGCATTCCTAATAATCAATAAAAACAACTGAACATGAAAATGAATGCCAAAACTCACAATCCTCACCCTTGTAGTAGCATTTTACAACAATCACTAGAAATCAGTACTCTTTGCACTAATTGTTCAAGCTTAAGGATCACATTGGTTGCAGCAAAAAAGCCCTTTATTCAACAGAGATAAAAGGGTCATCTTCCATATGACATGTTCATTCATTCAAAGCACCATATGAACCTGGCATATGATGGATAGTAGCAGCATGGCCTCCTTCTTACTGGTATCCTGCATTGGTTCTGCGTCGTTTTCTTGCCCGCAGCTCCTCAAAGAACTGATGTACAGCTTCAACTGTGACCGTCTGATAGAAATAAGGAGGGCATGAGTCAGGTTTGAGATTTGGAGAAGTAAAAAAAAAGAAAAAGGCACATAAGAAGGACCAATGTCCACGAAACACGACTGCAAAAATGCACATTTGTCATGTAAAAAGAAATCCACATTGCCCATAGGTAATTATGTAAATACTGTCCAGATTAAATTAGCATGAGATGCAAGATAGCAAGATATCCATGCCTCACCTTTCCCTCAGCAACACACTGGTCTAAAAATGCAGTGATCGAAGTTGTCAGCTCGTTGAAACCTGAGGGAAGAACACATGATTAATTAGTCCACCTCAGGTCCCAATCAATCACCTCTCCCAAAAATTTCACTTAACATGATTACATCCTAGGAGGAAAACTGACCTCACGTCCAACCTCCCCTCCCCATGCTCACCGTAAATGACCTCCAGCTGCTGTACACGGTCCATCGAGCTCGTCAGTGCCATCAGGGGGTGCTGCCCAAACGGCTCATCCAAGCCTTTGTTCTCATAGGCCAGAACGGTGTCAGACTGATCCATGAGAAACTGCACCTCAGCAGCTACGTAGGCTCTCTGGGCACCAATGTGTGAGGAAACACTCATTAAAAAAAGATGCTGAAGTACTTCATAGACACTGTTAAACTGACCATGATCAGCCTGGAGAGCAAACACCTGCAAGTGGTTTTCTGATGGCCTTTGAATAAAGCCTACATTATAACCTGAGAGCTATCAGCTGTGACCCACCTTGCAGCTTGTGCAGGTGCAGAGCTCGGAGCGCCAACTGTAAGGCCAGAACACTGCTCCCTGTCTCGGCCTCTCCAGCCCCTGGGCCTGCAGCTCCTTCAGCTTGCACGCCACAGTTTTGGTCATGGCCTTTCCAGGGCTGCCTGTCATTTGCTCGTGAGTCCGTTTGCAAGGGGAACTCCGGTTTGCCGCTTCCTAAGATGCAAATAAAAGCAGAGGGCAAGGCGAGTTACTGTGTCATACCGGCAGGAGAGACAGCTGATAACACCTGGGCTTTGTGAAACATCGCCGCACACAGCACTGCAGACTCATCCGGGGAAGTCTCAAGGCGACTGACACGATGAAATGATTGGGCGATGAAAATCACCAGTTTACAGTAAGCTGTCCTGTGAAGCCTGGCCAAAGCCGTCTGCAGAGCAGGAGAAGCAGTGCCTCATGGGTCATTTCTCCTCTAATTACCCAGAGGAGGGGAAAGCACGATAACAGGAGCAGGATCCTGCTCGCCAGGCTGTAATCTGCTTATTACCCTCCAGCCCCACCTAGTGGCAGACTGGCATAAAATAAAAACAACAGCTGCCACAGAGGAAATTAATACAGTGAACAGTCAAATGCTGTACATGCATGCAATCCCTTCCCACTAGATATTTATTTTATAGATGTGAAAATTACAGTTTGGCAACACTGCTTTTGTCAGTGATGATGAAAATGATGACGTTTCATAAGCGTCCGAAATCTCAACCTCTTATTGCTCGCTATAGAGCAAAGCACTGAGTGTGTATTATATAGGGAGTACTGAATGAGTGAGTGAGGGGGTCCACTCATTCACATTTCCTTTCAAGTCATAATATGTGCTCTGTATCTATCATGCATGTGCCATTTTTAAACTGATTTGTAAACATTAAAAAAATTATGTTTTTCTTTATAAAAATACACCATGAGCGCAGTTACAGGAAAATGGAACAAAGGTATGTGTGCACAACAAAAATGATATTGGGCTGTGTGATGAGAAGAAACCTGAATTTATGTTTCATATGATAAGTCAGTACCAGTGTAGATTTGGAGTCAGTAGGTTTTCTTGTTCGCTTTAACTCCCCACTACCTGGTTTGTGCTCTTAATGTGGCAAACACTCCATGCAAACAGAGGCAGAGTGACTCACAAGGTAATTTCTCACCTCCTGCTTTGTGTGCTCAACACTGGTGGATGGTTCACCACTTTGACTAGGCTCAGAAGATTCGTTCTTTTCTCCTCCCTCCTCGACATCGACCTCTTCCTCTTCCTCTTCCTCGGCCTGACGGACACTGATCGCAGGTGGCACTGAAGGGGAAAGACAAGTGGAAATGTTACTCGCTGGATTTTATTGTTAAAAGTGAAACACACAGGCTTGTTTTCGCTCAGGAGAATCAGTTACCTGCAAAGTGAGCGGCGTACATCCACAAGAAAGGAGCCTTGTTCATGCAGGTCTCACATACCATTTCTTGCAACTCCTCAGGTTCCACTATAGTGCAGCCCAGGTGCTGTAAAAGACAAAGTGACTACATGAAGAGCAGAAGATTTATAGTGGTGTTAAAATGTAAATCAGAATGAAAAGGAGTGCTCAGAAATCCTTTCATTTTAATAACCTGGTTTATACTTACCCTGCTATGAAACCAGTCCTCACAGACGACACACTGAATCATCTCGTCATTGTCCTGTTGGGTATTTAACAAGGCGTTTTGTTTAGGGACAGATGAGAGGAAGAACATAAACAGTGGACTTAATCCTGATAATCTGAACTAGATGAAATGAAATTACAGGAATACCTGATCATCTGTGTCTGGGTACGGCCGGTCACATGTGCAGTAGCAGCCGTTGAAGTTGTGATTGTAAAGATTTCTAACGTTTTCTTCATCTTTGGCCTGTGAAGAAGAAGAAGTGGAATAACTTCAATGATCAGAATGTGCATAGCATACAAACTGGGTGATACAATGAAAGCCGTGCACTCACAGTATTCAGCTGGCACTGGAAATCCTGAAACTTTCTGTTCCCACAATCACAACGAAAATTTCTACAGAAGAAAGATTTAAAAAAAAAAATAATGACAAGAACTTCCATAATAAAGCAAACTATGGGTTAACGTTAGTATCATCAGTGCAACACACACACAAACATGTTTTAATTACCTTTTGGTATACAGCTCAAAGATATCGTGTCCATCATGGCATTTATTGGCACAGGCCAGACAAATCCCAGCAGGCTCTGCAGCATTGGGAGTGCAGGTGTTGCAGGCAAACACAGCCTGTCTCTTCACATAGCCCTACAACAATAAACACAGGAGGGAGAAATATACAGAAGTATACATGTTATTTATGACATAATGTAATAAAAGGATTATAGATATAGTTTAATATTCTCTAATAGAAAGTTTTCAACTATATACTGTAGTGATACCAAAGCAAATGGACTGCAATATAATTTTACTACAGTTTCATTCTTGAGTGCCCCACAGAAACTACAAACCTATTAGGAAAAATGATAATAACACACAACAAAACTACAGCGTGAACTTCTCAGAAAAACACACACTACTACATCTACAACTGCAGTACTCGTATTAAGAAAGAGAGACGGTGCAGGGATAAAGGCGATGGCTGCAGGGATGCGGTGCAGGAAGCTGTTCTTACCCGGGAATAGGAGCAGTTTTCTGGGTCGCTTCCAGCCAGCACACACAAAGCCTTCTCCAGCTCTTCCTCGTTGGTGAGAAAATCGTCGGGGTCGGATTCCTCTTTGTTTGCTGCCATTCTGGCGAAAGAGAGTAAAGGTGAGGACACACACAAAGACACAGACAGACACCGGAGTCTCAGCGGCACGGCGGTGTTGACAAACGACTGTTCCGGGCGGGAGTTTGGGCCGAGACCACGTGGAGGAAGTGACGTAGGATACTGATTAACAATCAATACATGGTACCTGCTGCTACTAACATTTCTGTTAATTTTTTGTTTATTTATCTATGGTTTCTATAGATTTACTTTTTAATTTAGATTAACATTTGGTTCCAGTTTCAAATGCACTAGTTATAACCTAAAAGACTTAAACTAATAGAAATTAACTATGCGTTGATAAATTATTTAATAATGATTTCTAGATCAGTTATAAGCTATTTGGGAATGCCAGGTTGTGAAAAACACTTGGGTTGCTGCACCATGTATGACCACTTGTCGTCCTAAAAAGACAGCAGATCTGCCACAAAATACATGTATTAACAGCTTATTAATTAATAAATCAACATTTATAACAGCATTATTTCCAAGCAGAAAAGATAAACACCAGCCAAAGACATTTACAACCTAAGAACCCAAAATATGTTTTATGACTTTATTTCACATAGGTAACATTATTAAGACATATAGGCCTAAAGGAAAAGGTCAGGGCATATCAGTCAAACCTGTATATTCTCATATAAGTATAGGCCTGATACATTGATTCCATCAAACTGGCTTGAGTAGACTAAATTACATAATGTGGCTGTATAAACCATATCACCAGAGGCTATGGCGGCCAGTCGTGGCAGATACAAGTTAGACTACACATTTCGTGGAATTACAATTAATATTTACAAAAAGGGTAAATCCACTCTGTTATTTTGGGTGAAAAACAGTTTAGCAACCCCATAACACACTAGAAAGATCACCGGAAAAATGAATGAAGTGGTATTAAAAGGTGTTAAGTTTTAGGACGGTACATACCTGTCCTGGAGGTAGATAGAGGTCCGGAGGACTGAAAATCGGTCCTCCTCTAAGCCTCCAGCAGTGTCCGTAGTGTTGTGTTCTTTTAAAATGGTTTTGTTTTGTTTTGTTTTGTTTTGTTTTGTTTTGTTTTGTTTTGTTTTGTTTTGTTTTGTTTTGTTTTGTTTTGTTTTGTTTTGTTTTGTTTTGTTTTGTTTTGTTTTGTTTTGTTTTGTTTTGTTTTGTTTTGTTTTGTTTTGTTGTTTGTTTTTTACACGTTCGCTTAGGAGTGTTTTGATGTATTTATCCATTTATTTATTCTGAGAAATAGAGCTCCATAGAACCCCTTAATGAAAGCAGGACAAATGAGGGTCTTAATCATTAGAATAACGTAGACTAAATAATAATACAGACCTGTAAATAATTTCTTGCCTACTTCAAAGAAAAAATCCAAAATCCTAGTTAATGATCCGGATCTCTGGATCATTAACTAGGATTCGAATTGAATGGGTTCTTCTCTGGTCCATGTCCCATCCCTCCACCAAATTTGGTGCAAATCGGTTCAGTCCTTTTTAATCCTGTAACCCTGCTGAAAGAAACACACAGCTGGAAGTATAACCTCTCTGGGGGAGGTAGTAACTGCTGTATGCTGCACTGGTTTTCCAACGGATGGCGCCACTGTGACGTGTTTCTGTGTTTGGGAGCCCGGTGAAAATATGTGCTCATTGCTGCACAGCAGATAGCAGGCGACGGTGCTCTCATTATGCAAGCTGCAATGGGCCTACAAACAAAAGATCTGCGTATTATGCAAACTGCAGCTGGTTTGTTTATAAGTCCACAAACCAGTTCACTGATCCACGTTTCGTCTCATACTTTCTTCTTGTACGGAGGCTGAGCTGACAGACAGTGGAGCGGTGCACCAACGGAACAGACTGAACTTCTCTGACCACATCCCGGGTGCCTTTAAGGCTGTCGGAAATATTGTGTAGCCCCCATGACCAGTCTTAAAGACTCGCCAATTGTGCAAGGGCACAAGGACTTCTGTGGGGCCAGAGGAGAAAATACACAAATCCCACAATGCTGGTAATGACACTATAAATACTGCTGTTCAAGTCGGGATTGTTTATGAAAACATATTTATTAAAGTGGTCACTTAAACAACATCCCATAAATAGATTAATATAAACATGAACTAAACGCTCAGTTAAAATCCATGTTCTTCAGTCGCTCATCCGCATCTCTTTCGGACTCTGTTGAACAGAGCATGGTATATTTTGTTACTGACTTATTTACAAATGAAACAATTGAGCTATGAGTAGTTTAAGAAAATAAAATTAGCAGCTATAAGATATGTAGTTGTGTTGTGAAATACATTTTCATTCTCAAATTTCAAACACTGTATAGCCAACGATTAATCAATAAATCCAAAAATAATGTGCATGTTAATCGATGAGGAAAGCAGAAAAGCACGTGAAGTCACGACAGTGTGATTCGACAGACTGGATTGGTACTTTCCGAGGGGCTCGTGAAGGCAGCATCAGTCTCCGGGATCCTGGGTGTGTGCAGTCAGCTCAGCTCAGAGACTGAGAGAAAACACCAGGATCCTCTCAACGTGAGTCCAGCTGTGCCTGTCATCTGTCACCTTGTTTGAAAACTTCTACTCTTCCTCCATCGGGCGGACCGAGAATGGGAAACTATCCGAGCTAGTTTCTGAAGAGGACATACATTCAGAGGGGAACTGTGCTAAAACTACCAGGTTAGTTAGCTCACCACACAGCGTCTCGCTGCCAGCTTTATTCGTAGTTAAGTCAGTTGCTTCATCTTTTAGCTAACTAGCCGTCGCTTGCCGCCATTAGTTAACTCATTTGACATTTGGAAGTGGTATCAATCTGTTCTGCCATTTAACGCTGACCAGCCTTGTTAGCCAGCTAGCTTACGTTTCCCAATTGCATGCCATCGGTTAGCTATGCAGACTGTCACTACCTAGCTAGCCCACTAACGTTAGCACTTGAGGTTAGCAAAAGGGGTCAGAGTGTGTGTTTCGCTGATGCTGAACCACATTCACTGTAATATTACGTCTGCAAACTAGATCATTTTTGGTCCAAGAGACAGGCAAGTAGAAAGCGCCACTCCTGGCTATGTTTGAGTAACGTATGACAAACCAAGTCGTCAACTTTCGTGTTCCCTTCCTTGCCCTGGTTGGCTGTTGTAAGACTAACGTTATAAGGTGGTTTCCGGTTTCGCCTGTTCAGGTTGAGCCCTCAGTCACGCCGTTTACCTCCAGAGAAGGAACAGGAGCACAGTGGAGATGCAGACCTTTCTGAAAGGCCGGAGAGTCGGCTACTGGCTCAGCGAGAAGAAGATGAAGAAGCTGAATTTTCAGGCCTTTGCTGATTTGTGCAGGTATGTGGCTAAAACACCAATTTAATGCATCCAGGTCAAGTGATTTTTTTTAGAGCACCTAACAAAAACAGCTTGACATGCATTCACTGAGTAGGCCTACACGATTACCAATTTATGCCACAGTGATTTAAGAGGTGTGTTGTCAGACAGTGCAGTTCCTCTTAATGACACGGTGACAAACGGGACTGATGATGACCCTTTCTCTTCTTACAGGGAATAGCGCTTTTACAGTTTACCGTAAAACTTTCCTTTTCACTATAATACAGCATTGGTGACTTCCCTGCTATATCTGCAAAATCATCCAAGGTTTTACTAAAAGTGCAGTTGATTAAGCCTGCGGCTTCTCTGCCTCTGATTCTCTCTGCTGTAGTGCAAAGGCATTTCGTAAAACACATTTGTATGTATGCCTTGAGGGAAGGTGACACAGGAAAAAGGCAAGCCCTGAGCTTAATTTTATTTTCACTGTAGCAGCTTTTGTTTGTTATGTCTCGAGTCAGTGCTTGTTGAGACATGGTGCGAGGAGTGAATGTGTGTAGGTAGGACTGTTGATAGTGGTCTAAGGTGCATCTATAACAGGACAAGCAACTGAAGCAGGTGTTTTTATTTAGCATATTGTCCTGAAGTATGAAACTTTAATGCAGGTGTGTGTGGACTGAAAAAATGAATCTCTGCTGTGTTAACATATCTTAACCAGAGGATGTGTTCTTATTCCACAAAGTTAATCTGTGACCATTACAGTATCTTACATTCATTGTAACTGGAAAAGTGTGATATCACAGAGAGAAGTCTTTTTGTCTCTAGATGTGAGATGTTTTTCTTTATCTATAAAAAAAATTGGCTTTAGTTGTCCAAATGCATAGACACAATATGAAAGTGGTCAAGGCTGTGCTTCAATCCTAGCAAGGTCTTTTTATTTAATTTTCCAGCTTTGAGAGGGATGGCTACATGGGTGTTTTATGTATGCTATCTTGTATCTTATCCATCTCCAGTTCAAGTTCAAGTTGTTATAAAGTAGGGCATGGATTTTCTTGGCAAACATACTGCTATAGAGTATATTGGCTTGGGGAAGTGCTCCTTCCAAGGTATAGCAGCAGCCTTATGATCCTCCATTGCAACATTGCCTAACTGCCTGTGCTGTATTAGGGCTGCAGTTATCCTGAAGGCACACATGTTAAAGTGGCAGTGGCTAACAGTGAGAGAGAATGAAGAGAAAACATTTTAGAGTCCTCAGTCATTTGATTTAGCAAGCATGTGCCCCGATAGGTCAGGTATGTTTACAGTGTGCTTAATAGCAGACAACTGCTTTGAAGGATTTTCACCTTTTCCAAGAGTCGTTGCCTCACAAAGCGACCTGATTGAGCCAGCGCAGATTACCACACTGTAATCCACAAAACATTTTTAATCGCATCATAAACCTCCAAGCAGCACCCCCACCCACCCCTCTCATCCCTGCATCCTGCTCACCCCCTTCTTCCCTCAGAGCTGGACTGTGTGCTGATTAATATGAAGGGCAGGGCCTGAGTGTTAAGAAGTAGTGCTTGTGACAGAAGATCAAGGAGATCAGCCTCCCTCGAACAACAACAAACAACAACACATTTAAATGGAAAAGAGCCACAAAATGAACGTGGGCATAACATGCTCTGATCACCACATGACTGCTTTTGTCCAGTCTGCCACTAACTTACACTTATCTTCTAGTTCTCCTTTTCCTGACATATTTCCCCATTATATTGCATCTTCAAGAGGAAGGAGAAGAAATGAAATGAAACTTACAATGTGGGGCTCCTGTACATAGACATAATTTTTTTAACAAGGAATTTTATCTTTCCTAGATGACACAACACTACAAGGGATTGTCAGTCACGAGTAAGCTGTCTTAGGGCTTGCTGGATTTCATCAGTACCACCTCATACCAAACCTTAACACAGGTTTTATTTATCATGGAGTGGCTTCCTTGGCAATATCACACTCATCACATTTCATTTCATGCACTTTGATTTTATCTTACAGATAGATATGTGCAGGCTTTAGACTTGTCAGGCTGTATTATGAAAGATAAACCATATGCAAGTATTATATTCCAATAGTGATGAGGTTTTCTCTCTCTCATCATGTGGCATGCAGCTGACACTGCGAGGGCTTCAGTGTGGAGCCTGCCCTGTCTCGTGCAGCTGGACTTTAAGGGTTCTTGCTGGTCAGAGCCACTTGGATTTATGTTTGTCTACTTGCACAGCAATTTAGAGGCTTCCTACTAGCTCACATTTACCTGATTTAGAAAAATGTGATGTCCTTGAAAACGCAGTCAGCCTGGGCATCATTGAATGATATGAAAATATTGTCACTTCATCCTGTCAAGGCAAGGCTGCTCTCTAGGACAACAAGGCTGATGAGATTGCCTTTAACTAAACCCACTGTATGCTTGTATGCATACTTTCATTCAAATGATGCACTTTACTGCAGTGTGGAGAAGACTGTGATTATTTAAAAGCTGTGTTGTGTATTGCTGTAAAATCAAGTAACATGTAAAGCAGTAATTGCATCGATTTCTAAGGAACAGATGGCAACAAATTAACAGCCTAAACAGGTAAATCTTCTTCACTTGATTGGCCTGTTTTACCTGTATCTGTTACCTGTTATCTATAAGAAGGCCACACTAAATCACATTAATTCAATTAGTTTTAAAGTGTCACAGTTTTAGTTCATTGTATTGCTAATCAGCCACAATGGTGTAATAGAAACTGTTACATTTTTGTAACAGCTTCATGGGCTTGTGTGTCAAGCTTATTCAAAAAGTTCTGACCCTGAGCTGCTTCTCTGCTGGGTCTTCTCCTTCATCCTTTTCATTCTGCTGTCCGTGTAACAATATAAGAGAGCAGGCGATCTCCATATCTGAGATGGGACAAAACTAAAGGCCCCATTCACACCACATGAAACACACCAGCTGCAGTATTAAATATCCACATTGTTGTTAGGCAGTGAATGGCTGCACTGCTGTTACCATGGGGCTGTAACCTCAAAAACAACTGGCCTGGACGGCTTGAGTTGTTGGTAGTGCCAGGCTGATTTAGTACTCATCGTAAATTCCCTCATGTAGAAGTTGGTTGTTTTGACCATTCAAGTTTTACTTATGTGTTTTTTTTTTATTTTTTTTTGTTTATTATATTATATAATGATAATATATAATGTACTATATAATATATATTATATATATAGTAATATTCATAGTACTTAAACTTATTACTATATTATAGTACTATATATCTATACATACTATATATATATATATATATAAATACTTTGGCAAATTTGTGGCACTGACCTAGAGAGGACACTTGACAAGCTAGCTCCATCAGAAATGTGCAAATTGCCCTCTCTTCTACTCTCTGTATGGGCACTTGTTTTTCTCTCAGTGGAGAGGTAAGGACTAATATAAATCCAGCATGTTTAAACATCTTCTGTGCCTTTTAACAGTAGATTTAACAATAGAGAAGAAGTCATCTCACATTTAAATTTATGCACAAATGATTAGTGCTGTGTACAAGACAAGGAGAAGAGATGTGCCCAGAGAGAAGAGGTTCCTGATGTGAACAGTGAAGTGGTGTACTACGTTATGATAGTTACCTCCACCAACATCTCCATTCTCGTAGAGGTCTGCTGGTTGCCAAGCAACCAATTTTTATCCAATGACTAGTATTTCTGTGTCATTTCTGAAAAGTCGCATCTTCGCCCTGCTCTAGAGAGCGATTTAGTATTTTGGCTGCAACAATCTTATTCTGCCGTCCTGCTATCAGACAAATTTCCTGAATAATTTAGGATCATTGTTCATTTATTTTTGACGCCCGGGTGCAGACAGGCTCATGTGTCAGTAGCTCATGTTTCTAACTGTAGTCAGATTGTTGAAGAGCTGTGTGAGTGTCTATTTAATTCCTCTTATGGAGAGGAACTATTTTGACATACATTTACAGAAAGAGTAAACGTTACCTTTGTCTTACAAAGGAAGGAAATCCAGTTAGAAAACAAAAAGCATGTTTTACATAGCTTATACTATATAAGTTAAGTCTTTGCCTACAGTCCTGAGTTTTTAGGGCACTGAAAAGACAACAGGCATCGTCACCTACAGCACCTGACATACATTTACATTACATGTCTTGCATCTTATATCTTATAGGTTTTTTCAGTGCCCGGCAGTGTCTGTTTATGAAATACTGAACTGAAAAACTGAAACTGATCAGTTTATTTTTGGTCAAATTAATGAGTGTTACTTGTTGTTTTCTTTTTCAGGAAAAGAGGAATAGAAGTTGTTCAGGTAAGTGGACAATATTTTTTTGTTATTACAAAACAAAATTGAGCAATTATTTATTGTTTAAGTTGGAGAATCTTAAATTTAGATCCCAGCTAAGAGGCTATTATATTCAGATTCACTGTCAGAGTTGAAACCACACCATTTACGACATTTTTCCACTGTAAACTGCTGTGAGTTTGTTACCTCCTACATACCTGATGTGGTTGCTTGACAGTCTTGTTATTTTCAGTCTGCAAACATCATCAGTCGCAGGCTTACAAACCAGGCTATGTTCATTGTTCAGCTGTGATGCAACTCACAACACGATATTTCAACACCTGGCCTCAACTCTGTTAACTCTGTTGGACGTCACAGGAATCTACTTGGGGCAGTGTGTGTGTGTGTGTGTGTGTGTGTGTGTGTGTGTGTGTGTGTGTGTGTGTGTGTGTGTGTGTGTGTGTGTGTGTGTGTGTGTGTTTGAGTTGAAAACTCTGAACAGCTTGGCAGGAGTGATAGAAGTCATTGCACTTAGTCACATATGCCCAGTGTAATATTTTTTTAGAATATAAAATTGCGTATATTTGAGCAGCTACATCTTAATAGTCTGTCTGTAGTAATGACTTAGCTCTACTAAAGGATGGGTGCTGACTAATGTTCAGGTAAATGCCGGCCCCAGGGAAGTGAGTCAGTAATGGATATTGCATAGTACACACTCTGTAAGTAAACACAGCACATACAGAAGCACAGTTACAATTGTTACTAAGCCCTCAGATCTCAGTACTGAAAAGTACTTGTCAGTTAAAGTGCTCTCTGCCATTGAAGAGGAAATTATCTTGTCTTTTTCTCTCTTTTTTAATGCTGTTTCTTGTCTTCATGGGAGGTTCTTTTTTTCCCTTCACTTTGAGGTTATTATTTTCCTCTCACTGGCCTGACGATATCAGCACACCCAGAAAGAGCCTTGTCCTGGGAATAGTCCCAAAGTAAGCAGGGCTTTGTTTCCCACTGCGCTTTCAGCCTCTCCTGGGAGAGAGCAGATCCTCCCAGACCCTCAGCTATGGGTACCCGGGGACTTGAACAGCCCTCCAGTCTTCCCAATTTCTCTTTTTCCTGGACTACCTGTTGTCCACTGAGTTCTTTTTTTCTTCCTGCAATTCAGCATAAACTCACTTTATTTTTAGCTGGGCTGTCGCTGCCAATTGAGAAAGCTCAGTTTATTCATATACCCAGAGGTGTTTTTGAGTTCAGACCGGTGACTCGGCTACCCAGGATGCACCCACTGCCAGTCAGCGCCTGTACTGTCATGACTGCATCACAAGCAAAGATAATGGCAGCCATTGTAATGCTTTGGTGTTTCTGTGTACAAAGCTGTCCTCTCCTATTGGACTGCTGAACTCTGAGCACAGAAACATTTAGACTTTCCCTTAGCCTGTTATGTTGCAAGCAATGCTGCAATTTCTAATGCCAGATTATGTATTACACATATATAATCTGGCATTAGAAATTGCTTTGTTTTACATATATTCTTCTGGATGTCTTGCGCTTGTTGGTTCATTTTAGGCCCAATCATGCTAAATCCTCCTAAGACAAATTTCTACATGAAGTAAATAAAGCATGCGGAGGGTGCTGAAGTGATGGTACATTGAAAGGAAAACATTTAAGCTTCCAAATGAAGATGTTTCTTTGCAGACAAATTGTTCATCTTGCTTTGTTTATGTTTTATTCATTTGTTTTTTTGAAGCCTTGAGGGTGGGTGGGAGTATTGCTATTATGTGGTTATCAAGTGAATTTAACCTTCTCTAGAAGGCTGGAGTAGAAAAAAGCTTCAAATTTATCTCTCGCAGCCAATTTAATCGTCTAACCTTGTCCCTGTGGACTGACGGACTAGCTGATCCTGGTGATAACAACTCAACCTTGGATATCCAGGCTAGGATAAATTAATTCTAACCTTTTCTGGCAGAGTAAACCTTTGCTTATGTTGTTTACAAAATAAATACAAGTTCTTTCACCTATTCGTTGTGTGTTGTAACCTCAGACTAGCTGGAATAATAGCAGTGCACGAGAGCTGAAACAATTAGTTGATTCATTGATCAACGGAAAATTAAACTGCAACTATAACTGCAACTATTTTGATTGTCATTTTTTTTAAATGCCAAATATTCTCTAGTTTTAACTTCTCAAATATGAACATTTGCTGCTCTTCCATATCTTATGACAAAAGTAACAGTCTGAAGACGTCAGTGTGTTTCTGGGATAGTGAAAATGCGTTTTTTTTTTGTTGTTGTTGTTTTTTTACTAATTACAGACATGTTATGTACCAGCTGATTGATTGATTAATCAAGTAAATAATCAACAAATGAACTGGTAACACGAATAATTGTTAGTTGTAGGAATTGACATAAAGATAAGTCACTGTAATTGCACATAGCATGGTATGGTATTTGCCAAAAGTGGCTAGATCCTCCAGAGGGTTGGTAGTGGTTATGACGTCACTGTGTGAACAGATCTTTGCTAAATCTGGCAGCCACAGGGAGTTAATGTTATATTTCCATTTATAGTGTGGGAAAATGATCTACATTTATACCCATCAGGACCGACAAAAACTGGAATAACAACAGAAGGTTCTTCTGTTTGACTTTCTATGATTGCCCCCTTTAGCCTCTTGCAGCTTTCCACTTGAGTTCTTTTTTTATAAGTAGCCCATTATCACGCTCTCCTTGTCTCTACTTTTCCCTTCTCCATCGTTCCTTTCCCTCCTCCAAGTGATTTTGCACCAGCTCATCAATACTGACCCCTTCTCCCTGAGCTCATGAGAGCCATCCTCCCAGTGCTCTGTACATTAGCCTGTCTGTATCACAGAGCTGATGAGATTAACTCACCAGGCTCGGCCTTGAGGAAGCCAATATTCACTCTGAGAGAGAAAGCCCATCACAGCAAATGGCCATCATTTGAGTGGGCTGTCCACGGAAAGTTATTGAGTTACCGTTTTTATTATATGGTAAGTGCTTAAGAATTTAAAGTTAATTTCCGCCATGTTACTGTATCTCGCCCACATATTGAATTTGTGGAGGCTGACAAACAAGAGATTGTCTTTGGAAGGAATTTATTGATCCTCCAGTGCTCCATGATCCAAACCCAGCTGATTGGTGACTATTATTGAGAATTAGCATCTAGCCACATAAGTTAAACTGGAGCAAAAAATTTGAAATGCACGGAGAGCTTCACCACAGAGGTTTGCAAGTCATTACAACAAAGCCAAAGTGTGAGTTTACCAAAGTATCTTAGTCATCTTAACACTTCCTGTGATTTAAAAATAGATATTTTTCTTAACTGCCACAAGACATGTGCGGGGGAGTATCTGAGGAGTCTGGGAGTTCAGGGTGGGGATGATGATAAATGAGGTATTCATCAGTTTGACTAAGATCAACGTCACAGTGATTTCTTTACCTCCCTAACTATCCTAGCACTTCTCAGTTGGTCTGGTAGAGGTATGGAGTCTCGTTATTTCTCCATTTAAAAATATCCATTGGACACAGTGAGTTTCATCATGCATGATTATGACGCTCTTAACCTGCCTGCACAATCACTTGAGTCACACACATTAAGTAATGGTTAACCTAACATTATACTCATAAGTTTATTAATGGTGATAAAAGCTGAATGACAATTGCCTCATAAGCCTCCATTGCACAACATATTCAGTAGGAGGAAAGTCTGATTACTCTGAGGACTCCAGGGATGCTGAGGAGACCGCCATTAGCCTAATAAGCTCCCAGTTCGAATCTCCCTATGGTTTTTGGCTGGAGATTCACCTTCGTGTTGATCCCGTCTCATGGTTAGTCTTGCACCTCATGTGAGGTGTGGCCAGCAGCCACAGTTTATCTCAGAGACATGTGTTTCTCTTACACTAGGGTGTCAAGTGCCACACAGCATACAAAATAAATCATTCATCACGTCTGTCTGCACTCTACCCACAGTCTTGCTCTGGGCTAGCCTGACAACAAAGCGAAAGCCAGGTGAGATTTGATCCAGCTGAGTGCAGCTAGAGAAAGACATCTAAAAGATAAAGCAGAGGCTCCAGACACAGGTTCATACAGTTTGTGTTCAGTGTATGGAATTATGTTGAAAACTGAAGTACACTCTGAGCTCAGTCCTCACTGTTTGCTCAAAATCACCGTCCTTAGATTTCCCAGGGGTATAGCTTGGTCCCACTGTGAGGCTACATCAAAGCTGAAAATATATTGGCCCTGACCTGCCCTCTCCCTCCACGATCCAGCGTGTTTTCTGTGCTGTCCATCACTTCCATGGCCCACTGCAAGCTCTCAGTCCCAAAGGGATTTGCAAAGACGTCAACTGACATTTCTGCTTTTAGCATTTAGCAGGACATCAGTGACTTTACTGCTGGGTTTTTGGATGAGCTCTAAAGCAGGGTCACTCTGTCTGTGCACAGGGAGAGGAGAGCCTCATCTCATCCTCCGCGATGTGTCTTTGCCAGTGGGTGTTGACCCCCATGATGTAGAGGCCTGTTTTTGTTGAGAGGCCAGGCTGTGGATGGGCCCTCTGTGTTGTGTAAGCAAGAGATTAAAAGCCGTGCCTCAGTGGAGTACAGGCAAATTCCCATCCACCCGGCCCCGTCACACTGACACTGCTAGCTAGACAGAAAACAAGAGCGACCGCCTCGGTTTTTAGCGACCTGCTGTACCTCACGCCCTGTCACCACTGCTGCTCACAGCAGCTAGTGTTGTAGACACAGTAATAGTTTATCCACAGGTGACAACACATTTTTATGAGTGTTGACTTACCAACACAGTGCTATTAAGGTCATAGCAGCATGTTTGTGTTTTATGCATCTGCCATATGCTCACACCTCTGTGTCTACGTGTCTCTCGACCACACAAGTCCGGTTAAACCAGCTAGACAGCTGAGACACCAAGTCGCCAGAACCTGGGCTATATAATTCTAGTTAATGCACTCATACTGTTTGATTCTTACAAAGTATTGTCAGTTATAGTGCTGTAGTCCTCCTAACATTGGTTGTTTAGTATCCCAATTGGTTGTTGCATTTTATCCACAGTGCCACAGTATCAACCACTGTCTTCTACAGCAGCTTCTGTTGCTAAGTAAATTTCATTTTGGCAGAAAGGTTGTGTACTCATCAGACTTTGGAGTTGCCTTAGCTTGGGGTAGATGATATAAGGATCTATACCATGATTGAAATCTGAGATTTAGCCACATGGTTTATACTGTAATATTCGTCCCTTTAACATCTCTCAATTGGTTTTCCAGTAATCTTATTATACCACAACATATATCAGTATGCTGAAATAACACTTAACTATGATAAAGGATTTCAGCAACACTACCAAGTACTAGCTGCGACGCTGCCTTTTCCACTGTTACGTGCTGCTTATGTGTCAATTCTAACAAACCTCCTAGAGTCCCTGAACACGTTTGGCTTCATTGGCTTGTGTACATTTTTGCAGCTTGTGTTGGCATGTTACTTTTGAGCTGGGCGTGCTTCTATAGGCAGGAGAAATGGAGCGTGGAGGAGACTGAGATCCAACAGCATTAAAATGGACAGAGAAAGAAATGCTGTGTTGATGTTGCATAATGAGCTCTTTAGGGGATACAGCTTGACCTGAACACTGTTGTTGGTATTTCTTGGCATACTGTGTACACACTATGATGTGTAGTATAGGATGTGCCTGCTCAACACAGAAAAGCTCATATTCTCTGTCAGACAATCAGTCAAAACAATGTCTCGCTTAACTTCAGTAGGAGCTAAACTACAGGTGAAGTTTTTATTCTCTGTGGTGAAACCTGTGTAAAGAAGACGATATATATATATCAGCTGATGTTTAACAAATTTACCACTGTGCAGTTGACTTTTTAGGGTAGGACTAAGCATACTTAATAATTAGTCATCTGTCTATCACATATCTCTGAATCATTAACCACAAAATGATGGCTCTGATTGAGGCCAGCCCTAAACTAACTGAAGCTCTGTTCAGTTTTACAGTTCTTGCATTGATCCACACCCGTGTGACTGAAGTGTATTCACTCTCCGTCTGTGTACTGTCTGGACAGCATGAAGGACAGTGGGGTTCTGCCTGGCTCTGGCTTGTTTGCACAGGTGTTTCTGAATTATCTTTTGTCTGTAACGATCAGGTGTTCCCTATCTGCTGATTAGCTAATGAGTTGGTGTGGGGCTGTGTTACACAACAGCAGCCCTGCAACCACTTCTCGTTACATTGTTGCTGTGTTTGCTCTGGTTTCATTTGAATTGTCTCTTTGAGTCCAATATTTTAATTTTCCACCTTCAAGGAGTCATAATGTGTTGTTAAATTTGTCACAGGCTTGGCCTTAATAAAATAAATTAAGACTGCCACGGTTGTGCTACTGCTGTTGGAAAACAAATGGCCTAAAGTTGAGCCAGAGATTTCTGATAATTAGTTTGTTTCAAAATGTACTTTCACTCCCCTACGGCCCTTTTCTGCAATTACTATGCCTAGCCACATATTAAAGACTACTTTGTGTCTTAAGTTTTGTAACTTTAAAAGTTGCCTCTCACACACAGACAGTCTAAATCATAGCATCTCTTCTCTATCTCTTGAAGTGTTCCTACATTTGTGTGTGCATGTGTGTGCAAGTACTGACCCACATAAGTCTTATCACACTTGGAGAGCTGGTTTGACTACTTGTGAACTACTTGGCCAGTGCAGTCAGTCTTTCGGCTGCGGTAAACTTCAAACGAATGCTAATTTGGCATTTTCTCAGAGGCTGTCGAATGTGCTCAGCGAGACTGGAAGGCTGGCCAGAAGGAGATAGTTTGCAACTCATAGTAAAATAGATGACATCAGAAATAAATCGTGATGGTGTAATTCAAAACAAATACAACATAAACTCTGGCTGCACCAGAGTTGCAGCTATAAATAAAATAAAATCAGATCTGATGCTGTTTTATAACCAAAAAAGCAGAAAAGAAAACATATGTTTGTTTCCTGGAGCAGAACTATGAGAAGGGATAGAGAGATCCCTCTTCTCTATTGATAGACTGGGAGTATAAATGAGGAGGTTGATGACAGATTAATGACTTCCCAAAATGACTTAACCTTTTCTTATAAATACTCTCACATCCATCACCCAAGTAATTTATTTGAGGACACAATGAAATGCATTTGAAATGCGACATTATTGTGAATTCTCCAGTTTGCTTTGTATACTTGATATTTTTTGTTCCCACTGCATATGAGACTGGGTGTTTTGGATAACGGGGTCCGTCAAGCGCAGCCACAATTCAGGCTCATACATATGGTAATTGGAGGTTTTTGTACATTTGAGACTCCATCACCAGTGCTGCTTCCTACCTAGGCTGCCTGGTCAGTGAAATGGTGCATGTATAAGTACTGTCTATAACGTAGCAGGCCAATACATATGATAAACTTCCCCTTTTCAGCTTGCAAATAGGATGAGTGTGGTGTGAATAAACAGTAGGTAAAACAAAAACAATTCACCCAAAGTTCACACAAAATATGGAAATTCTTTGGGTTTGTTAAACAACTGCAAGCAACAGTGCTTTTGGGGGCAGTTATGGAGACAAGTTCTTACTTGAGCAAACTGTGGAGAATGAATTGATTTTTTTTGGGTGGGGGTGGGGTGTTGAAAACTCATACTGTTTGTGAGAACATGCTGATTTTGATTTTGTGAGAAGTATAATATACTGCTGGTTTTATGGTTGAGTTAGTCAGAGACAAAAAAGACAGCCATGACAGCTTAAACTCTGACATAGTGTTTTATTTAACTGTTAATAAAATTTCATTCACTAAGAATCAAGTTTATATTTAGCATTTGCACTTTTATATTGCAATGATGAATCACTGCAGTTGCTTCAAAGCATTAAAGGCAGTCAGATTTCAGGCAGAAACCACTCAATTTCAAATCATCACCTCTTAGCAGTTTTGGAAAAAAAGCTTTTCATGGATGATTGCTGAGGTTTACCATTTCTAAATGTGGTGAATGAATACCTGAGTGTGCAATAGCCCTGTTTGTGTCATAATTCTTGACCCATGGTTGTTCTCCTCTTTCCCTAGCTGGATCTCAGCCAGCCACTGGAGGAGCAGGGTCCCCTGGATGTCATCATCCACAAACTGACTGACCTCATCCTGGAGGCTGACCAGAATGATTCACAGGCCGTGCTGCTCGTCCAAAGAGTACAGGTATGTATCTTTATCTTCCATCCCTTCCCCGGATTATTCAAAAATGAGAAGGTCTAGGAATGTGGTAGTAATGAAAGTGATAATTTCCGCTTCTTGGAGCAGCCTCGGGGTTGTGCACATCATTTTGGAAACGTATGAAAAATATCTTTATTCACTTCTAGTACTTTTCTGACCATGTAATCAATTTGTTAGACTAGCTCCATGCCTTGTAGATTTAAATGTTAGAACATGGAAGTTGATGATTCTTGACCTTAGGAACAGTGTGTGTGATAAAATAATGGTTAGGGTTAGTACATGACTCAGTGATCATATGGCCCAGCAACTGTCTGCATGCATGATATGGAGAAGATTGAGCAATCTCTTAAAATACAGTTTTGAAATTGGAAAAAAAAATTAGAAATTCTGGCTGGTATTGTTTATAGTACAGTAGTGCCACTGCTATAGCAGTAAAGATTTATGGATCAGTTTTATGAGTGCAGTTAAATGTCCCAGTTCAAAAAATCAGAGTGTGTACAAGGAATCAAACCAAAAGGCCAAAGATCCCTGACTTGGTTACATTAAGGACATCATCAGCTATATTTGAGCATGTGGTGACGCATTAAAACCTGAGCGCTGTCACTGGAAGTTCATAAAGAGTTTTTCTCATTCTTCCTGAAGTGAGAAACATCTCACACTGACAGCAGGTCACAACTCAAGATGTGGCACTGGGAACACACTTCAAAAAAGGGGTGTGTGTATGTATGTGTCTGTGTATTTATTAATCTGGCAGTGCTGTGGATGGTGTGAAAATTAATTTTCGTCCACCAGCTCCCACTGCATTTCTCTCTCTCTCTCCCTGTCTCTGAATGACTCAGAGGAGCTGTAATCCTGATTGGCATCACGCAATTCTGTCAACATGTTCCTGACTGCTCAATTAGGAAGGACAAACAGGATGTCAGTGTGGAGCAATCACTTAAACTGCAGAGCCTGGTCAATATTAACACATAGCTGCATTTGCACACGTTTATGGTAGACTATTAAGTAAGCCATTTTGAAGCAAATGCACAAACCTATTTTTTTTTTTTTTTAAAGCACTGTGACAAAAAACACTCTAGATAACCTCACAGGGTAAAGTACAGGTCCACTACCCAGCTTCTGAAAACAGCAGCAATGGTGGTCGTTTACAGATATAACAGTGAAGGTTTTTCCACTAATCTCCAAGAAGTCACATGCTAATATAAATATGAACCTTTTTTTTTTTTTTTTTTTTTTTTTTTTTTTACAGTAGTTGTTACAAAAACACCACTGCACATTTCCAGTTCCATATTTTTCAGTTACTGCTGAGAAGACAGATGATAAGCACCAGAGATCATTGGTTTAACCATCAACAAGCAGCATCATAAATAACGCTCATTAGAAGTAAACTTTGACCCCTGCATCCACAGCCTCACCTAATACAAGCACACAAAGGGACTGACAAAGATAATTATTTGAAAAGGAAAAGAAATTCATCAAGTAAAAATGCCAAACATTTTCTTTGTCCAGAGCTTTTCTCTGTTTATATCATTATAAATGTTGTGTTTTCGTTTTTTTGTTTTTGTTGGTCAAAACAAACTAATTGAAGAAGTCACCTTGGTTGTGATGGTCATTTTTTACTACTCTTACTATACTCACATTTTAAAGGCCAAACATTTACTGAATTAATCAAGTAATCGAAAGGTAATATGAAAATAATAATTTGTTGCAGTCCAAATTAAAAGACACTGTCGTTTAGAACATTGGTAACTTTTCTACTAGCTGCTTCACCTATTGTTCAGGTCATGTTTATTAATAGAGTTCATTTTGTTGATCTCTAAGTTGACCTCTTATTCTGTCAGTTTTCTAAAACAAATAAGGTTCAATGTGTTCACCTCCTTTTTTCTACTTACCTCCTTCAGCTCTTTTTATGAGATCCCCAGGCACCAATTGTGTCCTGATCATAACTAAGGATCTCCTCCCAGTCAGGTTGTGTACAGTACATCTCAAAAAGATGTCTTTCTTTTAGCTACTAGCGAAAGACTGTAACCATAGATAAAGCATTGATCAAATATAAGCTGCTAAGCAAAAGCTCAGTTTTGTGGCTTAGTCTTCTTCAGTTCTGGCCATTCACCTGAACACAACTGTCATGTGTGATTACATTTCTGTTGGAAATATAAGCGTTGGCGCATTTCTAATATCCCATAGCTGTGATCATAAATAACCTTTAGTGTCGTGGAGGGAATAAGCCTTCCTCTCTAAAATAGCTCTATATTCAAAACAAAATGTCAGGCTGGGATGCACTCGGGTGATTAAGTGTCCTGAGGTGTGAGCCGTGTGCACAGCAGACCTGGAACAAATATCATTTACATGATTTTTCCCCAGGCTTCATGATTATGGGTGCAATGATGATCCATTCTTTTTTTAATTAATCACTAGTAGCAATCTGTATAGGAGGCTGAGATTTAAGGATCTAAATCAGTTTCCCAACCTTTGTATATTTTGTTAACATCTTTGACATAGTCAGTTACGTGAAAATTGAAATGAATGAAATAGAAAAATACCAATATTAATTTTGTTTGGAAGGTGATTGCATCTGTTAACAATTATAAACACGTGGAAGTAGGTTTTTGTTTACTTTGCTGCCCATTATGCGAAGATTGTTACATGAAATAGGGCTTCTCTGTGATCGACAGCTCAGGAGATTCGAGCTGATGTGGTCAATCAAACCCATCTGGTTGTGGTTAGTGTAAGTGCTAAAAGTTATTTTCCACTTCAGGTTTGATGCCCGTGGCATCACAGACATGGCTTCCAACCAGTGGCACAGATTAGATCCTCTACTGACCATATTTTCTCAGAAACTGCTTTTCCCTGTGGAAACAGATCTGCCCTGAAAAATGAGCAGAAAATGTGCAGCCCTTACACCCACGCTCTTTCACCCACGCTGACATACGTCTGGCTCTTCTTCTCTCTTAACACCTGCTCGCCAGTGTTCGTCTCTATCTCACCTCCCCCTTCTGTCTGTGTTTAACTGCATTTCTTCTTCTGAGATGCAGAAATCAGCAAGTGAAAGTCCTTATCAGCAGTGTAGTCCTCTAGACTCCTGGAAGATTAGTTTGGATTTATTTTTTGGCGGCAGTATGTTTGACTTACATAACCACTCAACTGGCTTTGATCAGCGTTGCCCATTAGATCCCGGCAAATCCTACAGATGGGTCCTCCATGTCTAGGCAAAGGCATTTGTTTACATGCTGTGTGCGTCAGTATGTGTATGTATAATGAGAGTCAGTTCACAAATGGGTGTTTTTTTCCCACTGTATGTGTGTGTTTGATGTCTGACATTGCGGCGTGTGTTTAATTTCATGCGAACACGTATGACAGTGGAGCTGTGGTGTTTTTAAAGAGCTGTGATGTGAGCAGGCAGGCTGTTTGTGTAATATGCAGGCCGGCCAGCTCCACCTGACAGCATTTGTGAGTCAGTAAAAATTGCTCGGAAGGAACGGTTGGCAGAGAAATTCACAGAGCAGAGATGGAAATGTGGAGAGTATGGAGAGCTGCAGAGGGAGGTGGTGTGGGGACAGAGCCAGAGGAGAGCCGGCAAGAGAGGAGAAGGGAAGAGAAGGGGAGTGCAGTTATGTAAAACGGCAAACCTCAGGCTGACCCAACAGCCGGCCATACAGAGATGTAGTGATGTAACCTACACAGACCCGCTGGCATACATCTCATGCTCTCTAGCTCTCTCTCACACACACACACACACACACACACACACACACACACACACACACACACACACACACACACACACAGACACACACAGACACAGGGTGAGGCATGTTGACCCTTTAACTTAGTGTTTGTATTCGTAATTTACTCACTGCACTATGTTTGTTTAACATACCTAATCTGTAGGTATATGTTTTTGTGTGTCATGTGTCATGTGTCATGGCAGATGGTTTCACATGGTATGCAGCCTCAGTCTGTTGTTTGCCTTTTTGCACACTTGGGAATAATCTACAGTATGTTCTAGTAACACACGCTCTCTCACACACACACACACACACACACACACACATATATATAAATGCACACACAGGGTTGTAACTAAAGATTATTTCCAGTATTGATTAATCTGTCAATAATTTTTTTGATGATTTGATTTCAAAGTGGATAAAAATGCCCATTATAATATTCTAGAGCCAGAGGAAATGTCTTGACTGTTGTGATTTTTTTATGTGAACATGAATTATATAAAAAGTAAATAAAGTTATTAAAATGTTTGTGTCTCTGTGTTTCAGGACTATATTGATGCCCACCCTGAGACTATCGTTCTGGACCCCCTTCCAGCCATCCGAACTCTGCTGGACCGCTGCAAGTCCTACCAGCTCATCCACAGGATAGAGAGTTGTATGCAAGGTAAGACATCCAGGTAACATGGCTCAGTCAGACTAATGTTTCTAAAAGGGAAATTCCAGACCAAATCACAATGGAAATTATGCAATGACTGATTAGTGCAAATTTGTGTTTGTTGTTTTTTACGCAAAGGTCAAATTTGGTGAAATGTGAGAACACATTCAAATTACTGACCTATGACCAATGCTGAACTTGAGGGAATTAAGAGAACTAAATATCAAAAACAGGGGAAGCTGTTGCACCACCCAATTGTATGTTCCCCTGCTCTGCCGAAGTATAAAGTGCTCTACAGAGGAGATGCTGCATTGTCTTCCGCCAGTACATTCTCTTGAAAATAACCAGTTTAAATAACTGTCCGGTTAGAGTAGTCATTATGTCACAAGCAGCGAAGTGCAAATTTATTTGGCTGTCATTTTGCAGTGTAACCAGGCTTGTACTCTGTGAATAGTACACAGTACACAGTGTGTCATGGGTTCAAATCAGATCAACACCATGAGTGTCTCTGTTCCCCTCCAAGCCCTCAATATTATAAAAAGGCAGAAGTTGTTTAAAATAATCAAAGAACTGTTGATTCGGTGGAGACAGCCTTCTACCTTATTTAATGTGTCTAATGTTATCAAGAGGATGGAGTTGTGTTAACTGAGGGACCTCTGTCTTTCCTCTTTACTTCCAGAGGCGACACGTGGGTAACATATGACCGCCCTGTCGCCTCTCACTTGAATTATGTTGCATGATGCTTCCGAGCAGATGTTTAATTCTTGCCGGCAGAGTGCTATGCTGATATCATAATTCCTCGCTTCCCTTTCACGCGACAAAAGAACTTCTCTGTGTCCCCCTGTCTGAACCCAGTATGAACTTGGCTCGGTGCGTTTGTCACTGATGGATAAGAACTTGCCTTCAAGTCAGTCCAGCAACACGTTCTGCTGTCACTGAGCTCATAAAGTAATCAACAGGCAACGAGTTTTTGGCTAAAGGCGGAGAAACGCAGTGACGACACGAGCACATTCCCTGCCCACACACTGTAAACACACCTGTGACTCATCCACATTTCCTTTACCCCCATACATGGCAGGGAACATAAACCTTTTAAGTACTTCTTCACTGAGTGTCTGTGACTCCGTGAGGGGCTGCAGTCTGGTGTCAGAGCAACGGATCAGAGGCGTTTCAGCATGTCGGCAGTGTCAGTGGTGTCTTAAAATAGAACCACGAGAAGACGTCTTTTTATCCAAACAGACACGATGGCTGTTACGTAACAAAGAGTATAAGCTGCATTGCTCTGTCTCACTATGCGTATTTGGTTTGAAGAGGAGGGTGGCTCACTTGCTGCATTTATTGGAAGCTCTTTTTTCCCTCCCCACTCTCCTTCCATTAATGCAAGTGGTGCTCTCTGCTCACACTTAGGCTTGCATACCAAACCTGCTTGACAATTGTAGTCAGTTTAGACACGAGACATAGAGTGTAAGCCTTTATAATCCTAGACCATAGCACCATGATTATAGAAAAAACTGCATGTGACCACAGTTGAATGTACTTTCCTCTGTCAGCAAAAAAAAAAAAATGAGTACAAAGAACTGGGTTAAGATTAGAGTAAAATAAAGGATAGTGTGAGAGTGTGGAAAGTCTACCTTGTTTTCTTAGGCACAGGCACTTCCTCCTCCTTATCAGCAGAGGCCATGGAGTCCTGGAGCAGCTGCCAAGGCAACCCGGCACTAAAAGGCCATGGAGAGCCTGCCGTGCTTCACAATCTGCATGACTCAGAATAGTACTGTATAGGAGGAAACACTTGAGGTGTGCTGGTGCTTTCTCTGGAAAAGTGAACGTTATTTTATCACTTGAGTGGTCTCTCAGTGTTAACAGGCCTCAGTCATGGTACATTTAGCTGCTGTGCTCTGAATTGTTTAAATTAATATAAATGCAAGTACAAGAGTTAGCTCATCTTAATGTTCTGTTTAAAAGAAAACAGCCAGACAAGGGCCACATGTGCACTAATGGATCAGTGTCACTGGTTCATAGTTCTGCTCATTGGAACTTTGGCGCTGCTCTGTTGTCCAACTTGGTTTTGTGTTTCCTAATGTGAGCCAGAGCTAGGTAACTGTTTATGTTACTTAGTGGAATCCACTGGTTCCCGTGTATACATGAGTTTTGATATCTTGGACTGTTTTTATAGATAGAAACCGTCGTCAAGTCAACTCTTCTATAAAAGCCTCTCTGTGTCTTAAGCTTAGTCCTCTTCAGCTCAAGATAAAAGAATTCTCCTCAATACAAGCGCATTCCCGCAATCAAACAGAAACCTTCTTGCAGTATTTGTATATTAAGCAGATCCCTGCGCTAGCATTAATCCACACCTCTGCAAAGACAGAGCAAGTGTCCCATTTATGAAAGGGATCAATATTTAATCATAGTTGCAGCATGAGAAAGACAAACACTGCGAGACACTTTAAGACCCAAACACTCATCCAAGTCCAGTGAGCCAAGGGGAAGACAGGATTTCCCAGTTTGGGTAAAAGATTTTCTGCCTGTCAGCTACGACTGTACTTTATCACAATCGTCAGATGATGGATATCTCATCAAAAGAGTATGGGATTTACCTTTTGTGGGAAAACAATCTAATTTTTCTTTTCAAAATAAATGACCAATAATTGTAATTGGAGCATAATCCTCTTAGAGCGCGATATTGAGAATTGCAATACTCCCAGGGCATAGCCGTGTTTGGAGTTCAATTTAAAATATTGAAAATCCTGCTGCTTTGCCTCGGAGGGATGCAGCGAGAGAGGATGCTTGGGTTCCTAGGAAACAAGCTCTAAATAGCAACAGGAGAGTCCAGCCTTCCACCTAAACAGCAACGCACTTTATCAAGCTTAATGTAACTTGGCTCTCTGTTGTTCTCTGCAACTAATGCCTCAAACCAGGGGAAGATATCATCTGAATCTTAGGTGTTATAACAGGCCTGTTGAGGAATTTCTTCTTTCTTCATTCTCAGGCAAACCAGTCGTTACCTGTAAGATTGGAGCTTTTTTCGCATGCATGAATATGATGTAACAACATGGACAGATGAGGACATGCAGTGGATGTCCCGATGAGATAAAAGAAGGAGAAAAACAAAAAAAATCAGCGTAACCGGATAATGAAGCATCTCATCGCGGAGCCCCATAAACATCGTCCTCGGCTCCGCTGGGTCTGCTGCAAGCATGCACTGTTTAGACAGAGCCAGAGATTGATCCCCCCCACCCTCGCCTCCACCTCCTTATCCCCAAAACGTCAACCAAAGCCAAGCATGCACGCTATTGCAAACTTGGCCACACGCTTTTATCCACCATTCCCTAGTCTCTTTATTATAAATCCTTACTTTGGAGCTTCAAATGTTTTCCGTTTGACAAGGTTTTGATCTTTTGATGATTTTTGTTTGACAATATTTAGCACCATCAGTCTTTGGGAACTTAGTGATGTAATGGGGATATTTTCCCTGCCAGACTGTTTTCTGAAATACATTATGCTGCTATTCCTGTCCTGATAAAATAACATCAGTATGATGAACGTAGTTGTAGCAGAGATGACCGATGGGTAACCCTCCAGGCTTCCCGCTCCCAAAAGTGACTGGTTTCAGAGCCAACACTGGAATAGACCCAGCTGTACAGGGAAAGGTTATAGAACACAGACCAAGTATCTGCCTGTGAGAGAGAATAGGACTATTCTGTCACTTTGTCTGTCACGTAACTGCAAAAATAGAATATGAACCATGCTTGATCAGTTTTGCCGTGCTTCAGTGATGTGGATTCACTCCTTTTAGCAAAGACAAGACTGTTCCTATTAGGAAATTAGTTTTGTACTTAATGGTGAAAGCACATGTTCGGCTGCAGTGGAGCAATCCTTGAGGCAATTTAATGTTGTTTTTTTTTTGTTGTTTTTTTTTTTGTTGTTTTTTTTTTCAAGGACACGGACAAGGACAAGGTGGATACTTAAAGGATTATTCCAGGTTATTATGTCTAAGGTCTTATTTTCATAGCTGTGGGCATCATTTCTATCTTATCTATATGGAGACATGGCAACTTCGGAACAACAAAGTCAGATGATCAGACGGGTCAACAAGCCAGTGGTTGAGCTAGATTATCTAAACAACTTTATCTATAGGTAAATGTTAGTAATCACTCACTCACTCACTCACTCACTCACTCACTCACTCACTCACTCACTCACTTACTTCAACGTTGAACCTGGATGTTGATCTGAATGTACAGTTTGATAAGATGTGAGACTACTTTAGAAATTCCTTGCCAAAGATCCCCATAGAAACAAATTTACATATATTTCTAAATACCATTCAACATACACAGTGAAATAAAATGAAAAGAATGAAATATGATATATAATAAAAAAAAATTATTTAATATTTCTTGATTAATCTATTAATTAATTTGTCATAAAATTGTGAGAAATGCTCATTCTCTTTTCCCAGAGCCCAGTGTCACATCTTCAAATTGCTTGTTTTATCCCTCCAACAGCCCAAAACTCAAAGATACCCCAAACAATAGAATACCTGAAAGATATTCAGTTTGGTATCATAGAGGACTAAGAAAACCAGCAAATATTCACATTTTATAAAGTTGCATCCTATGAATCTTTGGCACTTATGCATAAAAATGACTTAACTATTAATCAAATAACTAAATAGTTCACTTTCTATTAAATAAAACAGTAATTTGTTATTATTAGCAATAGGGGTGATGGCCAAAGCTACAAAAATAAGCTTGAATTATCCTTTAATGATACGTCTCCCTTGTCACTACATATGGTGCAGTCCTATTACAGTAACAAAGGACTCTTAATGTATATGCTGCCTTATCTCCTCACACAGCTGCAGCCTGTTTTTGCTGATTTTCCTGGAACCTGGTCTACGGCTAGATGTCACTGAAGTAGTTTCTGTGACAACTTTTTGCCCATGCATCCCCGTTCTTGGTGGGTTTTCTTCCAAACTTACTGCGTGTACCTGCACTTATCTGGCTGCTGTGGGAGCTGTTTAAGTCAATGGGGCCCCCCGTGTATACCGAGAGCTCAACACTCAGCACTGGAGTTAATGTAGGCAAATGAGATTCCCCTGACCTCAGCACTGGCGGGAGCGGAGAGCCCTGCCACTGCTGAGGCCCACAGCACACAAAGGCCGACGTGTTTCTATTGTGTTTTTGTCATTAGCAATTTGCCAGCTCTTGGTTTGGCCCCCTCACTGGTTTCCTGTGGTGATATCTCCAACCAGCTGCCTTATCACCCCCGTGTACCCACTGTAGAGGGGAAATTACTGAAGGGAGCACATTAATATTGATGTGTCCTGGGGCCTAATATAGTGAAGTATGAAAGAGTTGCAGGATGTTTGTTATTTTCAGTCTTATCGAAACTAACCGACGTGCCGCTACAGGATGTGATGTAAAAACATGATGTAATCGAACCTGATGTAAACACGTGACATGAGTCTTGGTGTTGGTAGGTGACACAGAGGTTGTAGTTTGTCCTGGTTTCGGTTATCTTTAATGAAGGTATGGACCAGTTCACTCTGTAATTGGACCTGTTTTGTTTCCTGTTGATGAGCGCTCAGTCATGCCTGTCAGTCAGCCTCTCAGTCAGGCGACATATGTGACTTTGAAATGTCCTCTGCTGGTTTGACTTGTCTATAGTTCCTCATGAGATTGCGTGTCTTCCTTTATTTCTGCATTTTACTGTGCGTGTGTTTGTGTTTGTGTGTGTGTAGTTCGGGAGGAGCAGACGGGCCTGGCAGCTTTCTGCTTTATTTATTTGAACAGGAGTCATTTAACCCTCAGGGCCTCAGATGGCCTCCGCTGTGTTTGTTGTCTAAACCTGTCACAAGGATGGAATATAAATATAACTTTTTGGCCCAATTAGGTTGAATAAGGTGTGTGTGTGTTAGGGTCCTTTGGAATCTGCTCCTCATGTCAAACAGGTCTTAAGCATTTTTGCTCTGACTACAACAGGGTGCCTAAGTAGGCTATGGATGAGAGCAGAAAGAATCGCTTCAAGCGCTGCTTTTTTCAAGGGAGAGCTAAAAAAATCTGTGCATGTTACTTTAGCTATTTTTGACACATGAGACAGTGTATATATAACATGAAATCACTATCCACCAGAGCTGTTTAACGGAGAGCAAATTTTGTACATGGATCCTATTACAGATTGTGAACTTGTAGTTGGTAGTACTTTGTTAAATGATGGAAATGTGTTTCAAGGGTGTGAACCAAAGCCAAAACTATTAGTTGAAAATGAATTGGTCGAACAAAACATGTAATTTGAAGATACTGCTTTAGGCTCTGGGAAATGGTGATGGACTTAAGTATGTGACGCTTATTCTCCATCATTATTCTTACTGTTGAACATGTTGGAGTATTTTCTCTCCATCTCTTAACTCTACCAATCACCAATCACAATTGTTCTTTTACTTCTCTTTTTATTAGATGAGAGGATTTGCTCTCCTCCATTCATGGTCTTGAACACTGAGTGCAGCCCAGATGTGCTGGAGCAGATCAGGAGGCAAGGACTCACATTCCCCTTCAGTAAGTACCTCTGCTTCAGTCATATTATAGATAATGAGGACTCATTACAGATTGTTTAGGCTTCATATTGTGCTGTTAAACACTAGTTGTACCAATTAATTTTGGCATCTAAATACTCTTTAGTTTTTGACCAGTTGCAGTTTGATACCACTTTTAAGAAAAGGACTTAGTGGAAGATGTTTTTTTAATTAGTTTTTCCTCGCCTTTATTTCTTCCTCAGTTTGCAAAACACGAGTGGCTCATGGAACCAACTCCCATGAGGTAAGAGGCCACAGGGCTCAGAGGTCACTCACACCCTCTACAGTTTGCTTTGTGTAAGCAGTAACACCCCTGTCCTGTCACAGGATTGTCATTTAACTCAAGTCCAAACAACAAAATCAGATAAAGTGCTGTACCTCATTTATCTCTGGGTGTCAGCTGAAATCAATACCCCTGTCAGGCTGGACAAATAGTCTTCATTCCTCCACACTCACAGCATTGAACCAAGTTGGGTTTTAACTAGACTTTTGTCTTTTTTCATTTACTGTGTCTTTCTGTCCACAGATGGCCATTATCTTCAGTGAAGAGGACCTGAAAGACGTGAAGCCCCCATGTGTGATCCAGAGCTTCATCAACCACAACGCAGTGCTCTACAAGGTGTTTGTGGTGGGAGACTCCTACACCGTGGTGGAGAGACCTTCACTGAAGAACTTCCCTGCTGGACCAGCAGGTGAGGAGACAGGAGACAGACAGGCAGAGAAAGAGACGGGCGGGGAAGTCCAAGGGCTGCTAACAGCCACACTGGCCAGACTGCACAAGTTGCACGGCTTCTCCGAATTACCCAATAAAAGATCTCATAAAATGGCTTTATAGTCCCTGTGATTGGACCTATTCACCCTTTTAAGGGGTGCAGCAGACTGCAATTGAGTTTTGCCCTGTTGGTACATGCTGTTGAAAATAAACAAGAGGCTCGGTGCTTTTCTCCATAAACATGTCAGCCTTGCCTGCGATGAGACTTTGAATACAGGGTTGTCCCCTGATACAAATGACTCCAGTATTTGCATGTGATACAGTAGAGGCCCTCATGCAAAGCAGTTTCACCATCAGTGTAGTAGTCTGCTTTGTGTAACAGTGCAGAGAGAACAGTTGCTTTCAGCCTGGAATGCTGAGTGGTACGGCAGAAAAGCTCGGCCCTTGTCAAACACATAAAGCAACATACCACAGCTTCACATCTGCACAGCGTTCGGGTCATTGTGCTCTGCAGACTGACGCCATACATTCTGTCTTGTATCCGGAAAGTGGAGGAAAGGGCTGGGTGAATGAGTGAGTACGACAGTGAAGAGAGGTAGGGGTTAGTGTTTGGAAAGAACTTAAAAATAAGAGTGTGAGAGAGGGTCTGTCCCATTCAGCCTCTCTTCTTGTGCTTTCATCAGAGATAAACTGGTGTTTTGTTCATTCAGCCAGGGGATGAAAGACTCCATCTGCCTAACACTTCATTACCACGACCCTCTACGAGCTGAGGGGCATATTTATTTGGACAGTGATGGAATTTATTTGTTCCCTCCACTCCACAGCCCTCTTCCTCCCCTCTACCGCTGCGTAATGTTAATCATTACAACGATAACAAAGAAAAAGGGAGGGCAATAAATTTAGCAATCCGTCCTGTCACATTTATGACAATCCCTCGCCCAAGGCAAACAAGTTATGTCTTTTTTTGTTCTGAGGTGATCACTCAGCACGATACATTCATGACTCAAAGGTTTAAAGGTTCAGAGACTTCACACCAGGGTGGTTTAGTATTAGGTTTCTGTTTCTTTACACCAGGTGTTGAAATTAATAAATAAAGACATTAATTTGGCCTAATTGCACAAAGTAACCTGTTGAGCTTTGCTGCCACCTAGTGTCTCAGATGGAAACTACAAACAGATGACTATTGAGAAATCGTGCGTATTCAAAGTTGCTGTAAATTTCTGCCTCACCCTTATTGCTCCGTTTCCTTTTCAGACAGGAAAGCCATTTTCTTCAATAGCCACAATGTTTCCAAGCCAGAGTCGTCCTCGGACTTGACCTCGGTACGTCCAAAATGCCATTGATGTAATCCCATGTGATTGTATAACGCATTTGGTTGCGGATGTTGATATTTTTATTTCTTTATTTCAGAGAGAGAACGTAGAGGGAGTGTCTCAGCCACCCAGTGATGATGTCATCAGAGAGTTGTCCCGGTCCTTGCGAGAAGCGCTGGGCGTGTCCCTGTTTGGCATCGATGTCATCATCAACAACCAAACAGGCCAACATGCCGTCATCGACATCAATGCATTCCCTGGTAGGTGCAGCCTCTCTTTGTATTTGATTAAGTCATCTTGTTCATATTAAGTGGAATATAAGCGTGAGGTTTGACAGAGACTTGTTTCTACGATGACCTGCGTCTCAGGTGTCGCTCTGTCAGGTGCCGCTGTCTAAAAACTGAGAGTCGTAGTGATGTCATTTTCTTTTGTGCAGCCAGTTGTATTGAAATAAATTCCTCCTCTGTAATCCTGACCTGTTTTCTCCGTCAGCTCAAAACATGCACTAGGTTTCAGTCACTCTGTTAACATGGATAGCGATCTGCCAGTTACCCATTATTCTATTAATATTAATATTAATATTTATATTAACGTGTTGGGCATTTGTGTAACTTAATTAACACGTATTCCAGTTTTAATTTAATTGCATTATTCATAAAGAATTTCAGACATATTAACCATAATTATACCATGATTACTGTTGTTTTGCATAAATATAAATTAATCTTAATTTGCTTGACAATGCATGAAGTCTCACTGCTATCTACTCTATTACTGTCGTCATAAGTGCTCCTTACTATAATGAATTGTTCATCCAACTATTTAAGTGAAACAACATGGAAGCCTTAAAAAGAGAGTATACAAAAGTGTAGCCAGCGAAGGTTATGGTGGCAATTTGGTCTTTTCACTCTACCTTAAGAGTGTGGCAGTTTGGAACAGTTAAAAACGCTTCAGACACTGACGTGGAGGAACAGTACGTCTTACAAACTTGAGGTTTGAGGTTGGTAACTGGATGTAAACTCTGATATTGTTAACATACTGTTTGGTGGACAGGAGACATCCTCAGTCATTTATCAGGCTGTGTTTGATATGATATAAATGGAGCACTTCTATAAGGAAACCCATGTAAACAGTCTTTATTGTTATACTGTTCAGTCAGTAGTTCTCAGTTTGTCTAAATGTATGTGTTTCGAGGTTATGAGGGCGTCCCGGAGTTTTTCAATGACCTCCTGAACCACATCAGCAGCGTGCTTCAGAGCCACAACCCCGACTTCACCCCCCCCAGCGAGCAGCCCAAAGGCCTGCCAGTGAGCACCACGGTACCTAACGCCGTCCCGCCGGCCCCCGGCTGCTGCAGCATGCTGGGTAAAGATGCCAGCGGCAGCCCCTGGATCGTAGAGGGCGACGGAGGCCTGAAGGGTCCGCGTCAGAGACTGGGCTGCAACTCGGCCATGTCCCCCAACTTCCAGCAGCACTGTGTCTCCACAATAGCTACCAAGGCTTCCTCCCAGTGACTGATCCCCTGCCCCACACTCCGTTTGACCCCTGAACAAAAAACGGATGACAATGGTGACAATAATAATGAATAATAATCATAATAATTATGATGTTAATGATGATAATATATCTAATCAAAAAACAAACCTTTTCCTATATAGTTATTGAAAATGATGGTGATTGGGTGTAAGCTTTTTTCTCTCTGCCTTTTTGTATTTTTCGTTTTGTCTAATGAGACTTAACAGTACTGTAATGTGAACTTTTGGGAACTTTTTGCCTAATAGCTGATTTTATTTTTCTCTCTCGTGTGACTTCTCTGTAATGAAAGGGTCCAGATGAGGTAGCTAATACGAATGGCCGAATCAGGGCTGGAGAAAGTTGTGCCACTAAATGTGCAATGTATGATCCCTTCTATGTCACACGCACTCACATACACACACAGGTACGCTTACATTGCGACGGACCGTGCCAGTGATGTGTGTTTGTGTTCTGGTCAACACCACTGACTCCTCTGCACAGAGTGAGGGGGAGAAGGGGTGACTAGCGTTTGAACACTACTCTACAGATCCTGAGCTGCTATGTGACTGTGGCCAACCAACTGAGTCTGAACATACATGACAAGATAGTTTTGGGATTTGTTAGACTGAACAAACAGGTAAGCCGTTTACATTTCAGAGTGCCATCACATTTACTTTCAGTGTAGGAAGGACACCTTCAGAAAACATTATTTTGAAAAGGCTAAAAAGACGAAAAGTGAATCTCCATTACCACGTGACCAAGTTTTTTTTCTATGATTGTTGTTGCATCAATGTTTATAGGTCTTTGAGTGTTTCACTGTAAGTCAGATCCCGGATGTTGGGTGTTTAACAAGCAAACAAACAAACAAACCATGTCCTTGTTTTGAGTCCCAGTTTGAGTCGCTCCACTTCAGGAAGACGAGGATCACATTCCTTTTTGTGTTTTGTGAATGTTTTCAGAGAATTCCATGATTTCTTCCGAATTCCAGTGGGATCTTGGAGAGATTTCTCACATCACTTCATGGTTTTGCCGTCTCCTTAACCTGACTCTCCACATGTCTTCAGCGCTTTTATCTGTAATGTGAAGCCAACTACTCACCTGAGGCCTACTTGACCTATCAACAGACTTGGGGCTGCTGTCACTTTTCATTGAATTGTTGATTAGAAAATCAATTATTCCGCTAAAATTGATGTAAAAATGTCTGTGTGAATACCCGCCTAATCTGGGTGTTATTATAATGCTACCATTTTCAAGATGAATGAATTTCAGCTTTATTGTCTTGATCTAATTACACTCTATAACTGCACCTCTAACAAAATGCAGTTTAATGAATCCCTCAGTCCACATTTTCTTCAAGCTTCATACTCCGACCCGCCTTCTGTTCCAGCTGCTGTATTTGTGTCACGTATTAAAATCATTTGGAAGGGGAGTAGTGGGAGGAGGTCCAGCTCTTGTTCCCAGTGTTCACTGTGAGATTTTTTTTACCTTGATTTTGTTAATATCTTTGTCCTTACATCTACTAAGAGCAACTTTATTTTATTGAGATTTTATGGGGGGAAAATGTTTTATATAAATGAAATGAAAGCACGTGATGTTATTGAACAAAACAGTGTGGACATTTACTAGAAGAATAGTAAAATGCAGGATGCGGTTGTCAAAGGGACAGAAGAGCTCGTGGTTGATGCTGTTGTCTCCCTCTAGCATCTAGTGGGAACGAGCACCGACCTGCAGCGAATACAGATTATTGCATTCCCCTGACCTTCTCTTGTCCCAGAGAGCTCCTCCTAGCTCTTTTATTTCTTCCCATCAGTAACCGAGAGAAGTGACTGTCCTCTCACTTGTGATCTTAAATAATAAGTGTCACTGCAGCCATCTCACCAGCATCTCTCTGGGACAAAAGAATACCAGTGACATTCTGGAAATTGGTTTTCACTAGACACGTCATATTGTGAGATACGGTTAGTATCCCAATATTGTTTCCCACGATTTGAGTGTATACTGAAGCAACAGTAAATTCAAAATGTTAAGGTAAAGCAGCAGGTTCAGGGGAAACTTTCACATGCTTTGCCCCTGATCTAGGTGTTTCCTCACCAAGAAATAGGGGCAAAGTTGAGGGTGCGTTCCTGTTTAGGTTGGAAAGGCTGATATCTGTGTACATCACTATACTGTGTCCTATCTCGTGTTCCTAATTGTGCTTCTAAATGAGAAATAAATGGTTAATCGTATCTTTGATCATTTCCGCAACCCAGACAGTGTCATCCTACTCCCAGCTTCCACCTGAATGTTTACTTCCTGGGTGTCTTGTACAGTACGTGTATATATGCCTCGGCTTACATCCGTACAGTATGTTGTTTTGTATCAGTTCTGTAATTGAGAGGAATCCACAATTTTGTGACCTTTTTTAATTAAATGGCCAAACCAACAGGGCGAAATAAACATAAGAAACCTCATCTGGCTCTATTTTATTCAGTTCTGCGTTCTTCATCGATAATCTGAGTAAATGCTATTTTGTCCACTGAATTCTTTGAACATAGTGAGATGTAACATCCTGTCATACGTAGCCAAGTTACACCGCATTTCAGTGACATTCTCCACATGTAGCTGGGTCTTTATAAATTCTATATTACCAAAATCATAAGGTAGCTCTAAATACTTTAATTTCTTTCAATAAAAAAATCCTTCATAAAGTGCAAAGAGAAGACTGCAAAACAAAGAGCTGCAATTCTCCACCCAGCCTCCAGATGTTTATTGCTTAAGCATTTATGAATCAAACATTTCATAGAATTGGAGACAGTAAAAAAGACAGACGTTTATAAACTCCCAAATAGGCCAATTGACACTATACAAAATGGTTTTGTATTAAAATAAAAATATATCTTTTCATAATCTTAGTCTTCTGTACATGTAAAAAAACAAAAAAAACAAAGATAACAACACAAAGATATATTTACAAGAACACCAGACAAAAGACAGTTTAAAGGTTTCTAATGCTACTTTCAGTTCCCTGCGAGGCCTATGTGCTTCTGGGATGTTTATTTTTTTAACATGTTACTGAGGTTGTAGATGATTTGCTGTCGGGTTTGCCAATAGTCCAAGGATGGTGGAGAGACAGTGAAGCTTCTCCTTGACGTGCTCTGGCAACTTTTCGTTCTCCTTATACCTGTGTAGAAGGCAGACATTTCTGAGTTTCAGGTGGAGCAGTCACACCTACAGCTCTGCGAACATTTATTTACATTTAGTTTGACAAAGGCTTGTTCAAAAGACATTCATTATGACATAATAGGCTGTGCCCCAGCTGCTGCTGTCTTGATAATAAAACTGATAAACACACAAGCCCATAAAGTGACAGAACACATTTCCAACACGTTTCGTACCTGGTGATCTTCCCCTCTGGAGACGTGTAGGTAATACATGAAACTCCAGCCTGAACCACCAGCTGAGACCCGTCGTTGAACTGCACCCACACCTCGCCACTCGTCAGCTACATAAACAAATCAGATCCACTCTTTAAAATCACAAAGACGATTCCTTTGCTGATTACAGAATATATGGTTAATTCATTTACCAATTACCTGGGAGGCCCATCCAACGTTGGGCACAAATATTGACTTGACCACTTTTCCAGTGCTTTGTATCAGGTCCTGTCGCACCGGGGAGCTTTTCTTACTCAGGCTTGCTGTGGTGAAATCAGACCCGTCGTAGGAGATCATCTGAAAATACAATTTTAAAACAGTCAAAGACAAAAATCAGTCTACCTGTGAAAGCCTCTAAGCCACCTGTTCATCCATCCTGCAGTGTAAGGTTGTGAGACACTCACTGAAGGAGCGATCTGTGGAGGTTGAGGTGGTGAAGCTGTATCAGGGGGCACCGGGTGGGAGGGCAGGGACAATGTGCACGGGGAGTCTGCGTTGGCAGGTCTCCTGGGAGGAATAATATATAGAAAACAAACATTAGCCTCACAAGATCAGAAAAACATGGAGCATGCGATTGACAGAAGTTTCCTCTCACCTGCCAATAGTGATGGGGAAGAAGGGGACGTTCTTGGTGCTGCGCTGCTCTTCTGCTGTGATGGCGGCCTCTAGTGACAGACACATGTTGTGGCCCTCATCAGACAGCTCCACATACAGCCTGCTCTCTGGGCTCAGGCCGCTCAGCCCCACCTCCCCCTTCACTGTGTATGACTTCCCGCTCTTCTCCACCACTCGCACCAGCTCTGACGTCTTGTGGGTCTTTGCTCCTACAAGCAACGTGTTTATGAAGCATTATACATTAACACAGTGCTTCTTCCCCCTTAGTAGGATCACATGTTTCAACATACATATTAACTCACCGTCATAAAAGCAAACCTCCAGGTCTGCATTGGGAGCGTTCTCCATTAGCATAACCTTAGCATTCTTGGTGTAAAGGGTCACTTTAGGCGTCTTGGATTTCACAAGCTGCACAAACTTGGAGGCGTATTGGTATTTCTTCCAGTATTTTTCTGTGAAAGAAAAAAAGATCTCCATTAAGATCATTTCTAATTTTACACCAGCTGATTTCATTGAATATGAAGCGTCCATAAGAATACCTGGAAGGTCCTCGTAGCTACAGATGAGAATATCTTCTGGAGGAGCGGGAGGGCAGTCCAGCACAGGAAAACCCTTTCCATTATTAGGCTGGTATATTGTCACCTACAGGAAATGATGATGATGATAATAATAATAATAATAATAAGCTATCATTTACAAGAGTAATAATTATTAAAATACAGATTGCATTATGCCAAAAAGCTTGTGTGGTATCAAGTTATACTACCCCCTGCAGGTAAGAGTCATTGAGTAATATTCAGAGAGCTACACATTGAGCTCACCATTGAACCATCACAGGAAATCCGAAGGACTTCTTTGACTCTCTCTTGACCACCCTGGCATTTCAACAACTCCATACACACGTCACCTGTGTCCAGGATGCTCACCTGCATGAAAGACAAGAAAAATAAAACTACATATCTACAAATTTCTCAGCTTCTCACAGGAGTGAACATCAACAGATGATAAAAATACATGAGCAGTATCTTACAACAGCATTTTTGGTCTTTTGTCTGATAGGCTTCAGTCTGGAAGCGCACAGAGGCGGGACTACGTCTCTCAGCGTTTTCTTCTCCTTGTCTGTACTGGGTTTGGCTGAAGGGAGCTTTAACTCTCTGCCGTGAGGAGGCTGGAACTCTGCTCCAGGTACATTCTCCCTGTATGAGTCAGGGTTGGAGGAAAGCTGGTGGTGCAGGTGTTGCTGGTTGTGATTCACACTTCGCCCCATGGGCTTGTCTGTCCAGGAATTGTGAACCCCTAGAGGTACTCTGCTGCTGTGGAAGCTGCTGCTGCTGCTGTGTGTGCTGCCGTCTGCAGGCCTCTGTCCAGAACCTGAGAAAGAAACAAAAACATTTGTAAAGACTTGGTTTAGCTGATGGTTTTAATGATGTTTAGAGAGTTTCAAGATTCATTTATAATTTTTAAACCCTGTTGGGTTCAAAGGGGTGGCTGGACAAGTCCCTATATCGGTAATAACCAAGGAAGATTTAATTCACATGCACTGATAATCAAAAAGCAAAAAAGATCTAATTTACCATCATTATGGAGCCAGTTCGTGACTGCCTCCAGGTCATGAAATTGCAGGTTTGGTGTATGTGCCGTCTGTGTGGATAATGAATACCCAGAACTGAAAAACAGTTACGTGAAATCTGTTAGTGTCAGGTTAAGTGTGAAAAATGATTAGAAATGAATATAGAAGCTCCTTACTTTGCTAACTGCTTGACTGGAGGAGATGGGAGCCTTCCATTCTCTGGAAATGGGTGTTGAGTGAAGGGCATGGAGAAGACTGGTCTTCCTACATTAGTCAAAGTCTCCTCTGAGTGGCTTCTCTCCAGCTCGTGACTTGACCCCTGGCCTGATGCACAAGAGCTGGAGCGATCTGACGAGTGAGCCCTCCTCAGGTATCGAGAATTAGGCTGTCCGCTCTCTCCACCATGAACCACCCTGCTCCTGCCCTCTCTGTAAAATCTGTCTTGCAGGTGCTGATTTTGCCACTGGTCTCCATCCTCAAAACAGGCGCTGTTGGGTTGGCGTGGAAGACATGGAACGGGCATCATGCGATTAGGCAGGGCAGAGCCAATCATGTGCCTGGTTCTCCTCTGGAGGCGGGTGCTGCTGCTGGCTGAGGTGGAGGAGTTGCAGGCTGTGGAGATGGTGGCGATGCCGCTGTCCATGGATCCTTCATCCCCCAGCCCCAGCTCCTTGGTCCTGACCAGCAGGCTGTGGGTCATGAACGGGTGGTCCAGCACTGCAGAGAGGCTGGGCCGCTGGGAAGGGTCCCTTTGCAGCAGCTGATGGATCAGGTCCTGAGCCTCTAGAGAAACATGACGAGGCATCTCATATTCCCCAAGAACCACTTTAGACAATGTGTGTTTGACTGTGTCTGTGTCAAATGGAGGGCGCCCCATCAGGAAGGCATAGAACATGCACCCCAGTGACCAGACGTCTGATTCCAGACCATGAGCGCTGCGAGTGGCCACCTCCGGGGAGATGTAGTTGGGTGTTCCACACATGGTGAAGTGCTTTTCATTCGGGAGTTTCAGCTGAGTTGCCAGTCCAAAGTCTGCTATTTTAATGTTCATGTTGCTGGTCAGCAAAAGGTTGGACAAGGTCAGATCTCGATGCAAGATGCCATGAGTATGTAAATACAGCATTCCTTTCACTATTTGATGCATGAAATGTCTTGCTGTGGAACAAAAACAAAAAATTTAGAGAGAGGCAGTTCTCAAAAATGACAAACAATTTACTGCAACATAATTCATGATTCATTTTTTTAAGTGAAATTATTCAGACCTTCGTCCTCAGAAAAAGGCATCTTCCGCTCTTTAAGGTAACGGGTCATCTCTCCATTGTGGCACATCTCCAACACCAAGTACACATAGTTGCTGTCCTCAAAGTAGTTGTAGAGCTTAAATACAGACATGATATATAACACAGTATTTATTATCATCACATTACTAAAGTCATATCGATAACCAACCCTACAATTAAAAAGATGAAGCTGAAAAAATGAAGAGTGGGACTATAACACTGAACAAAATACAATAGATAACCATGACAACAATAACACAAAACCTTATACAGACTCAGACACTGACGACATAGACTAGAAATGTAATATTTCTTTATGCTCCAAAAAACAAATTTGAATTCCTACA